TGCAGCACTGGCGATCCTCAAAAGTATAGAGGGGTATGACAATCTATTGTAGCGTTTAGAGGGGTATCGGTATAGGACCATAATCTATGACAATGCTGCAATACTGGTATATGACAATCTTGCAATAGACATTAATAGTGAATATATTGTTGGGGAATTGCAAGAATCTTCAGACTTTTAGGGTATTTTTTGTCACTTTGCAATACCATGTTTCTGGATTTTGGTCATAGCGAAATCACTGCGGTGTCATTGGAATCATGGCCATTGCAGGCGTAACGGGGCTGTGGCATCAAATCACCTACCCATTTGTTGATGCTAAAACCTGTTCGTCCAAGAATTGGTTGATAGGAACCGTTACAGGAAACCCCTAAACATGATGGTAACAACCATGACTTCTAGTAACTCTAGTAGATGTTCCCTTTTTTCCATCCTTGCGTCAAAGTTCGTGGACTTTGCAGCGCAAAAAACGGGAGGTTTTGGTCCTCTTCTTTGCGGTGCTCGGAATTCGAGGCACTTTGAAGCCTGGTGAAATGCTGGTGAAATGGTTTCGGGCTGGGGGAGCAAATGCTATGTTTGTGTTTGTGATTGTGGGAGAACAACAAGAAAAGTACCAGGTTGATTTAGGATGATGTGGGAGAATTGAACGAACAACATTGGCAGTTTGATTTTAAGATGCTTTGATGGAAACACGTGTGGAATATCAATGTTTCCAGCAATCTCTGGGCCGATGGGCTGATTTCAGGAGAATTTTGCAGATGTTCCATTCCAACAAGTCTATCTAAGTCTGAGAAACAAGATCTTGTTGGTATTTCAACCAACCTTCCGGACATGAAAAGGCGGCATGATGCTTTGCCTACTGCAAGCATTCTCCTTTCAGTTGGGGATTTATTACTGGATGGGCCATATCGGGTTCTCAGCTACCCTCTGGATGGTAATTTAACATAGCTATGCAAAATGGACCGTTTACAGATGATTTCAATGGCCATTTCAGGTACCTAAATTTGAGGTACCTACCATATATAAGGCCTATATCCTGGAATTCCCATTGATGATTCATATAGTAGGTGACCTAGTATATAAAAATGGTGAATTTCCAGTGCGCTATGTTAGCTTACCAGCTACTGTAGGTTGTACAGATTTTGGTTCGCTGTTGGTTCTGCTTTGGACACCAAGGAAGCTGCCCTGCGGAAGACACCTGGTCCAACTGTTCCTGTCAAGGCATGGGACGATGCTGGGAAAATGGGAATGCAAATGAAGAATTGCTAGGTACCGTGATCAAGTAAACGATGCTAAAATGATCTAAAATGTTAACTAAAAAAACATGTGTATGTACATATATACATATAGGTTTTGACCCATCCCTACATATTGCTGTCCATTTGAACCAGCCAAGTTTGTTCGCATGATGAACGCGTCTCCTGGTATTTGATGTTAGTGGCCAACAACGAATCTTGACTTCACAGAGCATTGCACAGTTTGTAGATGGCAAATACCCTTTACTTAACTCACAAAATGCTATGGAAATCCATGGTTTTCCTTAGGAATTATCTACAAATAGTGGATTTTCATGGATTTTCATGATTATGTTGGCTTACTGGAGGATATCTTGTAGCATTTTGAAACGCTTGCCAAGCTCCAACAGAGGGCACTGATCGAGAAATTTCTGATGGCCCGGGTTGGTCCAGAAATATCATGGCTACCTTCCAAAAATCAAACATGGCATGGAAAATCCTCCATTTATAGATTATTCTAGTCGCTTCGCGATGAGCACCGCACCCCGATGAAACGCTATGGGTTGGAAGCGGGAAAGAAAATTATGCGGGCCAGATTTCTTGTGGCTCAATCAGCACACCAGCAACCGCTGATTGCACTGAATTGTTAGTTCTTGGTCGTATTTGGCCGGCAAACCAAAAGGATTCAACATGGGTGCCCAATGGACAAAGCACATTTCTAATTGATTTAATCATTTCGAAGCACAAATTGAAACCATTGAATTTTTGGTTCATAATTTTAGGGCATGCATAGCCATTCCATAGTAAGGGACGTTTGTCAAACCTGCAGTGCTTTTTTGAATCGATTGCTTTGCCTTGAAGAGAAGAGTTGAGAAGATCTGAGATTAGCTGAGAAGAGCTGAGATGGGCTGAGATGAGCGGGCGGATTTTCCATTAAAACGCCATTGCTAGGAGGCGTTTAATTGCCATGTTTGTTCACCAAAAGGGTCAAAACATGTCAAAACAATCTTCCCATTTATCCCATTTATCCCATTAATATCCCAATGGGATTTTATAGTGATTTAATGGGATATTAATGGGATATTAATGGGATATTAATGGGATAAATGGGATTGCCATTGGACACAGAAAGGTGCCAACACGGCTCGCACCGTCCCTGCTAGGTTCGTTTGGGGGTGCTTTTCCAGGCGCGGAAAGAGCATCTGGAGATGTAGGATGCCAAACTTCATGGTTTGTAGGTATACCCTCTGGTAATTTAACCATAGAAATAGTGGATTTTCCCATTAAAAATGGTGATTTAAACCATAGTTATGTTGAAAATTACCAGAGGGTATATCCATATATCATATATATTTATAATGATACAGACATGTACAGACATACTTGCAATGGTAAAAACAGCTGGAATACCTTAGAAATATATTCCATGATTCTTAGTATAGTGATATGTGTTTCCGCTTCATGTTGTTTCGTGATGTGCTGAGGATGACCTGGGATGAGCAATTCTGGACCCAGAGAGGGGCCGCCCTTTGAACTTAAGGAAATTGCCATTACCCTCTGGTAAACATACCAAAAACTATGGAACATCACCATTTTTAATGGGAACACTCATTATTTCTATGGCCATGTTCAATAGCTATGTTAAATTACCAGAGGGTAAATTTGCCAAAATTCCAGCTTGAATCTGAATCTAGTTAATTCATCAGTGTTTGATGTATTCTCTACAAATCTATTTCGCTTGGATTTGCCGAGCCCCTGGAGGGTGGAAAATTTGTCGTTTGGATTTCCATGCTGACTTGGATATTTCCCAAATTGATTAGCAAATTAATGTGACATTTTTTTGGTAGGTATCCATGACAATCGTTAATTAATGTCACATTAATTTTCATGTTGATATTTCCCACGTTTTTTTGTTCAGAAAAGGGACACTTTTTTTTTTGGCTAAGTCTGTGGGCATAAAATAAGAGAAAACTCAAAAACACGCGCTGACTTCGCTCCTGTTTCCCACAATGGAATACTTGAAATAGCATTTTTTCGCATGGTTGTTTCCTCAGCAAATAGCTAAAAACATGTTGGATGAATTGGGGGGTTACTTTCCGTAGCTTAGGACACACCCAATCTGCAGATGGGGGGCGAATCTCCCCCTGGCGAATCATAGCTGCCCGAGTTTCTCCGCCGGATGGTACTTGCAGTGTTGGGAACAGCCCCATAGTTGTCCTCAATAGTATTTACATTACTGACTACATTATATATATATATATATACTGGTTGGTGGTTTGGAACCATGGAATTTTATTTTTCCATATATTGGAATAGTAACCCCAACTGACCAATATTTTTCAGAGGGGTTGAAACGGAAACCACCAACCAGTATATATATATATATGCAATTTTATGAATCCTATCAGTTGTCCTTAATATCTCAATGCTGTTGATGGTCCGTATATGACTAACCAACCGCCTGGGATACCCTCTGGTAATCCGACAGAGCTATGGAAAACAACCAATAGATAGATAGATAGATAGATAGATAAATCATCCAACTAAATGGGCCCCGGTTTCCACAGCTATGTGAGATTACCAGAGAATTCTGGAACAAATATGGTGACCCCACTTTGATGTCACTGGACTGCTGTCCGGGGAATCATGCTAAAGAACTGACCTTCAAATTTCAGCTATTTTCAAGGTTAAACTATAATTAATCCAGAATATTATGGGACAAACCAGGTGTGATTCTTGTCCCAATGAATTTTGGGGACAAACATCCTATGCCCCATTCATCCAGATGATTTGGGACCAATTTGTCTACCACATTGGAGGCCATGCTCTTGCCCACGGCCGCCGGACGAAAATTCCTCCAGTTCTTCCAGTGACTCGGAGTGACGACAGGACTTCCGCCGGCCACGAAAGTTCGGATTTGTTCATCCTAAGATCAACCAAAATCTGGTGAAGAATGGCCATAATATTGGCCAGAAAATGAGCGTATGCCCGATGTTCGATCGTCACACAAACGGAGACCCGAACTGTTTGAAAATCTTTTGAATTTTGAGGGCTGCAGTGAAATGCCGTGAACATGATGTTGTTTCAAAGTGTTGAAGGAAGTGTTGAAACAATGGACAAGAATTTGGGTTTGGCAATTCCCTAGCTTGGCTGCAGCAGATCAATGTACGGTGCTCCGCTTGCTCCGCTCAAAATGGGCAGAGCAACCACGACACGACGAAGCAAGTTTGAAAAGAGCGGTCATCGCACAAGATCAATATATACTTATATTAATCTATAGATATATGATATATCTATATAGATAATGTTTAAAACGAAAAACATGTAATATATATATATAGTTATATATAGCTAGATCTTAGCTATATCTATATTGTATTCATAGTTATATTTTTTTGTTTCAAATAGTCGTTTTCTCAAGGTGTCCGTTAGTCATCTTTTGTTTGGGCGGTGGGCACCATTGGTTACGGTAACCAAAGCAAGCCAACATGTTCAATTTATGACCCTGGCATGCCCTGGTTACTGTATTTGGTTCAAGGGTGTTTTAGTCCATGACTGGAAGTGCCGAAAAAGCGAGGTACTGTAGGAAGTTGACTTCTTCCACGAGCAATTTGGTTAAATTTCTGCCTTTGGCCAACTTGCTAAGGAATCTTTTTGGTTTGATTCGAAGACACTGAGACATTGCGCTTTTCTTCAAGGGAAAACTGTCCACAAACCAAGCCAGGACAGGTTACGTTGTTCCTCGCTACGCCAAAATGGCTGCGAACCATGGCGGATGACACATCTGCCACGATTTGGTCATGGCTGAAAGACGTTTGCGAAGCGCAAAACTTTGCAAATCCTGGCTGGGTGACACCGCAGGATGGCTTTGAGAGGCAGCGTGGTGTTTTTTTTCTGGGGAGAATTGATGGGAAGACATCCTACAGTGCATTGATGGAAATGTATGGACATGTTGGGAAGCGGTGTAAGCTTGTTTGTAGTTTAGAGATGTTTATAGTCTGTCCCAGATTGTTTCATTTTCCAGTTCCTAATTGACACAACATATCCAAAATACGTTGGCAAAAACGACGCAGCAAAATTCAGTAGATGACCTTCCCAGCAAGACAGACACTGTCCAGCCAATGATGGAGCTGGCAACTGATGGAGCAGATGTTTTGGAGGTTTCAAAGACAATATATTTCTCATATTCATATTCCACATATTCGCATGCTGAAACATACAGTATCATTATCATAGTAGAATTGCCAAGAGTTGCATGACCAGCATTCTCCAGACATATGATACATGGTACAGATCAATGCTCAATGAAGGTCCAGATCGCTGCCCTCCTCGTCATTCCTCGTCATCTCATCCAGACTTTGTTGGACTAAACAACGGCTATGTTTGGTGTGAACAGCAGACGCTTCCAAAACGCGTGAAAAAAAAACAGAGGCAACGAGAAAAAAAAAACATGGGGTACAGCGATGGTCCAAAGAATCTCCCGTAATGAACATCCTATAGGGATTAATGTCAACCCCGGATTAATAAACCATGGTTTATCAATTAGGGGGGTACTCCTCCAATAGTCATAATATGATACTTAAATGATGCACTTGTTTATGGTACCTCCCAATTAAACAATCGTTTGGGGTTTATGAATCCAGGGTTGACATTACAGACATATGTGATCCGTTGTGAGCCGATCCGATCCGTTTTTCAGGTTGAAGGGCTGTGTGCCGGAATGGATACTGGAAGACGAGCACCGCTTCAGCTGGAAAGTGGTTTCCCTCCTGGGACTTTATGGAGGCCATGGCGGGGTGAGCCATGTAATGATGGAGCAGTTGTATGTTGATATAAATGAACATTGGAAACATAGTGTGCAGAAACTTTGTATGGTAAAATATTATGATTTTAACTTCATATTAACGTGTGAAGATTATGAAGAATAACACGATTTCTTGGGGCTGCTCCAGTAGGAATTCCTACCTTTGAGGAGCACCAAGTGGCCTCATCACAACTACAGTAGATCCTTGGGCTGGTGGCGTTCAGCCGTTGATTCACCGGTTGCTCCAAACAATGTTCATGTTATAACTTGCTTCAAGTTGGTGAACTTGAGGAAACAGCATCACTGGATCACGATGCTGCATTTATTCATGTTTGTATTTGTTCACATGATGAATGTTCTAATACCCCGGAAAACCAGACAAGATAGAAGACATCTAGAGATTCTTTCACTTATGCTGCTTGCTGACCATGGCCTGATACCATATGTCTTCCCCAATCCCTTTGTCCATCGGACCGCCATTGCATTCTAACAACAGCCGTTGCCCTTGTTGCAGCAGGTCTCAGTTTCAATCTTCATGCACCGCAGGGGTTGACCTATTTGAAGCTTTGCCGAAAATGTTGGGAAGTGGGGCTCTACCTCAAAACACATCAAAACACTGGGTGCGAAGAAAATGGTGCCGGACTGACAACAGAAACAAAAATTGGGTTGCTGTTCCAAGTCCATCGGAAATCTCGGAAAAGCGGATCAAAAAATCTCGAGTGGCACATGTCTTTGGGTCGACTATGCCGCCAGGAATCTATGCTTCACTGGAGCAGATTACTCTGATCGAAGGGAAGAGGATCAACCCGAGAACTGGGAGGAGAGGCTTTGTTGTGGTCCCTTGATTTAAGAATGGGAATGCGGGGTGAGGTGTGACCGGACAGGAATTTGCAGCCAGAAATGGGGAACAATCACAGAATCAACGTCTTGTCATCAACAAAAAACATGGTGGCCATCCAAAGGCCTATGCAATTTAGGGGTACGGGTCGTGCTTTAATTCCAATCATCCACCATTTCTAGTTCCCCCACGATGAGATGCAGCCCCATCAAACGATTGGGTGCTGAGCTGAGCCTCGCTGAGCTGGAGAGTAATAGCGCACGCTGATTGGACCCATATCAATAGTAGGCATATGTCGGCATGCGGCATGCCAGGGTTTGCTGAATTATTCCATATTATTCTGGTTGGTGGTCTGGAACCATGGATTTTTATGACTTTCCACATATTAGGAATGTCATAATCCCAACTGACGAACTCCATCATTTTTCAGAGGGGTAGGGCGAAAAACCACCAAGCAGTATTCCATAGATTTCCATACGGGCATGAGTCCAACTTGGGCATCCCGGGTAATCATTTAATTGTACATCTCACTGCTAGGTCACATCTATGCGGGAGCCCAATTCACCATCGACCTTTGTCCTGGCGGAGCAGTGGCTCTGGTATCGCTAAACCATTGTCGCCAGATGCTCGGCGAAGGTTAGCTGGCGAAGGTTTCAGGTGTTCAGATCATTGAAGCAATAACTAGAGAAACAACATGGAACATCCCTAAAATGCTTGTTCCAAATGAATCCAAATGATAATTCCCAATGATAACAGGGCAACCACCAAAAAGATAGAACAGTAATTTTGTCCCTATTTTAGTGGGAACTTCCAACTACTTTGCATTGGTTTGTAACATGTTAACACATGATATATCTTCCTATGCCAGCTGACAGTGTTTGGGGCGTGGCTCGAGTGAAATGCACATGCTTTGCGGTTGCAATATGTTTCAACAAATGGGAAAGTCATGCCATGTGTATATATATGTACAGTATACATGTGTGTGAGAGAGGTTGAGAAGTATATGGACGCTAAGACCATTATCTCCAGACTTATTTTCAAATACCGTGATATTATACACTGTATGTATACGTGTATATATATATATGTATTTAAATATATATATAATATATATATATACATATTACAATCATACACACACTTGGTGGTTCACCCCGGGAATCCTGGGTTGTACCCCCAGTTACGGCCCCAGTTGTAACTGTACCAATCCTACCCTGCTCCAGGGTGAAGCCTAGTGGTTGATGCTTTTCAGGACGACAGTGGCAAACTCCTTCTTGGATTTCCTGGTCTCACTGAAGTGTTGGCTGGATCGGTGCCTGCCAGCCGACAGGGAGCCACTTGTTGCAGGGGCCATGGTAGGTTCCAAACCACGTTTTTTTTTTCCGTTGCAACTGGATTTTTCGAAACAATATCCCAAAAGGCGAAAGTTGGGAATCCCAATATGTTGAATATGATATAACATAATATACATATATATATTATATATATATGTATATATCGACATGCACAATATATAGACATATTTGTTGAAGATATGTTTTTTCATGTGAGATGTGCATGACTGGCTTCGTTTGCAGAGGCGTCCCTTGCATCCTTCCGTGAATAATCCAAAAAAGATGAGACGAAGATCCAGCCATAAACATTACTTTGTCTGAAATTCAAGTACCATCCAATTTCATGGGAGGTATACCCCAAATTCAGACACATACGCGCACACACACATGTCTAAAACACAATTCTGTTTGGGGGAATCATTGTGGGTGAAGCAGTTTCGTAAATGCTTTGTTGCCATGTGGCTGCCACTTAAAGACTCATTCATTCAACCGTTCAAATCTGCGCCGCCGAGACAATACAAAGCCGCGCTAAGAAACATGAAGACACTGGTTTGCAGATGGGTTTCTTACTGGTGCTTAGCAGGGAATTTTCGGGGATGATCCATAATCACTGGTAATAATCATCCCAGCAACCCCCATTCCCATTCATTCCCTACTAAGCACCAGTAAAGGTTTTGGGCATGACTTGGGGACGACGTCTATAGGGGTTTACAAAAAACTCAAGTAGATAGGAATCATATGGAATATATATATATATAAGTGGAAATATATATATATATATTTGGAATATATATATATATATATTTGGAATATATATATATATATTTGGAATATATATATATGGTAGTATGATTAATTATTGAGTTCCGAGGTGCAGAAACAGGAAGCTGACATTGCTGACAGTGTTCCCCTATGTTGTTTTTTCTGCCCTCATTTCGAATGACGTTCGCGTCCCTGGATTATATGCCGCAAGGGCAATAGTCACACCCTATTTGTTTTTCCCGCAAAATCATTGCTGCTTATGTGTGAATCTGCAAATTATATACTTCTCAATTTTCTTTTGTCCCTCATCACCCATCCCTCTTAGAGAAACTTGAATCCATATCAAGATGTCCTGCCGTCCAACTTCAATGTGCATCCTGTTTGGTCTCGGTCTGTACATACAATTATATACAGAAATATAATATAGCATATATATATACACATACATGCATATTATGTTTTGGTTTGTCATGTTATATTATATTATTTTGCAGCGTGCTATGTTAGTATATTATATTATAATACAATTAGTGTCTTTTACTTTTTTTTTATATTATACCATATTGTATTAGTATTTTATTTATTTATATATATATACACAGCTTACATCCTCAATTTATGTGTCAAATCGTGCCAACCTTCCCAGGACAGGTCCTGGAGGACCCTCTCATGCCAGCGTGGCCGTCGTTGACGTCACCTTCGTGGCCTTTCACGACTTTCTTCTGGCAACGGCGATGGCAGAGGAACCCAAGGTGCCAAAGTCGGTCAAAGCCAAGGGCATATGTTGTGTTTCTATATATATATATATATGATATATATATATATATGATATATATAGATGATATATATATATATATATGATATATATATATATATATGATATATATATATATATATTCTATATATAATTATGATATATATATATTATTTACAAAACAATATGTGTATATGTGTATAGTATTTCTGTTATATATTTATATATACATATTTTACGGTGTGCTATGGGAATATCATTTGGGACATTGTATGTGTGTGTGTTTTCTTTAAACTGGATATTCTCACCAGATGTGTATATATTTGATTAATTATGGAACATGAGCTGAAACAAGAAATCTGCGGGGAAGAAACCTTGAGATTTAACTATCAAATAGGATATGGGCGATGTAATAGGATATATATAGTGGGTATTGTTTAATGGAAACATTACGGGGATATTTTGGGTCATATGATCATATATATACATATATGTATATCTACATACATATATATATATTACATATATATATATATGATACACATATGTTATTTATATCAATATACTATATAATGTGTGCCTGAATTGAAAGATTGACCACCAATTTCATTTTGATATATATATATATATACTGATTGCTGGATGTTTGTGGTTTGGAACTATACTCTCCATCCTACATGGGGCTTGATCCTTAATTATAATGACAGGAATGTTTTTTTCATTGGGTGAAACCACACCAACCAATAGAAACTTATAGAACGTTAATGTTTATGTCCAACTTTGATGTATGGATGTGCATGATGTTTTTTCAGTTTTAGTTGTAGTAGGTGCTGATGATATCGTAAATGCTAAAGTATACATATCTAGACGTGAAAACGAAACCATCATGCCGCGCCCCTTGAACATTTAGTTCGTGAATGTCCTACAAATGTTACTTTCCATAGGTCATTGAAACCCTGGGTGAGGCCAAGAAGCCCCGGGACAAGTCCAGCTTTGTTTGTCACAGCTGCGGCAGAAAACCGGAGGAGGGCCTGAGATGCTGCGTGTCCTGTGGGGAGGAGAACGACTTTGCACACTTTTGCCGCTGAGCTCAAAGACCATTCGGGGGTTTGACGTCAGGGATACGGGAGAATATGTAAACCCAGGATTTATGGATTGAGTGGATGAATTGGGCGGGTAACATTTCACTTTGTTCAGCAGGATTCTTTCATCCTAGACATGACAGGATGGGTCAAAATCTGTCAAAATGTCAAGGGGAACTACGGATTGACTGGTCACCAGCGACTGCCATTTGGCTGCTCCGTTTGGTGACAGGAGACGTTGGGACACGTTTAGACGTATGAGATACGGGGAAAAAAAAGCATATAGTCATTATGATAGGGAACATGATTATCTTACTGGTGCTTAGTAGGAAATGGATGGCAATGGGGGAATGGGATGATTCTACTAGTGATTGTGGATCATTCCCTCATTCCCTGCTAAGCACCAGTAAGTTATAAACCAGTGGATTTTGGGGTAGCCTAGTTTCAGACAAACCCTGACAAATCCATGTGTCAAAAACCTCACCTGCTCCCTCGCGGCAGAGAATGCCAAGGCCATGACTGTTGCAGGAGTGGTTCCTGGTGCAGCAAATGTGATGCTTGCTTCGAGTGTTGCGACCTGTCTCATTCGCCAGACGTCAGCGCTGATTGATTCGGAGAAGGCATGGAAATCGATAGACTGGGTGCCTTGAAATGCTCGCGGTGATCATGATCGCGAAGGTGCTTAGATGTGCTTAAGATGATCAAGATCTTATGGATTCTTATGAGACGTACGTGGTGATGCGATTGACTTGTACCATACGCTTGATGCTCCGGGACAAAAGATCGAGATTTGTGTGGAAAAAATGGGGCAGGCTCTACTTGGAGACAAAGACTGTCAAGGACCTTATAGATTCATACGCAATCACAACAGACATATTTAATTTCGGCATAACACATCATATAGTACATCATATATATATAATAATATGTTATAATCGTAGCATATCGTAACCTATGTCGTTGGATGAATTTTGCAGACTTTTCTCTCGGGGCACAGGGCACGACCAGGCCCACTAGGCTATGTGTAGGAACACTCTGAGCCATGGATTGATATATGATTTTGTAGTTATATAATCCCTTCCCCCTAATATTCAACACCCCCTTAGAAACCATTGTGGAAGTAGGGAATTTCCACATGATTGGGGGCCATTTATGGGGTGTTTAATATTAGGGTGATGGGATTATTTAGAATGACAGGTGTAATATGGTAACCAGTAGTGCGAATATATGATATGGTATGATCACATAATTAGTGGTAATATGATGAGAATATGACTATATATGTGTATTTGACCATACTAGTAATATGGTAATATGTATCACAATATACATATGTATGGTACATATACAGCTTTTTTTTTGTGTTTATGTCTTTTTAGGACTAGCACAATATATGTATACATATATATAGTCATAGCTCTAGACCTACCTTCTCGTATTGTATATACTACTGGTACTTACGGCATACACACATAGACATAAGTTTCGATTTGGAAATGTAAGATGTACCTTAATTTCTTTTTTTGAGTCAAGTTGATCAGTTGCCGCTGGTTGGGATAGATAACTGATGCGATTCCATAGCGATTTCAGGACTAGCATCGATTCCTGAGAGAAACATAATTCCCTGAGATTCGTTGCCGAATCTCACTGAACATGTACGTGATATGATGGGCCCCAACTACATATATATATATAGATATATAAATATGTATATATATATATACATATATATAAATATATATATATAAATATGTATATATATACATATATATATATATGTGTATATATATATATGTATATATATACATACATATATACATATATATATATACACATATTCAAAAGATTCAAGGCAGCCTGTTGTTTCTGCTGTTGCAGTGCGCGCCTTTTGTCTGTTGGGCTCGGACATGTTGTCACCCCAGGCTCAAGGCCTGTTGAACCAGAATGACATGTTGACATGACCATATGTCCAGTACGACAACTGTTGTACACGCAAGGGTGTGTTGTCCTTAACACGGCCCCTCAGCTTGTTGAACCCTCTGTTCATCAGGCTGATACAAAAATCTGCTATTCACATGTTGAACTGAAACGTATTGATCTGTTGCAAGGCATGTTGCATCAATGTTGCAAATCACCTCTGTACAAACTGATGGCATGTAGTTTTTTTGCATCTGCCGTCAGCCGCAGATGTTGGTGATTGCAAACCAGCTATTGAATTAGAGGCTGCGTTGGGCTCTCACATGTTGGCGTCCCTGTTGCGCTCATCTTCATCATCTTCCATCTCAGTCTCCATGCGACTGTTGGCGTTGTTGCGCCAGGTGTTGACCTCTGTCACATACTCATTGTGGTCAGGGCTGTTGCCGCTCCGGCTTGTTGTCATCTCTCCTTGTTGAGGGTCCCCCACACTCTTGAGTTGGGATCAAGCCCTCTTCTTTCTCCTGACGCGCAGTTTGTTGTTGAACCTGTTTCCTCTTTCCTGTTGTTACAGTCGTTGTCTGTTTGTTGTTGAGGGTCCCCCAGTGTTCTGGGATCAAGCCCTCTCCTTTCTCCTGTTGGGTTTCTACCTAAGTGCTCCTTGTTGTTGTTTGTTTGTTGGAGCTCACCTGGATGCTGCCTGGATCACTGCTCCGCTACCATGAAAAGATTATTCAAGGCAGCCTGTTGTGTCTGCTGTTGCAGTGCGCGCCTTTTGTCTGTTGGGCTCGGACCTGTTGTCACCCCAGGCTCAAGGCAAGGCCTGTTGAACCAGAATGCCATGTTGACACGACCAAATTTCCAGTACCACAACTGTGGCACACGCAAGGGTGCGTTGTCCTTAACACACATATATATATATGTATTTATATATGTAGATATATTTAGGGATATATATCTATATATATTTATATATAGATATATAGATATATAGATATATAGATATTTAGATATATAGATATATAGATATATAGATATATAGATATATATAGATATATATAGATATGTATATATATATATATATGTATATATATGTATATATATATATGTATATATATATGTATATATATATATATGTATATATATATATGTATATATATATATGTATATATATATACACATATATATATACATATATATATATATTATACAATGGATCGCCCCAATGAAGTCCCAGCAGAACACCAAGCATGGTTCAAACTCTGTGAAGCAATGTGAGCGGAGACCATGACCAGGACTCCACTGTTCTTTTAATGTTGACATGTGCGCATATAAGTAGATAGGTGCCATTAAAAGACTGCATTTTCAAGGAACAATTCCACAGGAAAATATAGGGGGTAACTAAAAATCCAACAAATCCGGATAATTTTCTGTGGGCTGACGTACATTCTATATATTCATATATACACGCCACATCTCCATGCAGACCATCCAGAAGTGTTTTTTTTGTGCCAACCTATAGGTGACTCTCCAAGCTTTGTTGCAGACCTTCCGTTGGCATCTCAGACTGGGACGCTGAAAAAAAAATGGTTAGTTCGGGTTCTTGGAGACATAGATGTGATTTGAAGACCCCATTTGAATGGAAATATCATGATGGAAATATCATGACGGAAATATCCACATTTTTATGGAAATATAATATCCCATCCATGTATATTTTAATAATATCCCAATTTTATGGAAAAATCGTGGGGATATTATTAGATTATATAATCTATCAATGGTACAGTAGCATTTGAACAGGGGTTGGCAAGTGTCCCTTCTTGAGGTGTTCAAAATCATTGAGTAAATTCAAATTTGTTTTTGGAGATTATATCCCCAATAGTTGGGAGATGCTTAATCAATTAGGACATATAGTTACCAACCCTTGTTGAACATGCTGGTGTTGTTTGACGAACATGGTAGTAAACAAACAAAAACATGAATTTGACATAGGATCAGACACATATACACACTCTGTTTCGATCTATCCATCTCCCTTTCTCTAATATGTATATAGATATATGTAGAGACAGAGAGAGATAAATATTCATGGGCAGACACATTTTGTACATGTATAATCTCTTGACCCATGGAAAGTCAGCATGATTTTTTTTTCTGATGTTATATGTCTTGTTGAAGGTACATGGTTCCATCCAATTTCAACCCAACGCACAGTGAAATGACCTCGTTGTGCAGCATCAAAATTCCGGTGATCGCTTCCCCTCACGAATGCTATGGCCACCAGTGCCCCAGGCACCATGGATTTGACCAAACCACTCTTGCCCGCCTTGCAGTGCAACGATGCTGCGAAGGTCTTGTTGTCACTGGGACGGCAGAGAGGAAATCCGAAACATCAATTGTTCCACAGATATTCCTACTGCCTACTGACAATCCTAGATTTAAGGGGTAATCCTACTGGTATTCCTATTGATATTCCTACTGACAATCCTAGGTTTGAGCCAGTTTACGTCTCATTTTTTTTCATGAAAGGACGGCCCTTCATTTCGGCACATGCCCTGAGGGATTGTGCCAGGAAGATGAGGAAAGGCATATTTTTTTTTGAGCATTTGTTTTTCCAAAACTGTAAAACAATGTGATAAGTTGTAAATTTCAAAAGCAAGTGGTTGTAGAAACCATTCCATATAGGAAATTTCTGATTTGGGTTCACCACATGGTTTCATGGTTTGGTTTGGGTATTTGGTGGCTGTTTGTTCAGATACATTTTGTATGTTTTTAGTTTTTGGTTGCACATGTTCGCACCTCTGGTTTCAGAGAGATTATGATTCCGGTCATGTCTGATGACAGTTGACCAGCACATAAATATCTTGGGTATCCCTAGGTAAGGTAGCTCAAGTATCCATACAGTCTGGGCTTGGATTCCCAACCAAAAACCAGGCTTTCAGGTTCCAATTAAGTACCCTCCATTCATGCATTTCAAATCAAATGAAATTATATACAGTAGCAACTTATTTCCCAAATCATCAAGTGTTCAAAGTCCATGGCCATGGGCCTTCATCGAACACAAGGCTCTAAGTTAGATGCCTTTTCCCCTACCTTTCCCATCTTATCCCTCCAATGTTTGCAATGTTTCCATATCCATTGGGGCGGTGATGGCAAGTGGATTGTGTCTATAGGTCTAGGGTTAATGGATGTCTTATGGATCTAGAATGGATCCAGAATCTAAGCTACAAATCCATACGGATGCCCGGATGTTCGTACAGAGTATGTATGTCATTCAACTGTCATTAGTTTATATGGACTCCCTTCGATTTTTTTTGGATCTGCAATTATGTCAATGCAAACAGCATGTCTATGGAACTATTCTCTTGACTCCTTTTGCTCCCAGCATTGGTTTTCAGCAAAAAAAAACCGATCCATTGAATCCATTCAAGAGTGGTTTTGATCTCAAGAGGGAGATCAACCATCTGATTCTACTGTGATGATATGACCGAGCCATGAAAATCCCGACTGATCTTCAAAGCGACTCAAAGCGAGTCTTAATGGTTGGATCCAATTCTTGTCAGAATAAGATCAGCCATAAAAATATATATATATAATACCCTCAAGTTGGAAGGTTCTAGAATGCCCCCCCCTGGGTATAAACACGGAGGGTTCTAGAATGATTTTTTTTCATTGTAGAACCCCCGGTCCCGTAAGCATTGTAGAACCCTGGAAGCTTGTATAATACAGCATAATATATTTTAATATTTATAATATATTATAATAACATATGATGATGTATCTGTACGATTTAATTCGACGTCACGACGTCACCCCGAATTAACGAGGCAGAATTTTGAAATTAAGGGGATTTGTACATAAAGTGCAGAAGGTCAAATAAGATCAAATAAGGCCTTAACAACGTTACAGAGAAATACAGCTATTTAATGCTATTTCATGATATTTCAGCATTGGTCTATAATACCAACAGTTGATTTGGAAACACATTGATCTGGAATGTCCCAATTTCTCTTGTGGAGAGGAGGGAAGGGTTCTAGAATGGTTTCCTGCATGTACCAAAGTGTGATTCAACATCCGTGGCCCATGGATTCCATTTCAGAACGCATAGATGTAGCTCTATACACAGAAGGTCAAATAAGATCAAATAAGGCCTTAACAACGTTATAGAGAAATACAGCTACTTAATGCTATTTCATGATATTTCAGCATTGGTCTATAATACCAACAGTTGATTTGGAAACACATTGATCTGGAATGTCCCAATTTCTCTTGTGGAGAGGAGGCAAGGGTTCTAGAATGGTTTCCTGCATGTACCAAAGTGTGATTCAACATCCGTGGCCCATGGATTCCATTTCAGAACGCGTAGATGTAGCTCTATACACAGAAGGTCAAATAAGATCAAATAAGGCCTTAACAACGTCAGAGAAATACAGCTACTTAATGCTATTTCATGATATTTCAGCATTGGTCACAATACCAACAGTTGATTTGGAAACACATTGATCTGGAATGTCCCAATTTCTCTTGTGGAGAGGAGGGAAGGGTTCTAGAATGGTTTCCTTCAGGTACCAAGGTGTGATTCAACATCTGTGGCTCATGGATTCCATTTCAGAACGCATAGATGTAGCTCTATACACAGAAGGTCAAATAAGATCAAATAAGGCCTTAACAACGTTGCAGAGAAATACAACTACTTAATGCTATTTCATGATATTTCAGCATTGGTCTAGAATACCAACAGTTGATTTGGAAACACATTGATCTGGAATGTCCCAATTTTTCTTGTGGAGAGGAGGGAAGGGTTCTAGAATGGTTTCTTTCATGTACCAAAGTGTGATTCAACATCCGTGGCCCATGGATTCCATTTCAGAACGCATAGATGTAGCTCTATACACAGAAAGTCAAATAAGATCAAATAAGGCCTTAACAACGTTACAGAGAAATACAGCTATTAATGCTACTTCATGATATTTCAGCATTGGTCTATAATACCAACGGTTGATTTGGAAACACTGGTCCATTACAAGAAGTGAAGATGTTGAAGAGTTTGACGCATGAGTGCATCATCGAGTATATAAAGTTTTGGATGATTTTTAATGATTTTTTAAAGGGTGGAAGATACCATTTCAGAACCCATTTTAGAACCCAAAAACGGAATAGTGGCCAACAATTTTAGGTTCTAAGACCCCCCTTGTAGATTCCATTTTAGAACCCATATTTGGGTTCTAAAATGGTCCCCAAGGGGGGTTGAAGCAACTTGAGAGGATTATATATATATATATATATATCTGGTTGGTGGTTTTGAAAATTAATTTTATTTTTCCATAATATATGGGATAATCCTTCCCATTGACGAACTCATATTTGTTTAAAGATGGTTACCCATATATTGGGAAATTCATGATCCCAACTGACTTTCACTCCATCATTTTTCAGAGGGGTGGGCTCAACCACCAACCAGATATATATATATATATTATATAACCATATCATACTTGGTTAACCATTGCAGATATAGATTAACCATTAAACACATATATTAACCACCACCACTACCATCATACTTGGTAGTTACATGAACCAATGCTTGTTGTATCACACACCCATGGCTGAGGTCGAGGAGTTCAACCAGGCCGGGTTTCCCCGATGGGTTTCGATCAGTCGATGTGGTTTCTGGGATGGCGAAATGGTTTCGGAAAAGCTTTTGGTTGGTGGTTTGGAACAGGTTTAATGGTATGTTATGATATTTAATGGGATATTTAATGGGATACATTGGGAATGTCATCATCCCAACTGACGAACTCATATTTTTCAGAGGGATGGCTCAACCACCAACCAGTTATGACGTTCCATATATTGGGAATAAGGTGAACAACTGACGAACTCATATTTTTCAGGTTCAAACCACCAACCAGTATACAACTGAGGTATCTGATCTTTTGGTGATTTTTTGTAGTCATGTTTTTGCGTGGTTTCATGACTTTTACTGACATGACTGTTGTGATTCCGGTGTGATTGATTTAAACACATTGCTTTTGTAGATGCTGTAAGAATATATCACGGAGCACTACTGGGGTAGCCCAAGTCGCCAATCCGTGCATTTAGGTCTCCACAAAAATGCTCTGTACATGCTACATATGCTACTTTCAAACTCCAAAAGAGAGGAGAGGCAACAAAGAGCAGCTTCTGATTGGTGGTTTGAAACAGTTTTTATTTTCCATATATTGTTGAATAATATGGAATGTCAGCATCCCAACTGACTTTCACTCCATCATTTTTCAGAGGGGTGGCTCAACCACCAACCAGAAAAGCGTTGACTTGGACCGAGTCTTGGGATGCCATGGTCAACTTGGTCGTTGGTTGGTCACCTCCAAGATGGCGTGATGTATTGTGATGGCACTCGCATTGCTTGTCGCTGCTTTTTCCAGTTCAGTCGCAATTGGATGCTGTTCATGTTTTTTTCCCATTGTTTTCCATTTGTTTTCCTATCATTGTTGCTACTTGCCCCAACTTTGGTCATTCTCTTGTGCATCTTCATGCGTTTTTCGGGGCAGGCACATCCTTTGCGCTGGTGAGAACATTGTGAATCAGAACAAGAGGAGACTCAGGGCTACCGCGGCTACCGCAGGTCGCAGTGCCCTGATACCCTCCAAAGATCGTAAAGACCTTGGTTGAATATTGGATAACTGAATATTTCATAATATTTCTTTTTGGTGGTATAACTTCCATCTAATCGGTATTTACCAGATAAAGGGGGGGGAAGTATGTGTGGACTCAGGAATCAATGAACCTCTGTTTGCGTATGGATAGGGATGTATCAGTATTTTGGAGACCCCTTAGCAATGAGCTGGGTGTTTGTTACATAATCCGGGGTTGACAATGAAGCACTGGCCCACTGGTTGGTTGATTGATGCTGGCATGTCAAGTGGGACCCAAATGATGATAGCATGGCTGCCATGGCTTGTCACTTCCCACGAGGTCCGCTCTATATCAACTTGTGAATTGCAGACAGACCTAGCCACGATCTTCGCCAGTCAAGAGAGCACATTTCAACTGATTCCAACCTGTGCATTGCCCACAGAGCTGACACAGAAAGATGAGGGCAATGATCTAATATGGTTTTGTCTGAAAATAGTGTACTTAAAGACTATTAATTAAAGACTTACCATTCCATCCATTGGATTATCATCATCTTCCACATGACAAAACTAACCATCGCTGTGAGTTGTTCCTAAGCATTTCCAGCCCCATATCCCCAGCTTTAGGCCCTGAGGTTCCCCGTAGCCAGGAAGTACGAGGGAGTGATTCTCCTGCTTCGTGGCACCGTGTCGTTGCAGATCAATGGTGTTGAGGATGGACAATGGTGGAATCTGTTTGTCGTATATGGGGCCAAAAAAATGGGTATCAATATGTGGTAAATAATAATATCTTACATGTCCTTATATGTCATATATATTCTTATATGTCTTATATATTATATGATAATATGTCTTATTACAGTCTTATATATATTATTACTAGTGTGAACATAATCGTGTGTGATAGATATATTTATGGGTTGATAAAGCAAGTTAAGGCTGGGTCTGAGTCCGATCTTCTGTTTGGGTATCCAATGTTGATGTATATGTTGACCCAAAATGACCCAAATCCATATCTGACTTTTTTTTGCTGATCTGTTTTCATGATTGATTTAAACTAGTCTATGCTTGGACCAGTCGTTTGGAGACAACGATAGGAGTAACTCAAATTGCACTGTCCATCCCACAGGGATATCACTTTTTCGCTAGCGAAGGCAGATTCACAAGAGGTGTCGACATGCTTCGTTTTAGTGATGTTTCCCAATCTCTGACCAAAAAAACAAGTCTGGTTTCATGACATTTTTTGACATGTTGGTGTTTTTTTAGTGATGTGTCCATGTTTTTTGGTGTTTTGAAATGACCCAAAAACACCAAGTCCTGGTACGACCGCGGTACCGAACGCAGGCTCGACAAATTACTGACGGACAGGCCGGCACATCCGGATGGTCAGTGGTGGTTCCACGATGTGTCGAGTGGCATTGTGATGTATTATGATAGTATAAGTCGTCATAATACATCATAGTGCCACTCAATTATCATAATGCCCTATAATGACCATCAATATTATCATAATGACCATCAATATTAAAAGTCCCTATAATTATGGTGGTTTCCGTAGAGTCAAAAAGGGGTACCCCTAGTAAAAACATCGATTTATAGATTGGGATTTTCCATGAAATAAACCATCCATGTTGGGAGTATCCCCCCTCTGAACCCCCCATATGGAGTTGTTTTTAGATATGGTTGATACTTGGCTGACTGTAGAAAAAAACAATTCTGCAGGAACTTGTGTGGTTTGCTTATTTAGATGAACAAATGCATACAACCATTTTGTTTCCAGTCCAAAAGCCAAGACTGCCAGATTGCTTCAATATGCCTTCCAGCAATTCCCGCGGAGCTGACTAACTGGGAACCATCTCAAACGAACACACCGGAGTGGGTGATTTGTGAGTGTGGGAAATCGTTTGGGAATTAAGCTTAATAATATACATAGTTATGTATATATAATTATGTATATATATATATATATATGTATGTGTATATATATATGAGCAACGGACAAAATTAGTGTGATACTAATTTAGTTGTGTATCTTCTTGGCCTTTGTGAGGTTGCACAAAACCTTCATAACCGATAGGGGACGACCCTATTATACCCATACCCTATTTGTGATACCACCAAGAGTACTGAAATCCTCACAACTGATAGGGGGAAGACCCTAATTTGTGTATGGCATTAAATTTAACAAAACATTTTGTCCGCTACTCATATTTATATATATATATATATATATTGGATGTATTTTTTTCATGTCACCCATGTTTTTTTGTACCTATGCGTCCCATTCCTCTAGGTGGTGGGTGAAGAGATGCTGATGAAAGTGACGCCCAAATGGAGGCTCCACTGTTGGGAGATGTGTGGAACTTTTAAGCTGCCGGCGGCTCAAAGATGGAGTGTCTATACAGAATCCAGAATTTCTATGGATGTCTTGGTTATTATAGCTGGTTGGTGGTTTGGAACATGGCTTTTATTCTTCCATATATTGGGGAATTTCATCATCCCAACTGACTGTCATATTTTTCAGAGGGGTTGAGACCTCCAACCTGATAGTATTTTGCCATCCGCTTTGCCTTTTCTTAGTTTTGAGACATTCCCATGTAGGGAGTTTTCACAACGGTGACACAAACAAACGCAGCCTTTGACTGACTCTACAGTAAATTCAGACAGATGTAGAATCCCCTCGATGAATCTAGATAGTTTTCCTATAGGTAAAACCGTTTTGTTGACTCACCATTGGGTAGTTCTATAGAGGGTTCCAGGCACAGATTTTTATGGATCATGTTTAGCAGTAAACCATCCTTCTTTACTTACCGAATGACGCATTTTTTTCGAGATGAAAATCGGTGAGAATTTTGCGCTGGTCCTGACGATGACGCTTAGTGTTAACGAATAAGCAACAAGATATGTGTAGTTGTGTGGTACCTACTAAATAATATTGTGTATATATATATACAATGTCATATATTACATACAGTAGATACATCAAAAACCACAAAAAAATCCCCCACCATCCGGGGTTCCGAAGCAGTGACAGACCCAGGCATCCCATAGCCACCCATTTTCCTGGGAATGGTAACCATACCACCTATAAAAATTAAAAATGATGATTTTGAGGATGGTTTATGGCATTGTTTTACCCACATTATATAGATACTTTGCTCATAAAGCCCATTAAGTATACAGTACATAATACCTCCATAAACCCAAACGATAACCAAGTTCTAAGATGCTATAAGTCAATTTAGCTATCTAGGTGGCCCCACCTTGTGGTTATATTCATGTACTGATTTTTGAATTGTTTTTTTATTATGTGATTTTAGATGTATCCTGTTTCGATTGGCATGTATATATATATACACACATAAAGATTACAATCGATTATTCTGAATTGTCTATTCATGTATGTATATGTAGATGTCGTGTATCATTTCTACACGTATTTACATCATCATCATCATCATCATCATCATCATGGGTTCAATGCCCGTTTTATTTGTTTAATATATGCAAAGTCTGGTTACACATCATGGTCATGAAGTGAGTAAGCAGTGTTCAACACCCCTCTGGGTTGATGATTTGTCCGGGGATTATACTATCCAATTTTTTGGGGATTATAACCATCCATGAATTGGGAAATCCGTAACCAAGCTCAAGTCAATTATGCTCCAGGGGAATGATCACAATTCTGATTGGGATTTCCCAAAACGCCAACGGACTTTTTTTACTCTCTGGTAATGACTAACAGTCTGCTATTGAACATGGCCTGTGTATAGTTGATTTACCTATGAAAAAGATGGTGATTTTCCATCGCTTTTGTTTACCAGAGGCTAATCCCAAGTGTTTCACGCGGAAAAAACAGGTACAGCCTTTGCTGTTTGACTTTCTGCGACGTGATCATCTTGCATCGCCGGCCCTTTCTCAACCTGGTGACCCGGTGATACCCGGTGATACCCGGTGAGACCCGGTGACCGATGCGACCGATGATGCTTGAGAAATGACCCGAAATGGTTATAACTAACATAGCCATGGTATAGATGGCCCATAGAAATAGATGGTTTACCGGTTTACCTCTCAAAAATGGGTGGATCTTTCCATGGCTATGTTAAATAACCATGTGGTAATTATTAATGATTTGATCATTGTCATGGCTAAGCGGCAAAAAAGGATAACCTGTGATATTTGGCTGTACATTGAATATGTCTTTCACCAAGATGATATTTGCGCTGAAATTTCAGGGATTGACCCTCAAGATATGGGGAACGTGAATGATGATGAAGTCAGTGGATTCAGGGGTGCTCTAATTTCAGACAAAGCCCATGGTGTTTAATCCACCGATGGGGAGCTAAGCTTACCAACTAACAATGGGAATATCACCAGCAAAATATGGGGATATCAACCAATATGTCCCTGTTTTTGGTCGTCAACACGGGATTTGAGATTTGTTTGGGGATTCATTGTTGTTGTAAATTCAACCCCAATGATGGTTACAATCCCCTACACTGGCTGTCGGTTTCAAACAGTTTTCACTTTTCACCCTGTACATGCAATGATGATCCACATTGACATTCATCTTCGAGGGATGTGTTGAAACCACCCGGGACTTTTTCTGAGTAGATCATTGGTTTCTGTCCTTGACTGCTTGCGCATGGTTACGAACTGAGAAAAATCATGAGGCTTCCGTTGCGTCACCATCCAGCGGGAGTTTGGGAGTTTCCTCATGTCGTCTTGTTTGAGTCTATTTGTTTTGTGGTTTCCTCATAGTTTGAAAAGAGAGAACCCATTGTTCAAAGGGGAAAATATGTTAGGAAATATATGTGTTACACACATATCACATTCCAATGCTTTGATGAAAGACACAACCTTTTTCAGCCCTCCGATGTCTGAGGTAAAAGAAGCGAAACCACCCAGTTCATCAGAAGAAGGTCCCTTGGAACTGGGAATTGCCACAGCATTCCGGGAATATCCCAGAATTTCCAAGCACCTTTGAAGTAAAAAAACGGAAACTGTCAATTTTAGACGTATTTTAATGTAGCGGAAACCAGCGACCATTGGTGACTCTCAACTATAATTTCTGTGGGATTCCGGGCGGCAATTTTATGTTAAGTTTTAGTTTTCTCCCAATATCTTACCACCAATCCTCACTTCAAGGACCACCCAGCACAATCTGTGGAGCGGACTTAAGCTGTCAGGCGTCCTCAATTTCCTGAGCCCAAGGGTACAATGTCACCCAATGCACAGACCTTGTTTGTTGATTCTATGTGTAATGTTCGTGGTGAACAGAACTCATAGTCATCCCACAGTTGAAATCAACGTTTCATTTTTCTCGACCATGATATGATATCATTCCAGGTTGGTTGTTTAAAAACATTGTATTTTCATGTATTTTCTCCATCTTGGCTGAAATTATGATGCCACTTGATCTACTATGTTGAGATGGGTTGACACGATCAAGTACATAATTACACGTTACAACAGTGGAACCGTGAATTCTCCAGCCTGGGGTTCTTAAGTCCCATCTGTGGAAAAGTAGCGAAACTATGAACGAGGGTACCCTCAAGTTCTTAAGGGGTTATATAGTTCTTCATCTTCACTTTGGGGTGCAGTTACATTGAAAGATAGATAATAGAACTGTTTGGCGGTATGGGCCTGTCCTTGCAAGAACCAAGAACCATGGAGAGCTGTTCTGGCTACGCTCTTTGCTGTTTGCTGCCTGCTTTTTGGAAAGCCTTTAATGATCATGTGCTGTCCGGGACTTGTTTTTCAAGCAACAAAGACCAAGGAGTACCCCTGGGAAAGGCAGATAAGAACCGGCCGCAAATCCAGGATACCCTAGGGTTCTTATTTCAAGTAGCATGATAGGGGTGCATCCAGCAATCCAGCGATGCAGTGGGTTCTTAAACAATGGTTTCACCGTACACAATGTGATACAATGTGTATATATATATATAACATCATGCAAGTACACATGTATAGACTTAGGTGTGCTATGTGTATATACATATATATATATATAATTTACGCATATTTGTATACTTTTTTTGTGGTTTGAAATCATCAAACCATCAATCACCCAGTATGTCGGAGGACTCGAGTGTCAGCGCTTGGCTTTCCTGCTGGCGGGTCCATGGCGCGAGGAGAATCTACGTTTCTGGTCCATGGATGTCCATGGTATATGTAACTATACTACACTACATATAGTATATAGCATGTGTGGCATATGGTATTTTTGTTCATAGTGTTTTTTGATGTGTATAGTATATATATATATAGGATTCAGTATCTATAGTTGTACATGTACACTTGCATTTTCCAGAAAAGGTTGGATCATGATGATCACGGTCTCCATCATCAAAAACAAAACTTCAAGTTGGAATGGAAGGAGTATTCAAAGGAATTCTGAGTATGGCACATAGGGCCGTAGCATAATGTAATGGTCAAAGTGGTGCACGTGATACATGGTTTTTTGTGACCATATTATGTCCAAAAAAAGCCTTCTGTGAGTGTTTGGACCTGTAAAAACTAAAATACTTGAACTCATATAAACTCATATAAACTCATCTAAACTCATATAAACTCATACAATCCTATGTATATATATATATACATAAACTCATATAACCCCATATTTTCCCCTTCTATTGACCCCGGTTTTTGTCGCCATGGGATCCAAAAGGAGCAAGTCATCGTCTCCCTGCCCATCTTCCATGGCTTCGATGGAAATTTTCTAAGTCACTCGACCGGATTTTGGAGTCGGCGGCACTAGGTAGGAATAGGAATCAGCACGAAAAAAATCCGGATTTGTTTGTTTGTTTTTTTTTTCGGGATTTTTTGCCAATGATTAAATGGGTTTGGGCGGCCTGTGATGTATATATATATATATATTATTTATATATTATATAATGATATGGGATATAGATGGATAGTGCGTGGAGATTTGTTTTCACCAAGATGATATTTGCGTGTCTGAACATGAGGGATGAATGGGGATTATGCCATGGTTCATTGGGTATTTTGAGGGGTTTATTGATAAGACATAGGTCACCCGAAACTTGTATAGCATCTGGTGATTTTTTCATAGCAAACTGGAAAATCACCAAGAATATAATAATGTTTATCATCTATAAATGGGCCATCTATACCATGGCTGTGCGAACCAGGGATTTAAGGTAGCATTTGTTTGGGGGATAGCCTTTACTATGATATTATATGGGATATATATATAGTGGAGTTGTTTTACCAAGATGCTGGCGTGTTGTGCGTGTCTGAAAATGAGGGATTGACCCCCAAGATATGGCCTGATTGCTGGTTGGATTTGGGGGCATCCAAGCAAGTTTCAGAGAACCCCATGTATTGAAACTAATCTATGGTACCCTCTGGTAAACTAACATAACTATAGAAAATCACCATTTTTAATGGGACAATCCACTATAAATGGGGTATTGTCTACAGCTATGTTAGTTTACCAGATGGTAACTGATTCCATTTGTTTGAAGAGAATGTATAACGGCCCTTCAGAAATTACGGCTGCCAGTCGCCATGGATTAAAATAATCAAACATGTATTTATATACATACTTTTCCTTAATCCTCCCTACTCCGCAGTCATTAATTATATGTTTGATTATATCATTAATTGTATAAACATGATTAGTTGTGCATGTATAACTACCCCTTGGCCTTGTCGTTGCGTGAGGTGTTTTACCGCAGCTGATGGAGACGCGAGTTGTGATGCCAGGGCACAAAATTTGGGAAGCCACCCCCGAGGAGCGGAACTTTGGGGGATGGGATGCTATGGGTCAAAATGTGGGCACCCGAAAATTCGAAAAGTTCAGAAGATCCAAAGGCCTTTACCTTTAATAGTGACCCATAACCAAAGCATACCAAAGGTGTTTGGGGGAAGTGTCTATCATTTAAGGCCGTGTGTTTTTTTCTGTCATAAATTTGCCCACAAATATGGTTCCTCGATCTCGCGAGAACGTGTGCTTTTGGAATTTCAACCATGAGCATTTAACAACATTTCTTACTTGGACTAATTTCCCCCAATATTTGCTGTTTGGCTGTTTGGTTATTGTTCATGGGAGTTGCAATATGACGGTATCTCTCGGGATAGCTTCAAATTGTGCCAGGAGAGATCTCTCTTTCTGCTGCTTCATGGAACAGCTGACGAGGCACTGATCCAGGATGGGTCAAAACTACCCCAATCATTGGATGGTTAATACTAAAAATATCTAAAACTAAGCTAAAATCAGTGGTGCCCTGGGTCTTAAATTTTAAGCCAAGCCAAATGTTAAACCACTCAACCAATTTTCTGGTCCGAGAATCAATGAACATGACATGAACATGATACAAATGTTCAAGCTCACGTAAATTCTTACAGGACGGTTTCATCTAGTTTCAAGATACCTGATGAATACTGATGATACCTGTAAGACTAAGATAAACAAATCTTTCAGGAACTGGCTGCTATAAGTGGGCAAAATGGGCCACTTACTGCTAGAGGTCTTTGCTGTGGCCAATTGCCACTTACCAACTGGAGTTCCAGTCACAACTATCCATATATATATATATATATGCAGATAGATATGCATATATATATATATACGTACGTATATATATATATATATGTACGTAATCTTCCTGAAGTATATAGAACATGGAATTGTCAACACAATTCCCATATATGCATAAGGATTTGGATGGAAAATGTCATATTGTATCTACTTCAGGATGATCATGTATAATGTACTAAACCCAATAATAAACCACTCCCAAAATCACATGTGTTCATGCGCGGTCCAAAGCATCAATTGGTCGTTGATTATTTGGTTGTCCTGCATTTTATAGCTATATTATGCTATATTGTTATGTTATGTATATATATATATATATATAATTATATATAATTATATATATAATTTTATATATGTACTTATATATATATATACTTATATACATAAATATATACATAATACATATATATATATAGTTTCTATATGTATATACAGATATGTATATATATATAGTATATGTATATACATACACATTTGTAAATACACACATGTATATACATATATGTATATGTATATGCGTTTCTATCTGCATTTCTGTACATGTATTATATATATATATACATCCTCAAGAACCGCTGGCTGCCCTGCCAGATCCTGACGACCTACAAGAAGCGACGTGCCTCACAGCTGACCCAAGCCAGGCGAGGTCAGTGCCGGTCACGCGCAGCAACCAACGAGACCAAAACGCTGGGATTTTGATCAGCAAAATACCGGGGAGTTTTTTCTGTTGACCTGGAATCATATCTTATCATATTCAGATTTAAAGATGAAAGATCATGAAATTATGGGGAAAGATCATGAAATTATGGGGAAAGATCACGGGAATGGTCAAGATCATTCAAGATCTCTGATTTTCGATACGTGCGGATGAACATCCATACCAGCTGTTTTGATATGAAGAAGCAAAGTGCCAGGGTGTTGATGCATAGCCAGAGCCCACTTTTCGTGGTGCTATCCCAATATGGTTAAAACATGTTAAAGCCTATGTTTCTACAACACGATTTTTAACTTGGTACTAAATGTTCTTGCACGTTTCATTCCTTCATGTTCGTAACCTCAAAAGGATAGCATCATGCTTTATCATCAATTTAGTGGGACAAAAAACGTCCTTTCCTTGGGGTTGCTATAACTATTTTATGCTTAGAGAAAAGAAAAACATACTTTGGTGGGTTTGTGACCAGTTGCTGTAGAAATGCAACTACTGTAATTACATCACCACATATCACCACGATGCGCTCTGAAAGCACTTTGAAAGCACGAAAACCTATGAAAGGTATCTGTCGACCTGGAGTTGCTGAAGTTTCCCAATGGGAAATCCATGATATACTTGGGGAATCTATATGGAACATGTTTCATTTTGGGGTCCCAATCCGCAAATCCCAGGTTGAAAGGCGGACAGGCTGGGACCGATCGAGCCATTGGGGCCCAAACCTAGTATACAAGCCATGGTTGGAAATACACTACTCATACAAGCCTGTATGTGGTTATTTTTATACTCTGTGTATACTGTACCTAATTTCTAGAAATACTTACAAATCATGGCTGAAATCCAACAACGAACCAGGCGTCGGAGTATTTGGTGAGGACTTCCCGGAGAACATTGAACCAGGGCTCCTGTGAAGGAGGAGCACATATGCTTGGCCTCAGGAAGGCCGGAGCTGGTTTCGGGTCAAGATTTGACACCATTTTTTGGTCAACTTTGAGCCGTACCCTCTGGTAAACTAACATAGCTATGGAAAATCACCATTTTTTTATGGGAAAATCCACTATTGATGGCCATTTTCGATAGCTATGTTAGTTTACCAGAGGGTATCCCAATGAAGATCGAAGTCTAGGATTGGCATTGGTGAAAAGCTGGTTTCGGATGGGTTTATGTCATAACTTTCAGACTTTCAGAGCGTGCATTTAAGTGGACTTGCACAGGATCAGAGGACTTAGATATTTAGATGTAGTTACTAGACTTATGTTTGTACAGTTTTAAGATTTCTTTGAGGTGCAACATATTTTTTTGCCAAGGCTGAATTTCACACATGGCTTGTGATTCTGCTCCTGGAAAGATGGCAACGAAGTATAGTTTCAGATGGGGTAAATGCCAGTCCCCTTCTTTGCAATCTCTGGGTCATTTGGAAGCTTATCATTTTACTTTTAGGCATTTGATTTGTTTGTGCGAATAAACCTGGCCCTGTGAAACATGACTTACTGGGACCCACCCCCCATTCTTGACTGGCTTGGATTTGATTTGATGCCATTTGATTCGATTAGATAAGACTACATAGATATATATATATATAAGTCATTCCATAGGTAATATATTTAGATAGTTAGATAGCTAGATACATCGATAACTTGTTTCATTATCCCATATCCTTCCGTTATGTTCCCCATTACAATCCCCATTGGACGGATGGATAGATGTCTAAATCTAAATTGCATCTATTTTATCAATGGTATTGCCAAAACCATATCGGTACTATATTAGGTATATTCATGGATGGATATTTACCAGATGAATAAATATAGATAAAACCATAAAATCGTGCTATACCAACGTTATCATCTATAGATACCATCCATATCCATCCATACATATATGTCCAGATATGTCCAGATCTCTCTATATATGTATATATATATACATATATATATATATACCTTGATATTTATTTGGTGGCTAAATGGAAACTAAATCTTATGTATTACATATACCGTCACAGTAAGATATAGTTTGGGTAAAACCATTGGCTAATAGATATACTTCGGATATCTATAGTTACAAAATTTGTATTATGACGACCAAGAAAAAATACTTATAGATTCTGTTTACCCGTCAGACAACACTTTATTTTGTTAATGATACTATGTAGTTACCAAAGGTAAACAAAAGGTAGATGCCTACTATGCAAAAATCGTTTGTGTCTATAGTGCATAAAAAAATACATCGTATACACATTCTGTTGAACAAAGGTACCCATTGTCACAGATATTCGGTACAGATACTGTTTACCCTCCCGTAATTGAACATGGTTATCGATAATGGCACATTTATAGTTCGGAATGACCGGTTAAGAAATGGTGATTTTCCATGTCCCAAACTCTAACAAATTACCGGATTGTAAGATATGTTGTTAGTCATATTTGGAACACTTTGGAACCCTCGCATACGCTCCATGTTGCTGAAATATCTAGCAACATGTATCTCCCAAAATGACCTGGTTTTGTAAGTAAATATTCCAGTAACATGGAGCACCTGTAACTATAGAGGTCTACTAAGATACTAGTTGGGTATAAGTTACCTCTATAAATTATAGATATTACATATATAGACTTCTTTCTCGATATTGGTTTCATATACATATATATACATACTCACATATCTACTATTTCAGACTGAGTTATTTGATATAGGTATAAGTTACGCCAACATACCCATTATGCATATATATATATATATTGATGTAACTAGGTGTCATTATTATGTCTATAAATTAAGGCTATTAGTTGCAGATTCTTAGAAAAAGCGATATGTGTATTGCCAGAAATCTCTAATTTATGAATACGGATATGCGTACCTTTACCGATATTTTATTCATAGAATTACTGTATCTATACCTTGGTATGCGTATTCTATATCTATGATAGATACTAGCATATGGATATAGATATCTACTTGGATTCCAGATCTCTGTGTTATCAAGAATCTAAAAAGTTATTCATCTATATCTCTAAGTCACATAATGTTTACGATATAGTTACAGATAGTTCTTAGTATAAAATATAGTTACTATATCATTTACTAATTGAAAATATATATCTAAAAGTTAATATAGATCTATATCTCTTACTCACATAATTCATACTAATATCTATTATCTATATATATATAATTATATATATATATATATCCCTATGGATCCAAGTACCTTCTTAGGAAGTGTTTGGAATATAATTTACGACAGTTTGGAGGCTTAAGTACCTGCTCAGACAGTGTTTGGATCCATAGGGTATATATATATACATCTGTAGCAAATATGGTTTCAGACATTTGTAACTTCTGCAGGCGGGTGACATCAAGGTCATGGCTCGCAGCATCGTGGTGGTGGCCATTTTGCATCGCCCGGCCCGGCGGCCGAGATTGAACGAAGGGGATTTCCCACGTGCAAAAAACGTGGGAAAGCCTGGGAAAACACGTGGAAAAAGCTGGGTTTGAGCATGAAAAATGGGGTTCAGGAATAAACAAAGGCATATAAAGCGGAAATTGTGATTTCAACACCCGTAAAGACCGGAATAGTTCAACACAAACAGCAGGTATAGAAGCGGGGATAGAATGGGAACAATGATGATGAGATATACGCAGTATCTAATGTGAGCAATGCTATGTCTGACAGTTAGTCTTTGATCACCATTGTTAAAGCCCAGCATTCCAGTTGTTTTTGGTGGTTTCATATCTGTTATCCCCAAAGAGATTCGTATCTTCAAAGATGGCATGATGATTCCAAATAGAGAACTCACATTATTGGAATGGTTGAGTTGAAAGGACAACGTAGCCTCTGGTGTGTAATCCAACTCAATGGGGCATCGTTTCCATTATGTAACTGGAACATTTTTCCAGAGGGTCAATCCCAGTTTCACCCAATTATAGCTGGGTATACATATTCCCATGACATCCCATTGAATCATGATTTCCGAATAAACTGATCGGGCGACAGCAAGGTCTTTCTGTACCTCTTGCACGCGCAGAACGTGAAGATCCAGGTGCGGTGGTGTCTGAAAATGGTGAATTTACCGATAGATTATCCATTTTTGAAAAGGAACATGATGCAACAGCAAATTTAATGCTAGTTTCCAACAAAGCCAGTTTGAGCCAACTCTGAAGCAACCATTTAATTCGAAAGGAGAGCATTTCATGACAGCTTGAATCGAACACTCGGCCCTCCAGCGGCCTTCCAGCCACCCTGTCCGTGAAAGTCTTATCCTAGCAGGAAACGTGAGAATGCGGTAGGAAGCACACTCCCATAGGATCCATGTATGCTATATATGGTAACATTTACCATCAATATACCCCCAATGTTAGCATATATACATATACCATACATGGATCCTATGGGATATGATAAGAGTGCTTGTTCAAACACCATTTACCATGAAACAAATGGAGGTGTCCTAAAATGGGGATACCCCCTTTTCCATTATAAACCATCCATTTTGGGGTACCCCCATTGTAGGAAACCCCGAAATAGGCGGTTTACAATGTTTTTTGCTATGTGCTTTTCATTTTTTGAATGGTACTCGAGACATGTTGATACCAGGCTCCAGAGGTACTGAAGATGCTGGGCGAGGTGCGGTACGAGGTTTCCATGGACTTAACATGATTTAACCAGCAAATGAGTGGATTAAATGGTCACAAATAGGGATTGAACCTGGCGGATTTACTATGTTGCATTTGGTTTAGTATCTGGTTCTAAATCGAAGTTTGAGTTAAGATTAGGTAAGCAATGAACAGATGACCACGGAGTTTGTGGATTTAAGCAGTCAAAATGGTTGTTTCACCAGTAAGAATGGGATATGGCCAGCAGACAAGGCATGGGGGTTAAACCCATATTTAACATTGTTATAATAAGAACGGCATTTTGGGAAAAGAGAAATGCACCAATCAGTCAGGGATAGAGCGTTTTCGTGGGTTACTTGGGGGTTTCGGTTTCCAGTAAAGAAAGAGCAAGAGGAATTTCTGTGTTCCACCATAGCGCCATTGACCCAGTTGTTACGAGTTTCAGATAGAGACCCCTAGGCCACCCTCCAGAGGTATGTATTTTGTGAGCAGAGAAAATTGTTTAAACATGTTCGCTGCAACCCTGACGTTGCGCCGCGTCTGACTTCAGGTGGCTATGAAGGTAAAGTTGACGTTATTACCCCAATCAACATATTGTTCATAAGGGGTGGCGAATTCTGATCCCTTATGAAGATAAAGTTGATGTTATTACCCCAATCAACATATTGTTCATAGGTGGTGGCGAATTTTGATCCCTCATGAATATATAGTTGATGTTATTACCCCAACCAACATATTGTTCATAGGGGGTGGTGAATTTTGATCCCTCATGGAGATATAGTTGATGTTATTACCCCAATCAACATATTGTTCATAGGTGGTGGCAAATTTTGATCCCTCATGAAGATAAAGTTGATGTTATTACCCCAATCAACATATTTTTCATAGAGGGTGGCGGATTTTGATCCCTCATGAAGATAAGTTGATGTCATTATCCCAATCAACATATTGTTCATAGGGGGGGGGGGGCAAATTTTGATCCCTCATGGAGGTATAGTTGATGTTACCCCAATCAGCATATTGTTCATAGGGGGTGACGAATTTTGACCCCTCATGAAGATAAAGTTGATGTTATTACCCCAGTCAACATATTGTTCAGAGGGGGTGGCAAATTTTAATGTGATAATGATCATGATGTGATGATGATGATGATGATGGTGATGGTGATGGTGATGGTGATGGTGATGGTGATGGTGATGATGATGGTGATGATGATGATGATGATGATGATGATGATGATGATGATGACGATTGTAAGTGTTGAGCAACGTCCGGGTTGGGGCGAACATGTTTAAACACCATCCCATCCTAGCTGGGTATCTTTGACCAATTTTGGACATGCAAATAGTTCTTGGTTCAACATGGCCAAGGCGCCATTTCATGTTAGCTGGGACTGAAGCTCATCTACTACTGGGGAAGTTTCCAGTCCCATTGGGGCCCATGTTTGTTTTAAAATAGAATATTCAAACTGAAACCCACCCAGTGAATGTTGTGCTTGGACATTGAATCATGGTTTATTGATAATTATCTGGTTGGTGGTTTCAAACATGTTTTATTTTCCATTTCATATATGGGACGTCATCCCATTGACTTTCATATTTTTCAAGATGGTTATTGCACCACCAACCAGTTATTGTTGTACTTTTTTTTTGTTGGGTTGAAACATGGAAAAAAGTCCCTATTCTTCCTGAGCATGTTGCCCCCGGAGGACTTGGACATAGAGGAAGAGGCAGAGGAGGAGTATCCCACCGCAGCCTGGCTGAACAAGTCTTGCGAAATTCGCATGGGAAATGATGGGAAACTGGTTGGTGGTTTGGAACATGCATTTTATGATTTTCCATATATTGGGCATAATAATCCCAACTGACTCACATATTTTTCAGAGGGGTTGAAACCACCAACCAGATGGGAAATGATGGGAATATCTACCAACCAGCTGATTGTTTTCCTGCAGATTGCTGCAGGATTCTTTGAGATCGGCCGGCCGTAACTACTAAGTTACCTAGTTGCCACAGTTTTCCATGATTCTTGGGTTCAAATACACTGAAAAACATTGCTGAACCATTGACAGGAAGGTCCGAAATTTCGTCTCTGAAATAGTGAATAGTCAACCTATGAAAGAAGACCATCCAAGACTGGTTGATGGTTTCCAAAATTTTCTCCCACTGACTTCCATTATGTTCAGTTGGGCTCAATGAACCCTCGTAAACCTTGGTGCGGTAGCTTATATACGCTGAGAATCTGGGTATCTGTAGAGGAATATCAAATAAGGATTATACCTGGCCAAAATGATATGTCTGGAAGGGTATCCAAGAATAGCCACTGTCTAAATTGTTGTTTAAGATTACTAGCCACTATCAATTGTTGTTTAATTAAGATTGCTCAAGTGTTCTGTCCATTTTTTTTGTCGTATTCCCCTTGTTTGTAGGGCATCTAAGACTTTCCACATTTTCGCTTGCTGGTCCCCAGAAAGTCACGATGTTTGCTGTGCAGGCCCCATTGATCTCCCTGGTTATTTGCTCAATATCTAATCCCATATAAAACAAGTAAGTGGTTGATAACTGTCCATGGTTAAAAGCCACTTGAAAAGATCAAAAGCAAGAAATTGTAAGCATATATGTCTTATATATATATGCATCCATAGTTTTACTGCGTATGCTTTGTATTTATGTATATAAACATATCAACACATATATATATATATATATATTTACACACATAGAATCACATACATGAATGAATGATAGTTTTAAACGATCTAATACGTCATATTACCAAATTACCTCATTCGATAATATAATGATATATCTATATGTGTATATATATATGGTGGTTTCCAATTTCAATATGGGTAGCCATATGATCATCATCCATAGATGGATGTTCCCCCAGAAAACCAGCTCCAGGCGGAGAGCCTGGAGGCTTGTCTTCCAATCCTCCGAGGCCTCGATGAGGTGCCAATCCGATTTTTCTCGGCAATTTCCGGGGAGATTTTTCGCCATGGAAAAGATGGGAATATATAACATCAATTTACTGGAAACCATGGTATGTATATATATATAACTTAATATATACTTATATATAATGGTTTCAAAAAAAGTAGGTGTTGTGAAACATCATGAAACATGGCTGAAAATTGTCGATTTTTTGTTGTGAAATCCATATGAAATCATGGTCGATATCTAGGAATTGGATGGAATTGGTATGAATATATTGAATATTGATGATGTTCTGTTGGTAGGTGTCATATCTTTCAGTTGATTTAAGTCTCGGATTTAGTTTGATGCTGTCTTTCATGTCTTTCATTGATTTAAGTTTCGAAGCTGTCGAACGTGATGAGATATCACTATATCCCATGATTTTCCCCATTAAATCCCGTATGAAATCCCGGTAGACCGATGATTTGAAGCAATCGAAGCACCCAAAAAATGACCGGATCCCGATCGGAGGCCTTTATGGCTTCACTGTTGCGCGGGGGAAGCAGCTGCCAGGGACTCCAGGGGAACGGGCAGCCACGGGCCACGGAGGGATGACATGTAGAATTCTTAAGAGAAATTCAGTCATGGGATTCTCTTTGGAATCATGATATCATGATTTTTTTTTGTCATGTCCAACTCGGGTTTCGATCGACTCGTCTCAGGCTTCTACATGGAAGGGCAGCAGCTTTGTCCTCCGCGCATCCTCTGTGAGTCCCTGTTTGTCAGATACTCAGTGATTTTCCGCACCTGTGGGTGGCATGGGGGAGAAACATACAAGGTGGTGCCCCTTTAAACGGGATGTTTGTTGGTTAATAACCCCAACGAGTTCGAGATAACCCCCATAGACCCAACAGTAAATGGATGTTATTGGAGTAAACTGAGCCAACTTAGCGAATTTAAAACGGGGGCATCAACTTGTGCACACGGAAAACATCATAGCACGCACTGACGGACTGCCCGCCCAAAAGTGACCTGGTGGTTCAGTTTGGTGAACTATTATGATTACATATGATTACATAAGATTACATTACATACGTATTGCATAAGCGTGTGTATATGTATATACACTATCTACATAGATGTATGACTCACTCAGCATTTTGTTTAAAGATACTGTCTTATCCATATCATAATATGAGTGTTGTTGATAGTGTTGTTATTTCACACATATTAGATATTTGAAGTATTCTTTTTCAAAACATTGATATGAAACAGCGATATTAGTCAGACAGCTGACAGGTGGTGCTCCGGGGCGAAGTTTGGACCGAAATGAATGGCATCTTTTTGGTGCCTGGGCAGCGTAATCTCCGTCACTGGAATGATGCTTTTTTGTTGGGAAAATGTTGCTGCCCAAATGGCCCAACCGCAACAGCTCGTTTCAGGTGAATGGATTCAATGAATCAGCCCATAATTCAGCTAGATTTAATGATGTTTAATGGGACATATTACTGCTCAAACATGTGTAGATGGAATGATGGGGACATACCCTTTGGATCCCTTTGGTAATTTGTTACGTAGCCATGGAAAATCACCATTGGAATGGGTCATGTCCATAGCAAACTTTGAAACTACTGGAGGGTATCGATCGATAAATGGTGATGCAATTGGATCATGATATGTGATGATATGTATTAATAGTTTGCATATATATATAATATAATATAGTATGATATAATGTAATACAATGTTAATATAATATAATATGATATTATATGATATGATTTAATGTGAAATACTATAATATGTTATGATATAATATGATATGATATAATAATATCTTATAATATAATATGATATATGATATGATATAATATCTTATATATAATTTAATATAATTTGATATGATATAATATTATATTCATATTAGTATAATATAAAATAATATTAATATTAATATAATATAATATGAGAATTGGGTGTGTCTGGAATTGCGGGTTTTCTCCAAGTTCTGATCATTATTTTTAGAGAAAACAATGACACCCCATGGGATTTTAGGGGTACATCCCTTGCAGTCACAGCTCAACCTCCATGGCAAGCCACAGGAGAAGTATTGCCAAGGGCAGGCCGGAAGGGAAGACCCATGGATTTCCATCCAACAATGTTCACTGGTTATCACTGGTTACAATTCACCCAAGACAGCCAGTTCAATTTACTAAAGCTTCACTATTAAAAACTGTAAATTATACCCATCAAAGTCATTTAGATGTTCAACACAAACTATTACCTACTCTACTTCTTTATGAATGTGGTGACCAAGACCTTTTAGAATTTCATTCTGAATTGACGATACGGGCTGCCACTGAGAGACCATGCTCACCAGTTGTTGCAATTCTTGTTTGGACCCTTATTATTCTTGAAAGATGTTGGGAAGGGGCATGGGTGGGCACGTTTTCATATGTTTTTCCCATTTGAGCCAGTCATAAGGCCCCCATGCAAGCCTAAACTGCAAGGTCAATGCCACGTAAGCCTGGCACGACCTTTCAACCATTTTATGAGAACCATCAGGGTTTTTGATTTGTGGGTTTGTCTGAAAATAGTGGTTTTCCGTCAATGTCCCTATTAACATGGCAATTTAAGCATGTATCCCAGTTTTGACGGACCATCCCCGAAAATTTTGATCACTTTCTTGTGGCCCAAGAACATTCAACAGTTTCCTTTTGCAAATCTGCTGCAACCTACTGTACTCCATAGCTACTGTATGGGCCTATATGGCTATGGCTCAACATTCTAGATTCCCAAACTTTGAATCGTTGCAGATCAGATCATCAACATGACCCAAGTAAAAAGTCCATATAGAGTTCTGACCCTGTTCGACGGGGCAGGTATTTTGTTTCCTCAAGCCGCAATCATTAGTTCGACTTCATTGCAATTCAATCATGTCATGCTGATTCAGTTTGCACTGACGTTCATGCGTTCCTGATTCGTGATTTGATTATATCATCGTATAAATATGTATACATATATATATATATATTATTTATATACACCTACATTTACATGGGATTATCATTAAAGACTTGAATTTTCTCCACTTCATCCAACACGCGACGGTCCCAGAATTCACGACTTAGCAATTATTGGAGGCCCGGGTGGTGACAAGCCACCAAGTAGGGACCCATCACCTCAGTGAACTGTCAAAGATAGAAATATGGGATGAGAACCACTGAGGAGCAAGCATATTGTTCAGCAAAAAACTGAAATCACAGAAATATACAGAAATCATCATAAATCAAAAAAAATATTCCATGGTTAATCGCTATTAATCGTCCATTTTGTTTCAACACACCTGGTGTCCCGGTTGAGTCGACCGGCAGGCGCTTCACATCTTAGCCCTGGCGTTGGGCTTCATCCCTTCCTATGAGTCGCGCTGCATCCGCATCAGCGCCGCTTGGAGAACTGGGGGATTTGTTTGGGGAGGTTGAAAAACTAGGCTCAAGTGATGCTGGAAAAATTTTACCCATATGGCTATGGATCAATACCTATTAATACCATTTTTAGGGGGATGAACATCCATTTACCAGCTATTTTGATGTTCACCAGGGGTACAAGGTTTTGACACACTGCCATATGAATAAACCCATATGTTCCATGGTGCTGGAATATTTAACATTATTTAACTACTTTTGGATCATTGTCAGATAAATGTTGGTAGATAAATTCCATACATGGAGCAGATGGGTAAGGAAATCCATGGAAATCCGTCATTTAGGGGATCGATAAGGGAACATGTTGTATTTTTTGGGGAGGGCCTTTCAACCAATTTCCAAGTAAACCAACCATAAATCTGGTTTGTAACGACCATAGATTCTGGTTACTTCGGGGGAAGCATCCCCAGTCTTATGGGATCTTTTCAGGTTATAGAATTCCTATAATTCAGCCAGCACAAATGAAGCATTTTACAAAGCATAATAATAGGGAATCAAGCCTTAACAAAAACTGGCATGTAAGGCATAAAGAACCAATAGAAATGGGACTGAACCATATTTTGGATGACGTTTGACAGAGGCATCCATCCCATTTTGGTGAACGCATCGGTGGAGCCCTGTGGATTGATCACCATCTGACATTTACTGTGTTGACCACGACACATTTATATGTTGGGAACCTTCAATTTACAGTGCACAGTTACATAGATGGGTTATGTGTTTTGAGTACATATAATGATTAATGGGTACATGTCTTTCTTTTTCCCTCAAAGATTGGTCACCAGCTGAAAAGCAGGAAAAAAAACAGCTATTTATCCGACTGACATGGGTGCAGCAAAATTTGTGAATTTTGGCAAACATCATTGTGGCATTTGAGAGATATTTTGAATGACCCATCCCAGCTAGCATTATTAGCATTTGCAGTGAACAAGACAGACAGGGGACAAGGAGTTGACCAGTTACTGTAAGAAGATGTAAGAAGTCCATTGGCCCATTTCTGGTGAGTGATTCTAATCTGACATTGTGACATTTCGATACATTTGTGGCTTCTACTGCTTCTACGTTTGCTTTGATTGTTTTTTTTTCACGATGACTTTGTGTACTCTCGTCATCACACATGTTACAGCTGCAACATGCCCCATTGAGTTCGATGGGGGTTTCTTATTGTGTTTCCCCTTCAAGTCTCCATCTTCATGGTGACTCGGTGGGTCCCAGGAAGTGTGGGCCCTGCCACGCAAAGTTCTGATGACGTCCCTTGCGACTTGGACGCAATGGTTGGTGGCTGAGTTTTCCACAGCCCACGCAATAGTAGGCATAATTAATCCTCAAAGATAGATTTACTGGATCATGTACTGGATCATGTACTGGATCATTATTTTAAGAATGATTTCACAGTGCTGTTTTTGAGTTCTACACTACTTGGGTCATGTTTGGCGCGGACGCTGAGGATCGCTATCCGTCCATGAAACGGATCTTAGCTGTTTTGACCTCCATGCAACTCTCAAGGCCCTGGGCAACGGTGCGCGAATCAACTTTGCAAAGCTTCATGTTTGTTGGAGAATTCCCAGGTGTTAACAGCTGTTTTTGGGCTGTTTTCCTCAAAGAATCTGGGTGATGTTTTTGTTGAGATGCTGTCTGTGGTTGGGGTGGTAGCCATGGTTCTCCAACTGTGAAGGATGCTGTGAATGACTCCGACTGGAACTTAAGAAGGTCGTGACAAGATTAGGCAGCAAACCCACCAGCATTGCCCGTGAACTTTAAGTCCAAAGTAGCTGAGGACATTGCTGAACATGTTGATCAAGGCCAATGTATGTACAATATATAGACACTATAACATATTATAAAATATAGGTGACATTTTGGTTTGTAGTTGAGTCGTAGCATCCCCATTCTGATTGGTTGCCAGCCTTGTTGATTATTATCCATCCCTTGACCCCTAGTGGCAAGCTGTTCCAGGCTGACCAGCGCTGGTCCAACAGAACACAAGGAGGCTCAGTCAGAGCGGCAAAGGGGTGCGGCACAAGGTTTGATCATAGATCAACAATGATCAACATTTTTAGGCTCAAAAGGATAGAACGGTGCTTCTGACTTTCCATGGCCTTGGTTTTGCATGGCGTTTCCCTTCTTTTTTGGGATCACTGGATCATTTCTATTGCTGTTGGGATTGCAACCCCTGGTGATCCATGACTCGCAACGTCAGGAAGCCACACCGCCTCTGGTGACGTCTCCGTCCATGGCACCGACATCTGGTCGCCCTGGGGGGGGGAAACGCGACCTCTGGAATCCAACATGGTAATTGGATGTAATTGGAAGTCCACTATTTTTATGTGTCTTTCATGGGAAAATCAATGAAAATTATCTATAACTGAGGGATTTTCCATGATTTTCCATGGCCATGATAATTCCGGGGGGTACAAAAACAAGTGAAGCTACTTCCCAATTGGACTCGTTTCTGACCTATGATTGCACTGCTACCCAGAATTTAGAACCAACAGAAATAGTGACGAGAAATGGAGTTTGAACCAACAGAAATAGGGATTTTTCACCAACACAAATGAAACCTGGAACCCCAAAATCAAAAAACAGGTCGTGATTTTTTCATCAAAACATGTCAAAAAATATCAAAACCAAATCCACTTCCACGGGGTATTCCAAGTTGTCAGAGATGCAAGCGCGTTGCTGAAGCTAGGTCAAAGTGTCACAGCTTGATTGGAGGTAAAATATAATAAGAACTTCACTGGCAAACGTGAGTGTAATTTTTTAGAAAGGTTTGTTGTGGGCGCGCAAAGAGACTAATAGTTTCCCTAAAATTCCCTAAAATTCCCTAAATATGTTGATTATTACATTGTCCAAAGCAATATTATATAGCTTTTTGCTGTCCATACACAAGCCTTTTCTAGTAGAAACAGAGCTTAGAGTCTTAGAGTGCTTAACCCCCTCCCAATTTTGAAATTATGGGTTGATGGTTAGTAAGGGTAGCTATCCCCAAATCGCCTTTTTTCAGATGATTTCTTATGATTTGTGTACACGAATACAGTGTAATAACCAAATCATCGTGACAATTCTTATGTTGCATCTCAACTGACTCAGTTGACTGGTACCACTGGTACTGTCAGGGTAAAGCAATATTACCACGACAAGCCCCCAATATGTCAGAGATCATAATGTTCCCATAGTATCGCTCCGAATTGGGTTTTCTGACATCATAAGCAGAAACCATATATAGAATTTCTAGAAAACCCCATAAAAAATAATCATCTTGCGTCACCATAATTTTGGAGGGTATCCTTTGGTAATCAAAGACGGCCGGAAAATCATCCATAGTTAGATGGTTTTCCCATCTTCAACACATCCATAGAAACAGTGGATTTCCCATGTTTGTTTCCCATCCAAAACCTCTATTTCTAGTGAATTTCCATGTTTCTGGATGGGAAATCGGGAAATGGAAACAAAGTGAAATAGAGGTTTCAAAGTTTCTATGTGGATTTCCCATTAACAGTGGATTTCCCATGTTTTCCTATCCAAAACCTCTATTTCCTATGGGTTTCTCCATGTTTTTCCAGGTGACTTCGCAGGGCCCGTGGACTTGGCACCTTGACGGTCCGTCAAATGACGAAGAAATGGTCGATTTTATGGTGGTTTAATGGGATTTTATGGTGGTTTAATGGGATTTAATGGGATTTTATGGTTGTTTAATGGGATTTAATGGGATTTTAGGGTGGTTTAATGGGGTTTAATGGGATTTAATGGGATTTTATGGTTGGTTTAATGGGATTTTATGGTGGTTTAATGGGATTTAATGGGATTTTATGGTGGTTTAATGGGATTTAATGGGATTTTATGGTGGTTTAATGGGATTTAATGGGATTTTATGGTGGTTTAATGGGATCTAATGGGATTTTATGGTGGTTTAATTGTATTTAATGTGATTTTATGGTGGTTTAATGGGATCTAATGGGATTTTATGGTGGTTTAATGAGATGGGATTTTATGGTGGTTTAATGGGATTTAATGGGGTGGTTTAATGGGATCTAATGGGATTTTATGGTGGTTTAATGGGATTTAATGGGATTTTATGGTGGTTTAATGGGATTTTATGGGCTTTTATGGTGGTTTAATGGGATTTAATGGGATTTTATGGTGGTTTAATGGGATTTAATGGTTGGTTTAATGGGATTAATGGGATGGGATTTTATGGTGGTTTAATGGGATCTAATGGGATTTTATGGTGGTTTAATGGTGATTTTAAATGGGATCTAATGGGATTTTATGGTGGTTTAATGGGGGATTTTAATGGGATTTAATGGTATTTTATGGTGGTTTAATGGGATCTAATGGGATTTTATGGTGGTTTAATGGGATTTAATGGGATTTTATGGTGGTTTAATGGGATTTTATGGGCTTTTATGGTGGTTTAATGGGATTTAATGGGATTTTATGGTGGTTTAATGGGATTTAATGGTGGTTTAATGGGATTTAATGGTGGTTTAATGGGATTTAATGGTGGTTTAATTGGATCTAATGGGATTTTATGGTGGTTTAATGGGATTTAATGTGATTTTATGGTTGTTTAATGGGATTTTATGGTGGTTTAATGGGATTTAATGGGATTTTATGGTGGTTTAATGGGATTTAATGTGATTTTATGGTGGTTTAGTGGGACTTAATGGGATTTTATGGTTGTTTAATGGGATTTAATGGTATTTTATGGTGGTTTAATGGGATCTAATGGGGCTTTATGGTGGTTTAATGGGATTTAATGAGATTTTATGGTGGTTTAATGGGATTTAATGGGATTTTATGGTGGTTTAATGGGATTTAATGGGATTTTATGGTGGTTTAATGGGATCTAATGGGATTTTATGGTGGTTTAATGGGATTTAATTTGATTTTATGGTGGTTTAATGGGATCTAATGGGGCTTTATGGTGGTTTAATGGGATTTAATGAGATTTTATGGTGGTTTAATGGGATTTAATGGGATTTTATGGTGGTTTAATGGGATTTAATGGGATTTTATGGTGGTTTAATGGGATCTAATGGGATTTTATGGTGGTTTAATGGGATTTAATTTGATTTTATGGTGGTTTAATGGGATCTAATGGTATTTTATGGTGGTTTAATGGGATTTAATGGGATGGTTTAATGGGATCTAATGGGATTTTATGGTGGTTTAATGGGATCTAATGGGATTTTATGGTGGTTTAATGGGATCTAATGGGATTTTATGGTGGTTTAATGGGATTTAATTGGATTTTATGGTGGTTTAATGGGATCTAATGGAATTTAATAGGATTTACCCTCTGGTAAACATACAAAAAACTATGGGAAATCCACCCATGTTTAATGGGAAAATCCACTATTTCTATGGTCATTTTCAATTTTCAATAGTAAACTGTTAAATTACCAGAGGGTACCTTTGGAAAACGTGATTTAACCATAGTTTAAAGATAGTCGACGATTGGAGATTCCAAAAAATGATGTATCATTTGATGATCTGCAGTTGCGGCTGGAATGATCTATTGCTGGAAAATCTATTTAAATATTCACTGAAAGAATCCGTGTTTTTAGCTCCAGAATGATTTTATCTCACTCGCCATCCATTTTTTTGTTCTCTAGGCTTCATCCATGCGTGAACCCTGGGCCAATCTGCACGGGAAAATATGGTTTGAATCTCCGCGGATTGGAACTGCATCATTCGCAGCTGGAACAGGGAGCTCCTAATTGCTTCACATCTCGATATGTTCTTCTCGTTCCTCCAATTTTCACGTGCTATAGCACAAATTTGGTGGATCACATCTCATTTTTCTGGTTTTACCCTCCCATAATCAGGAAATCCACGATGAATGCAGGTTTAGTTCGCTGAGAAAAAACATGGATCTAGGCCATTTTCCAGACATCCAGCAGCTTGTTTTGCCACTTGAACATACTTTCACGTCCACATCTCCAGCCTTGGCACCAGATTGTTTCCATTTTCATCCATTTTCCCATTTCAACCTCTGGATTTGAACATGGGCCCGAAACCCAAAGCGGACCATCACCGTCCTGGATTCTCAGACGATCATCCCAGGCGGCGCTGGCGCTCTTTCAGGGCAGCTCCACGGTGGGGGTTTAGGGACTGGGGAAGTCTCTGATGGGGATAGAACTATGATAAAACTATCAGTCAATGTTTCTAATGGGGATTTAACATGATTTAACCATCATTAACCATCATTAACCATCGTTTCTGTGTGTTTTTGATGGAGATTGAAGTATCAAGTGATCAAGACCTTAGCGATCCTCAGCCTCCATTCCGTCGGGCTTCTCTGGTGTAGTTCTGATTTTGGCTTCCGTCGATGGAGATTTATGGGGAATCATTGGTGATATGTTGATGTTTTTCAAACGGGGAGAAATGGGGGAATATTCTAAGTTGATGAGCGATCGAGTTCAACTGCAAAATTGAAAAAACGCTAATATATTCTATGTGACCGGAGTACCTTATATAATCTTATATAATCTTATATATACATATCATTCATATCATTCAACAATCAAACTAGGGTGGACTGGTTTCATCGACGCTAAGGGTGTCTTTCAATGGCCTTGCGATCCGGCAGGACATGTTACATTGGATCCAGGATAACTTGGAGCCCAGGACCGCTGGCTTTTTGCGTGCTGGGTAGGGACGTGGTAAGCACCGTTCAGGATGGCTGGGAAAATTAAAACGACCTCACTGTTCTCCCTCACTGGAATCATGGTTAGTAAGGGAAATCATCCCCTTTTATGGCCTTAATTCAGGTTAGTGAATTATTATAATTTACCCAGAGATGGGTATATTGTGGATGATGGGTATAGTAATAGTATATGTTGCCAGCAATCAGTGTGGTGGCTCTGTGAAAATGGTGTTGAAACTTTAATCTGTGGCGGTTTGCAGAGGCAACATGATTTTACGAACCATTCAAGTGTGGGCAACCCTATTGTCAGACAAACCACCACGTGTTGTTCTTAATTTTGTTTTACATTTTTCCAGCGAATTTGTGAGAGGTTCTGTTGTTTTCCTTTAAACAACTCTGGGACTATTTCAGCGCAATGGGAAAAGGTGAAAGGAGGGACTTTATCCTGTCTGGGCATGTCTTGAACTCGGGACATGTTAAGTCTTAAAGTCTTCGGTGGTGCTTTGTTAATGGCTTTGTCAACCCATTGCCGCGTTTCTTGTGGGCACTGATTCATCAAGGCCAGTTTCATCAAGGTGAGTTGATGACCGTCTGACCTCATGGTGGCGAATTACAATGCCTCACATGTGCACTGTATGGTCACTTACCCTCTGGTAATGACTAACAGTTTGCTATTGAAAATGGCCATAGAAATAGTGAGTTTTCCCATTAAAAATGGTGGATCTTTCCATAATTATGTTAGTTTACCAGAGGGTATCAAAATTAACAACAATTCCCTACGCATCGTGCATGGCATGTGGTTGAAAAAAAAATCCCATTGCCAAACCAGACGCTGATGGATGCTCCACATCATCTCACAGGGTGTGTCTGAACATGAGGTACCCCCAAATCCCACATGGTGAAACTGATCAGTTTCCCTTGTAAATGGCCATGATTGGGGATATACCATGATATACCTCATTTTCCGACACACCCAATGGTCATATCATTATTATCCCAGGTCCCATAATATCACATTATTATCCGTGATTTTTCTTATTCCACCATATACTGTAGTAGATGGCTTCTTTCATAGTTCATCAAGATACGCATTCCATCCCATCACATACCCATTTATTGATAGGTAAATCATGGTAAATCCATGTATCACAGAATTGGATGATGGGACATTTTACAGGAAACCCCTATATTTGATGGTAAAAACCATGGTTTCCGGTTCAGATTTTCCCAAGAAAACCAATCCATTGAATGTAAATCCCATATCAAAAATCACCAATTCTTTGACATCATCAATCCCAAATATGGCTATGGATCAATACCTATAAGTACCATTTTTAGATGGATGAACATCCATTTACCAGCTATTTTGATGTTCACCAGGGGTACAAGGTTTTGACACACTGCCATATCCCAAGATCTTCCAGGATTTTCTTCTCTGACAGCTGCCTCTTTCGCGGCTTGGCCTTTTTAATAAACAACACTGGTGGCCATTGGCCAATCGATGGCCCCAGGTAAATACTCTAGCAATCTAAATGCATATGAATAGATGTAACGGTGTATATATATATATACATACAGTAATCATATAAATTATATATATACACACATGTGATTATATATATATATATTATAATTCTACGACTGATACTAATAATTCTATAATAATAATTCTAAAACATAATATCGCATATCATATGATATTGTATGACTTATTCAAGTATCCTTGATTATAACAATCTGAGCATGGCATGCATTGCAGGTGTTAAAGATTCTCTATTGATTATATTGTGAATCCGACAAATGTGACCCAGATTGAATCCAGGCGTGGCTTTGTTGGCTCACCTGCAGTGACAAATCAAAAAAAACACTACTGCTTTGTCCAAAAATGGGGTATATAATATACCACCAGAATCCAATGGATTATCATAGTGTTATCCAAATTGATCCAAATTGCATTTTTAGGGTATCCCTCTATCCATTAAACAGGACAAGCCTCATATCATATTGTTGATTTGAAACGATTGTCCCATTCCATGCGCGTGTTTGTTCGCTAAAGCATCCCTAATCAAATGAACGACAACATTGCCATTCTTCATTGGATTTCATGTGTGTTTTTCTCATTTTTCAGGATTGACCCCTTCTTCATAGAATTGGATGATGGGAAAATTTACAGGAAAGCCCTATATTTGATGGTAAAAACCATGGTTTCCTGTAGATTTCCCCAAGAAAACCAATCCAGTGACTTCTGTTTGGCCTGGTAAACACCCCCAGTCTTGGACACCATTGGACCTTTGAGGCGAAGGAGACCACTCGGAGAGTTTTTACATCGTGTGTAAGGCCGGAAAAACAGCGACACAGCGCGTTGACGTGCTATGACTTACAGTAGCCTCTGGTAATCAAACATGGCAATTTTTAAGATCCTGGGAAATCATTGAACTACCCTCTGGTTATGACTAACATAGCCATGGTATAGATGGCCCATAGAAATAGATGGTTTACCTGTTTACCTCTTAAAAATGGTGATGTTCCATGGCTATGTTAAATAACCAGATGGTAAATGGCCAAGAGGGTTTCTGTGGAATTCCAAGCATGGAGAATGGAGAATAGTCGTGTCACAGCGCACCATGGTCGCCACAGTTCCCAAGGGTGCTGTCAGTTTGGAGAACGCCACCAGCCAGGACTGGTCACAGCGGAAGGGCCATAGAGGTTTCCTTTACTGAACTTGTTTAGGGTAAAGCTACTAGAACAACCAACCATTTATAGACATTTATACAGCTGGGCTGTCAAGTTTTGTTGGTTTACATTCTTTATATGTATAAGTGGGTTGTCAAGTGTTTGTTGGTTTACACAGCACGCAAAATATTTTTGTGCTGGCCCGAAGGCCTTGAAGGACACCCGGGGAGTCATTTTGATATCATCTCTCAAAGCATCTCAAAGCTCAGGACATTGTGCAATTCCTTCGGTACTGCACCACATTTCAGGATCGTTATAGTACTGTCATGTAACGTCATCTAGCAATCGGTAGCTGGAATATTCTCATACAATCCCAATGTTAAAGAGAATTGATAGATGTTCCATTCACATAAGTTCTGTGCCTGTGTGCTGCTTGTTTAGTATGTTTTGACAAAAAATGCCATCCATGTAGGCCAATATACGCATAGGATGGCGCCTGTTTATGTTTGGTCGATGTCGATTTGTTCCAATTCTATTGAATTCATGTTACTCCAAGATGGTTGTGCTGGTACATGTCAAAATCATTCAACTGGTTGGTGGTTTGGAACATTTTTAATTACATTTTTTCCATATATTGGGAATGATCATCCCAACTGACGAAGTCCATCATTTTTTCCGGGTGGTTGGTTGAAACCACCAACCAGAAGTACACGCAAGACCTAGGTTTTCATGGCCACCATGACCAACTTGTGTCGTTCCGCCAGGGTGATAAAGTTCCCGGGCAAGTGGGTCGTTTCAAAATCCGATGACTTGGAAGTCAATCCTATAGGAGTTTAAGTGGTTAATGATCATATGGCAGTGTGTCAAAACCTTGTTACCCCTGGTGAACATCAAAATAGCTGGTAAATGGATGTTCATTCCCCTAAAAATGGTATTAATAGGTATTGATCCATACCCATATGAAATAAGCCAGTGATCTATGAGAAATTGTTGCTTCAGTAATCAACTTGGGTTTTCTTATCACTGCTTACTGATTGGGTCATATTGGGTCCACATTGTAATGACCGCAAAGACAAGATAGCATTTGTTCATCACGCCAAAAACAAAGAATATTTATAATTTATATACCATGATTTTCGTTGAATTTCACATTTCACATACCCATGACGGATCCGGCTGGTGCTGGTATATATGCGATCCCATAAAGGGGGTATTTCTTGATGGGATCCATGGCACACCATAGCAGCACCATGGATCTCTGGTCGTAGGAGACCTGTGGCCCCGGTGGTACCTTTGGAGAAGCGGGGCTTCTGGCAGTGCACCATGGCACTGTTTGGGATGGATTTTACTTGGGGATTTCACCGGGGATTTCACCAGGGATTTCATGGGATTTCACCGGGGATTTCACCAGGGATTTCATGGGATTTCACCGGGGATTTCATGGGATTTCATGGGATTTCACCGGGGATTTCATGGGACTTAATGGGATATACCCAGCAGCAATGACATGGTTTTTACCCTCTGGCAGTTTTTAACATTGCCGTGCAGATTCAAAAGGCAGTTCGATGGCCTTTCGAGTTCGATGATTTCCCCATTAAAATTAAATCAATGGCCATTTCAGGAACCGATTGATTGGAGGTACCTACCATATATAAGGCCTATATATATTAGGCCTATGTAAGGGAATATCCCAACAAAATATGGTCTTATATGGTACAGTACCTCCATTTTAGGATCCTGAAATTCCCATAGATTAAACACATGTTATTTGTGTCACAGCTATGTTAAATTAGCAGGCAGCACCTATCATTTGAATGTCTTGTCTTTCTTTGATCTGCATGTTCCATGAGTCAAAAGAGTACACAAATTCATGTTTAGATATTTGGAATATTTGTCAGATTTTACCAAATATTAGTTCAATTAAATAATTACATACCTGGTGCCCCCCAGTTATAATTTGGTTTATAACCCCCACCAACCTATAGATAATCTATAGATAGATATAGATATATAATCATATATATATATATATATACATACCATAAACCTTGCTTATAGCTATAAATAAACTTGGCTAAGTACTTGGGCAGTGGCTACAGTTGGTCTCGGACCATCCGAAGGTCCGAGACCGCCTCGGTGACGGCGAGCTCCCTAGAGACGTCCTTGATTCAGGCGCCGACTGGGAGGTGACTGGGGTGAATTTGGTTAATGATATTATATAGGTACTCGTATATTATATGGATATGATAGGGATATTATAGGTATATGATTATAGGTATATGATATTATTTGGATATTATAGGGATATTTGGATATTATAGGGATATTTGGATATTATAGGGATATTTGGATATTATAGGGATATGATTATTACATATTATTACTTGGATATTATATATAAGTCCTAAACAAATCCTAAACAAATCCTAAACAAATCCTATTAGTCTCAATAAGTTCCCAAAATAAAGTAAACCATGATCTATGGTATACCCCAAACATGGCTATTTCAAAGGGAAAATGCCGATGAACGAAGATAAACATAGGATTTTGAGCCATCCAGTTTTTAGACAAAACCATATGAATGTGGATTTAACTCTCAATAAAACATGTGTACATAATGGGACAATATTGGATCACATGGGATCATATTAATATGGGATAAGAGAGGATATAACCAACACTACAACACACTATGATATGTGGTTTTCATAAATTGGGTAATATCCCATGTTATTGGCATGTTTAAAAGGTAAATACATGATGATATAGGTGGATGTAGGGGAACCCCCCATTTAAAGAGAAGCCGGCAGTCCGGCTCCAGGTCCTTCATCGGCAAGTCTTCTTGAAAGGCGTGGCCTCCTTTCCCGCAGAGGCCAGGAAGGTGAACAAATCCACCATCCCAGGGGAAGGAAAACTCAGGAAATTCGGTGTGGAACTGATGAGGACATGGGAAATCATAGGGAAGATTCATGGCATGTGCGGCATATCCATATTCGACATGCAGAATGAGCCATGTATTTCCCTTTTTCATGAATCGCGTATCATGAATCATCTTCGATCATGTCCATGTCACTGTTTTCCCACATTTGGATAACATCTCGGCACTGACCATATCCGCTCAAGCCATTGGAAAACGACTTCAGTCGGACCTGGCCTTCAGATCCATCAATCCATCGTTGATCCGAGATGAAGATGATGATGTCATTTTTGATGCAATCTTTATGCCATTTTGATGCCGTGGAATATGTCTTGAAACTGCAATATGTGTGTGTGTTTCTTGTGGAATCAGTTCCACCCGAAGAGCATTGCCCTTCGCACTGCAGAAACTGGAGCCTTTTGGCCAGGTGGAGCACTTTGATCAGTTGGCTGTTGGCACGCCCAGGGACTTCAAATGGTCATTCGGGGGATCAGGACTGGCTGGGTCCTCTCTTGGGGATCGTCAACCGGCCGATGTACAGATGTTGCGATGCTCTTAGGATGGTCAGTTGAGTTCCTGCGGTAAGCAGTGCAAACTTTGACATCCTCTATAGACTCTATACAAAAGTGGACATGTTTTGATGAATACTACAGTTGTGTCACAACATGAAACGACCGCACTTGACAGACGGCGACTGAGGTGAAGCTGCTTCAATCCAACGATGCACCTTGGCAGCGACCCAGAGATGTGTGAAAACTCAGTGGAATAGGTATAAAATGGTATAGACCTATAAACAGTTTATATGATTATTTATTGTTACTATTGTATTATGTTTTATTGTTTTTAATTATATACAGCTTATTACATATTATGAAACACATTACTTAGAATATGTGTATATTTACATATACAGCATTTATTACTATTAGTATGATGATGTTCATTATTATTATGGTCATCATCATCATCATTATTATTATGTTCATTATTGTTATTATGTTCATTATGTTTGGAAGTATTATTCATGTCATGTCCGTAGTAGTATGTTTATTATAGTTGTTATTAATGTTTTGTTGGTACTACTATTACCAGCAGTCATAGCAGCAGCAGCAGCAGCAGTTATTGTTGTTGTTGCTGTTGTTGCAGTAGCAGTAGCAGTAGCAGTAGCAGTAGCAGTAGCAGTAGTCTCATCATTGGTAGTCTCATCATTAGTAGTCTCATCATTAGTAGCCTCATCATTAGTAGTCTCATCATTAGTAGCGTCATGATTAGTAGTGTCATTTTTAGTAGCAACTACTACTGCTTATTTGTTCTTGTGATGGTTACTGTTTTTTATTACGTTTATTTACTCAGTACATACATTATACAGAAACCTATATAACTCGGTCAAATTTATATTATAGTTGTTTAATTGTTTGAAATGCGGGACATTCCTGAGAGACTGTTGATTGGCTTGCTAGAGCCTCACGAAAGAAAGAAACGTCTCATGTGTTTCCCACATGGAGAATCTGCATTTCGATGAGATGACACTGCTTCTTTTTATGGCCCAATTTTAGGGATCTGAAAAAAAACATGTGGATGTTTCATGATGTTTCATGATGTTTGATGATGTTTCATGAAGAAGCCATGAAGAAACCATGAAGTTTCGCCATGATGTTTCGCCATGATGTGGGTCGTCAGGCCTTGAATCACGTGCCCATCTTGGAGGGCTGCTCTGAAAGCTTCAAGATGCAGGCCACGGATCCCGAGCCCTGGGAATCCATGGGTTTTTATAGGAGAAATCATCCCCTTTAAAGGGGCCTATCAATCTTTTATAGGGGAATCATAGGTAAATCTGGAATCAGGATAGTGAAATAGTATAAAAAAAACCCAGATTGATAGTGTCAGTACGTGTCAGTACTAAAAACCATCCATTTTCATGGGGAGCCACAACTTATTATATAAGCAAAGCTGGTCATGTTGATGTTGCTATCCAATTTAAAGTGGGGCTGCGTGAGAATTCTGATGCCCAGTTGGAAAGTTATCCATAGAAATATCATCAAATATCATCAAATATCCACTTCTTGGATTGCATACATCAAATATCCATCAACAAATCGGCTTTTCACTGCATATTTCTGCTCCCCCCACCGGATCCAATGGGAATCTGCGAATCTGACCAGAAGCTACGGCGGTGGCGTTTTTTTTTTTGCATCCGACAGGCAGAATGGTGAAACACGTGTGCTTTTTGGAACGTTTGGAACGTCCATGTCTGTTTATATTGAGCGCCATTCGAATGATTGGTTTCCTAAGTAGTTGTCTCTCTGGTTTCGCTGCATCAGAGTTGTTCTACACTCCATCAATCTAAAAGCAGCGTTCAAAACCCTATCAAATTGGCCAAATTGGTCATTATCATAATCCACTATGATCAATGGCCATTTCAGGAACCGATTGATTGGAGGTACCTACCATATAAGGCCTATTTTTTAGGCCTATGTAAGGGAATATCCCCACAAAATATGGCCTTATATGGTACAGTACCTCCATTTTAGGATCCTGAAATTCCCATTGATATGACAAATCATGATAAATCCTTTCAATATCTTTCAATCAACCAGTATAAAGAGACGACATTTGGGAATTAATCATTTGGAGTTTTCAAGAGGTGCATTACCTAGATAAGTTGGTGATGTTTCAATGTATAAGATATAATATATATATATATTGCGGCCAGTGCAGGGGTGCTGCCCGGGGAAGTGGAATGAATGGCCGAAGTGCTGACGAGATTTGTTTCCAAGACATAAATCTCCAAACCCTAAGACTCAAACCTGACATGAAACCCAAAGTAAGCCTTGAAAGTAAAATCTTGCGAAAAAATCGTGGTTTGAAAAAAAACACACTAAAACCCTAAATGAAACTCTAGATAAACCCTAAACAAACCCTAGAGAGTTGGTGACATGATACACCTTTGGGCGGCACCCCTGGACTGGGGGTATGATTTTATATACATAAACACCATATATAACTAATAATGTTGTAACTAACCATACTACAATATCTTTACATATACGTGTATACAAGTTGCCATGTCAAATGAACTTAATCGACTCCCATGATTTTCACTGTCGAGCTTCTCTTCATCCCATTAGAAATTCTATATAATTCGGTATCAATCTCCTACATCCATATTACATCTAATATGGATCAATCCATCATATATATGGGGATTTACCATCATGGAAAAAAATATCATCCCCATACACACAATGTGAGGCCCCCCAGTTATAAGTTGGTTTATAAGCCCCAGTAACTATAGTTAGTTGTGTACCATAAACCATAGTGACATTGGAGTCATAAACCAACTTAGCTATCTTGGGGGCCTCACATTTTCGCCGAGCCAACGGTCTGGCAGTTGGCGCCCAAATGCACCACGCGACTCTTGCGGGAAAACGTGGCTTGGTTACGGAATGGGGGAGCGAAGCCTACGACCGTCACCATATGTCACCATAAAGGATGGCGAATAGGGGTAATCATCCCCCCCAAAAAAAATTGGATACCTCCCAAAATCACATCGTTTTAGGATGTTTTAGGTTTGTTAATTACCAGTACCGCACAAGGCGCTATTGCGGAAGTTTCAAAGATAGGACATTATTAGGTGGTTGGAGTTGTGCTTGCTGGAGTGGTTGCAGTGGTCACCTCACCCACCACTGCTGGATGTAGTGTGGTGTAGTGCTGTGTAGTTGTAGTATAGCGTAGTGTAGTTGTCTTTGTAGCATAGTGCAATTAGTGTAGTGTAGTGCTTGTGCTAGTGCTAGTGCTAGTGGTAGTGGAGTGCAATGGAGTGTAGTGTATTGTGGTGGAGTTGGAGCTGTAGTTGTAGCTGTAGTGTGGTGTAGTTGTAGGTGTACTTGCACTTGTAGTTGTAAGGTGTTGGTGTTGGAGTAGGAGTAGTAGGAGTAGTAGTAGTAGTAGTAGTCGTCGTCGTAGTAGTAGTAGGAGTAGTAGAAGTAGTAGGAGTAGTAGGAGTAGTAGGAGTAGGAGTAGGAGCAGGAGGAGGAGGAGGAGAGGAGGAGCAGGGGCAGGAGCAGTGGCAGTAGTAGTGGTGGTAGTGGTGGTAGTGGTGGCAGTGGTGGCAGTGGTGGCAGTGGTAGCAGTTTCCCAGGAAATTATCACCACATGCTGGATTTTCCAAATCTCTACGCTTGTTTACTGGAGGGTAAAGACTAGGATGAGCACCCGACAACAATGTGAGCTAGTGGTCCAATCAAGTCAGGAAATAGACATTTGTTCTTTGGTTACGGGTAATAATTACTCTCAGGGTTGAATGTTTAAGTTGGTTTGCATGCTTTTGTATTTTTTTGCCTTATTCTTAGATGGTAATTTGGTGCAACTTCAATTCTGATTGACTTCGCATAACCTTGCACACTTTGGCTCCGGCTGCTGGAGTGAGATTGAGCAAACAAGAGCCACAGAAGGCTGACTATTTTGGGCCAAAGGTTGTATTTTGTGCAATATAATATATAATGCATGTGTGATACCTAAATTCTCAGGCCATGCGCTAGATCCTGCGGATGAAGGGCAACAAAAACTGCAGAAAATTCATGCTGTTGCGAGAAACAACAATGAAACAACATTTGGAAATATCGCCAGCAAAAATTCTGATCTGAACCAATGAAACTAGCTACTGATAGCTATTGGTTTCAACTTTCAACCATTGTTTGAATGTTTTCCTTGTTTGGTTTATGATGATCCCGACCAAATCACAGATTTCGATTGCCAAGGAGTGCTTGGTGCAGAAAAGCTCCACACGAGGCACGAATCGACCCCCAAAATGAACCAGTTTTGTATGTAATATTCCAGCGCAATATGGAGCAGGCCAATAGATTGATTCCTGTATTGCCATGCATGCCCTATGTATTTCAAATAACGTGACGCACATGACGAATCAATAATCGTCGATATGGAAACTACACAAAACCATCGTCCAACCCCATTCTGATGGGTGTTCATGTCAAATTTTCTGGTTGCGAATTCACGCATCGCCGCCACAGCTATGTTTAAACATTTCATACATGTTCATACCATTTATACTTTGCAATGTTACGCAGATAGAGAAAAAACAATATTAATGTATAATATATATACACAATATACATTGCACAATATACATTGCACAATATACATTGCACAATATAATATACATTGCACAATATACATTGCACAATATACATTACATTGCACAATATATATACATATATCTACATATATATATATATTGTATATATAAATATAATACACCAACATAAAACACATGTAGATGAACATAACATCCATTTTCCCCTGATTTTGGATGTCAGTTTCCTCGGGACGCCACGAGTCCACGAGGACGCCTTTGTGTGATCCGAAGCGGTTCCGCCGTGGTGGAGGTGGCCGCTGGCGAGACTGTTGCTATAGACAATGGATGATGATATATAATTATAAGCATGCATATGCATATACATATTCATATATACATATACATATACATATACATTTGCATATGCATATACATATACATATGTATAATTATATATATATGAAGTTTGATGATTTACCTATGAACAATGGCGATTTTCCAGTTCGCGATGTTAAATTACCGGTAAGGGAAGTGGAAAAGGATGATGTATTGAAACTAGCTGAAATGGAATCAGAATTTCAACCAATTTTTGAGAGGGATGATGAGAATGCAGGAAGATTTTCAGTGCAGATTCGTGAGAGTGTAGAGGATATTGATGACACGTCTTGACACTTTCCAGCTGATTCTGGTTTGCGTGTCTACTGAAGTTGACGATTTGTTTAGAAACTGTTGCATGTTATAGTACATGTTCATACATTTCAGGAAGTATATACTGTGTATATTATATATATATATATGTATAAGTTTCATCACCGGAATGAACCGTAGTTGCAGTTGATGAAGCGAAGACTGTACCAAAAATAGCTGTTTCCAGGACGAAGAATATGTGTCCATACCAGTTGTGTAAGGCGCTTCCTCATGGCAGAGAGGATCAATCTCTGCGATTCGCTGTGTATATTTGAGATGGTCAAACCAGCACAAGCCTCGCATTTTGGTGGCCATTTTAGGTATACCCATCTTGGATAAAAATAGCAGAAAGTAGACCATCCACAGGAGAAAAATCCATCTTGAATCTACCCTCTGGTAATGACTAACATAGCTATTGAAAATGGCCATTTATAGTTGATTTTCCCATTAAAAATGGTGATTTCCAATAGCTATGTTAGTTTACCAGAGGGTAGATCTTGAACATGAAGCGTAAGATTCACATAACATGTTTTTTTACTCCAGGACATTCCAGGACTATGATTTGTGATGATTTGGTATACATGACTCTTGCACGAATTTGATGCAATTGTCCACCGGAAAATCCCACTGCTGTCCCAACCCTTCGACCGCCACAGGAAAATCGGGGTGCGAGGCGCTGGGTGGGCCCCGCAGGTTGTATATGGATACCTTGAGAGCACTGAATCTTGAGAAATATATAGTTGGTTCATGTTGGTTCGTATGTGTGCAAAAGTATATTATTGGTTGGTTCTGATGGTTTTAGGCTGCATTTCTTCAATGTTGGTAAGATACTTATATATGATATATGGCAGTACTGTCACTAATTCTCTTATCCATTGGTTTTCTTATGTCTGTTTGTATATATTGTTGCTCTTCCTTCCAAATTTTGATGGGTGGAAAGTTCACATGCTGATTGGTACCCTTCATTTGAATGAGATTGTATGCAGATTCGAACGTTCTTTTAGTGGCACTATGTATATCCAGATTTGTTGTGCTCTATTCTCCACCAAGGCTTCAGTTTCCAACTTCTTGGCAATCCTCAATTGGGAGAGCATGTCCATGAGACTGCAAATTGGAGACTATTCATTCTATTGTCACATCCTATCGCTACTGATGCTCAAGATTCGAATGTTAGGTGATCCAATTGTTCAATCGAGATCTATGGGTTACTTGTGTTATCCCTCATTTTCGGTTGGTTCAACGAACAAAGCCACTTTCTTGCAGGAGGCTGAGCTGTTCTGTATGTGACATGATCGTGACATAATCACAGTCGCAGAGATCAGCTATTTTTTAAGCTACTGTCCGTGTCTCGAGTGTCCCAAAATTGGTTTCATTTGAAAAAATAAATATGGTTGGTGGTTTGGAACATGGCTTTTATTTTCCATTTCATATATGGGATGTCATCCTTCCTGACGAACTCATATTTTTCAAGATGGTTGAAACGCACCACCAACCAGATATAGATTAACCATATCATACTTGGTAGATATAACTAACATAGCTGTTGAAAACCACCATTTTTTAGTGGGTAAATCAACTATTTCTATGGCCATTTGCAATAGCAAACTGTTAATCATTACCAGAGACATAGCTATAGACAATAGCCCATTATACCATTATTAACCATTATTAGCACTGATTAACCACTATTACTGATGATTAACCATTATTAACCAGATATGACCATTTACTATTGGATATGATACCTATACTATTGGATATCATTAACCATTATTAACCATTTACTATCCATTAACCATTTACTCTCCTATTGGGTAAATCAACTATTTCTATGGTTGAAACCACCAGAAAAGCCCTGGATCATCCGACTGCATCCCCATCAATTTCAGCCGCGCTTAGGACAGACACCAAAGAGTCGCAGGGCAGCAAGAGCTGTTTTGGGAGGCCAAAAAGGGATGGTGGTTACTTCTCTACAATCCGTGTTATATATATATATATATATGATATATATATATATGAGATATATATATACTGTATATATATATGAATCTATATATATATATTGATTTATATACATACAGTATATATATATATAGATCTATATAATCATGTATATTGTGTATCTATCGATCTAGACATGTTTATTTGTGTGTTTGTTGCATCTATTCACGTATGGATGCGCCTTTTAGTTTGCCTGCTAGACTATGTATGATGTATTGCGCTCATATGTTCATATCATTAATGTAGGTTTCTGATTAGTGTGGGGAGGCCCCCCCCCCCCCAAACAAATTTGGGTTACAGAATAGTGAGGAAAAACCAAGGTACCGGGTACAGAATACGGTAAAATCAAAAAAAATGATAGATTTAAATTGATTTCAATTTACTTTCAATTGATTTCAATTTACTTTCAATTGATTTGAATTTATTTTGAATTGATTTCAATTTACTTTCAATTGATTTGAATTTATTTTGAATTGGTTTCAATTTACTTTCAATTGATTTGAATTTATTTTGAATTGATTTCAATTTACTTTCAATTGATTTCAATTTACTTTCAATTGATTTGAATTTATTTTAAATTGATTTGAAGTTACTTTGAATTGATTTCAATTTACTTTCAATTGATTTCAATTTATTTTGAATTGATTTGAAGTTACTTTGAATTGATTTCAATTTACTTTCAATTGATTTCAATTTACTTTCAATTGATTTGAAGTTACTTTGAATTGATTCAATTTATTTTGAAAATTTACTTTCAATTGATTTCAATTTACTTTCAATTTACCTTCAATTGATTTGAAGTTACTTTCAATTGATTTCAATTTACTTTGAATTGATTTCAATTTACTTTCAATTGATTTCAATTTACTTTCAATTGATTTCAATTTACTTTCAATTGAAATTGATTTGAATTGTTTGAATTGATTTCTTTGAATTGATTTGAATTGATTTCAATTTATTTTGAATTGATTTCAATTTACTTTCAATTGATTTCAATTTACTTTCAATTGATTTGAATTTACTTTGAATTGATTTCAATTTACTTTCAATTGATTTCAATTTACTTTCAATTGATTTCAATTTACTTTCAATTGATTTCAATTTACTTTCAATTGATTTCAATTTACTTTCAATTTACTTTCAATTGATTTGAAGTTACTTTCAATTGATTTCAATTTACTTTGAATTGATTTCAATTTACTTTGAATTGATTTCAATTTACTTTCAATTGATTTCAATTTACTTTCAATTGATTTCAATTTACTTTCAATTTGCTTTCAATTTACTTTGAATTTACTTTCAATTGATTTCATTTTACTGCCAATTTACTTTCAATCGACATCCCATAGAAATCCAATAGTAGTCCCAAAGAAATATCATAGAAATACCATGGAAATCCCATAGGAATCTCACAGAAATACCATAGAAAGATCATAGAAATAACATGGAATAGCATAGGAACCACAAAAGAAATCCCATGAGAATTCCAATAATAATCCCATAGAAATATCATAGAAACATCATGGAAATACCTTGGAAATCCCACAGGAATCCAATAGAAATTCCATAGGAATCCAATAGAAATACCATAGAAATCCCATAGGAATCCAATGGAAATCCCATAAGAATACCATAGAACTCCCATAGCACCCCTTCAGAAATCCCATAGAAATCCTCCAGAAATATCATAGAAACATCATGGAAACCCCATAGGAATTCCATAGAAATCCAATAGTAATACCATAGAAATACCATAAAAGAAAAAAACTTTAGCAAAGGAAAAGGTAAAGGGAATGCTTGAAAAAAACATCACACCAGGAAGCATCTGGACACAATAGTGTACCCTCGAAACAAACCACACTATTGTGTATCAGGGTTGCTCATGGACTACCCCCTTGAAAAATTGTTTGAGTGATGTTTTTTAATTGGGTTTTAATAAGGCATCATATATTTTGGGAAACTGGGCATTTCTGAGAATATCAAATGAAAGAAACTAAGAAGTAATTAATTAATTAAAAGGAAAAAACTTTAGCAAAGGAAAAGGTAAAGGAAATGATTGAAAAAATCAAAAAAACATGACCTCAGGAAGCAGCAGGACACAATAGTGTACCCTCAAACAAACCACACTATTGTGTATCAGGGTTGCTCATGGACTACCTCCTTGAAAAATTGTTTGGGTGATGTGTTTTAATTGGGTTTTAATAAGGCATCATATATTTTGGGAAACTGGTCATTTCTGAGAATTTCAAATGAAAGAAACTAAGAAAGAAATTAATTGAAAGGAAAACACTTTAGCCAGCAAAGGAAAAGGTAAAGGAAATGATTGAAAAAATAAAAAAAAACATGACCTCAGGAAAGCAGCTGGACACAATAGTGTACCCTCCAAACAAACCACACTATTGTGTATCAGGGTTGCTCATGGACTACCCCCTTGAAAAATTGTTTGAGTGATGTTTTTTTATTGGGTTTTAATAAGGCATCATATATTTTGGGAAACTGGTCATTTCTGAGAATTTCAAATGAAAGAAGCTAAGAAAGGAATTATTTAAAAGGAAAACACTTTAGCAAAGGAAAAGGTAAAGGAAATGATTGCAAAAATCAAAAAATCATGACCTCAGGAAGCAGCTGGACACAATAGTGTACCCTCAAACAAACTACACTATTCTGTATCAGGGTTGCTCATGGACTACCCCCTTGAAAAATTGTTTGAGTGATGTTGTTTAATTGGGTTTTAGTAAGGCATCATATATTTTGGGAAACTGGTCATTTCTGAGAATTTCAAATGAAAGAAACTAAGAAAGGAATTATTTAAAAGGAAAACACTTTAGCAAAGGAAAAGGTAAAGGAAATGATTGAAAAAATCAAAAAAATCATGACCTCAGGAAGCAGCTGGACACAATAGTGTACCCTCAAACAAACCACACTATTGTGTATCAGGGTTGCTCATGGACTACCCCCTTGAAAAATTGTTTGAGTGATGTTTTTTAATTGGGTTTTAATAAGGCATCATATATTTTGGGAAACTGGTCATTTCTGAGAATTTCAAATGAAAGAAACTAAGAAAGAAATTAATTGAAAGGAAAACACTTTAGCTAGCAAAGGAAAAGGTAAAGGAAATGATTGAAAAAATCAAAAAAATCATGACCTCAGGAAAGCAGCTGGACACAATAGTGTACCCTCCAAACAAACCACACTATTTTGTACCTGGATGTAATTTTCTGTGGAAGGCATCTGGAAAATTTCAATGATGGAAAGTAAAAGGAAAAAGCTTTAAAAAAATGAAAAAAATGAAAAATGTTTGAACAACAAAAAAAGACCAAGACACAATTGTGTATCCTGACACAATGACACAATTGTGTATCCTGACACAATTTTACAAAATAATAAAAAAATATAATTAAAAATAAAAATAATTAAATTAAAAAAATATTATAATTAAAAATAAAATAAAAAATAAATAATTTAAAATAAAATAAAAAATAATTAAATGAAAAATTATTATAATTAAAAATAAAATACATAATAAATAATTTAAAATAAAATAAAAAAATAATTAAATTAAAAATTATTATAATTAAACATAAAAATAAAAAATAATTAAATTAAACATTATTATAAAATAAAAAATAATTAAATTAAAAATTATTATAATTAAAAATAAAAATAAAAAATATTTTAAAATTTTAAAATAAAATAAAAAACAATTAAAAACTAAAAAAATGAAAAAAAAACAAAAAAAAACTTACACCAAAATCCTGTGGACACAAAACTGTACCCTCGATCAATTCCAAAGTTTCAGAATAATTTTGAGGTCTGTGGACACAATTCAGTATCCCCACACTAATCAGTATCCAACATTAATCCCGTGTATATATTTAATACATGATATGCATCGACTTGGATCGAGGAATACAATATATGTTTTGCTGCTTTTTTTCCTGAAGGGAATCTAAGTTTGGCCATAGTGGAGGATGTGGGAAATTACGACCTCAAAAACGAGCCTATTATCTATCATTTCATGAATTACTGATGATTGAGACTTTGAGAATTCATCTGAGAGAGCAGATTGTAATAGATTGTAGTTATATTTACCCTCTGGTAATTTAACATAGCTATTGAAAATGACCATTTATAGTGAGTTTTCCCATTAAAAATGGTGATTTTCCATGGCTATGTTAGTTTACCAGAGGGTATGATATTTTATGATTGAGATGGACAGACGACCACAGTTTTCTGGCCATCCGACCGGCCCGGCCGGTCGTTCGACGTGGTCGACATGAATGGGATCCAAGAATTGGGGGGATGTAAAGATCAGGAAAAGTAAGAACAATACCCTCTGGTAAATTGACATATCTATGGAACATCATCTTGAAGTTCGGTTTTTATATGTTTTTTATCAACCTATATTTCTATGTGCCATGCTCAAGTTCGCAAACATTCGCAAATTTTCGATCAGTCCCATGGTCATCCATGGTATAATCTTTGGCCTTGCGCGACGTCAAATCAGGCGATTATGCAAATGGGACATTGCCCGGTGCCCAGAGCTGTGAGATCCCAGGATTTGAGAGATGGAAGGGATGCCGCCCTTGAAGCTGTTTTTTCAACGGTTACGTACGCTGTGGAAACTGGTTTCATTTGCAAATGATCTTAACAGCATGGATAACATATGGATAACATATGGATAACATATGGATAACATATGGATAACATATGGATAACATATGGAAACATATGGATAACATATGGATAATATATGGATAATATATGGATAACATATGGATAACATATGGATAATATATGGATAACATATGGATAACATATGGACAATATATGGATAACATATGGAGAATATATGGATAACATATGGATAACATATGGATAATATATGGATAACATATGGATAACATATGGATAACATATGGATAACATATGGATAATATATGGATATGGTCAGTGCCGGAATTATAGAACGGAAGTTGAGGAGGACGAAGGTACGGTTATTTACCGTACCCTGTTGTTCTATAATTCTGTTTTCCTCGGAAGGTATGAAAAAAAAATGTATCTGATCTTCCTCCTAATTTTTTTCGTCGTTCTATAATTCTTGTCGGAGCGCTGTTGTTCTATAATTCTGTTTTCCCCCATTTTTCTCACACTTCCCAAATTCGTTCTATAATTAATTTTCCCCGGGCCCCGTTCTATAATTAATTTTTCCGTCGAACGGAAAAATTAATTATAGAACGGAAAAATCAATTATAGAATTATAGAACCTCTTCCGGGGTCCCAGAAATCCTATAAAATCACCATGAAATCTAAGAAAATCACCGTGAAATCCCATAAAATTACCATGAAATCCCATAAAATTACCATGAAATCTTATAAAATCACCATGAAATCTAAGAAAATCACCTGGTAAATGTGGGAAAAATGAGGGAAAACAGAATTATAGAACGGAAGTTGAGGAGTACGAAGGTACGGTTATTTACCGTACCCTGTTGTTCTATAATTCTGTTTTCCTCGGAAGGTAGAAAAAAAACGTATCTGAATTTACTCCTAGTTTTTCTCGTCGTTCTATAATTCTTGTCGGAGCGCTATTGTTCTATAATTCTGTTTTCCCCAATTTTTCCCACATTTCCCATTATCCTCATGTTACAGCATCCTCATTTTATCCTCGTTATCTCATCAAATCCTCATTTTATCATCATTTTATCTTCATTTCCTTATCAAATCCTCATTAAATCCTCATTAAATCTTCATTTTATCCTCATTTCCTCATCAAATCCCCATTAAATCCTCATTTTATCCTCATTTTATCCTCATTTTATCCTCGTTTCCTCATCAAATCTTCATTTTATCTGCATTTTATCTTCATTTCCTCATCAAATCCTCATTAAATCCTCACTAAATCTTCATTTTATATTATAGATTGTATATGTACAAATATGCAGTAAATATCATGTCAGTGCCAGAAATTATAGAACGGAGCCAGGAGGACAAAAGTACGGTAAAATACCGTACCTTTGTCCTCCTCCCCGTTCTATAATTAAATTTCCCGACTCCGCTCCGAATCGGAACCCGGAGGAGGACAAAGGTACGGTATTTTACCGTACTTTTGTCCTCCTGGCTCCGTTCTATAATTCTGGCACTGACTGTAACATATGGATAACATATGGATAATATATGGATAACATATGGATAACATATGGATAATATATGGATAACATATGGATAACATATGGATAACATATGGATAATATATGGATAACATATGGATAACATTTGGATAATATATGGATAGCATATGGATAACATATGGATAACATATGGATAACATATGGATAATATATGGATAACATATGGATAACATATGGATAATATATGGATAACATATGGATAACATATGGATAACATATGGATAATATATGGATAATATGGATAACATATGCTTTGGATATGATCTTCCCAGAGAATGGTTCCCCTGGTTTCCCCTCCACCGTTCGTGAAAAGCACCGTTGAAGAATGGAATGGTTGAGGTCAATGCCGATTTGGTCCTTGGATTGGTGCCACTGGCACCGCACAACGTCGCACAGCGAAAAATGCACCGGGCAGGGCTCATGCACTTTCCATGTGAAAAGACTAGTTTCAACATAACATAAGATAACTATAATAGGTAACATAACATAACTATAGGAAATTGATGGAAGTTTGGTAGAAGTCTATTTAGCCGGGACTTAAACAGTATTTCCCACTGCATGAAGGATTCAACTCGATGTAAGTTGATTAGGCTAAAGAAAAATGCATCTCCGGATGTTGGCCCATGCATACCCTCAGAAGTCCCCCGAACATCAAAGCTCGCTTTGGGACCTGCCACCACTTCGTAAGACTCAAGTGGCTCAACTGGTGATTCCGGTTTCATGGTCAACCAGGTTAGACAAACGGTGATTTGGCCAGAGAGCAGCATGCCAGCCGGCATCAAAATTAGCGATGATGCTAATGATCATTGGTAGATCCGTCTCTACTATCATGGTGGGGCGACCACTTTGTTTCTTTCAGCAAAATGTGATGGTTGAGTCAAGACGAACCATCTCAGAGCCTGCAAATCCACCCCATAGTCATGCGGTCATGTAAAAACTGCTCCTTCTTGAGATGTGGTGCAGCAGCATGCCTTAAATTTCCGACCCACATCCCTCGTTTTCTGGTTGGTGGTTTGGAACATGGGTTTTATTTTTCCATATTTTTCCATGTATTGGGAATAGTAACCCCAACTGACTAATATTTTTCGGAGGGGTGGCTCAAGCACCAACCAGTTTTTGTTGACGTCCCAAACTCAAAGATACCCGACGAACTGATGAATGGCTCGGGGTCACTATTTGTTCACGGGAATCATGGAGGAATGCGAATCAGCTTGGTTGTCTCAGGATTTTAAGGGAAGCCCATTCCATGCCATGGCTTATCAAAGTTCATCATCTTCTCCATAGAATGATAAGAAATAGTTGCGGACATCTACTTAGAACATCAAACGTTTTCCAAATGAAAAAAACGCACACTTACTTAGGAAAATCAAGATTGAGATGTTCCAAGTCTGTCACTTAGGACATCAAAGTCAAGAATCCAATACTTAGAACGGCAACGCATAAAAACACACATTTTGACGCGGGAAAAAGTGGTATGATGTTGTAAGTGTTTGTCCGCTGAAAAAATGTTTGACACATTTTGATCCACCGGAATAATCATTGAAAACATGGTTTGTCCCACACATTCCTAGACTCACCTGGCAATCTGGACGGTGTTGCAAAATTGCATACTCCATGTGCACAACTGATGTTCTAAGTGTTTTTTTTGGTTTCTTTTCCTGCACGCACACTTTGAACTTTCCTGCAAAACTTTGGAACTGCGTTTTCCAAATGATGGTCTAAGTGGTTGTTCGTCACAAAAAAAATGATTGTGTCTGAAAATGGGGGATATCACGGTGACCATCGGTATATCCCAAAAAATGACCACTTAAATAATAGGGAAAACATGGGAAAACATGATGATTCGCCAACTGGGATTTATTTTCGGGGACTTCCCCCCGACAAACGAAAAGCGGCGCGTTCGTGCCGAAAATTTAGGTCATTGTGGATAACTTCTGCGCGGTCACTGAGATTCAGGACTTTTCCCGACTGCCATAGATTGATGGTATATGGAGAATCTTCCCCAAGACTTCCCTCTATTTCTAAAAGCCACCCCAAATAAAAAAACTAGGGTCCGTCTCCAAGTTTGGAAAATTTGAGGATGGCCAATTTGATTTTTTATTTATCCCCTTTAGAAAACAAATTAAACATGAAGCTACCATTTCAGGGTGTCACCCCCTAATAATAAAAACTAGTCAACCCCGGGGTGTTTTTTATTAGGGTCCCTCCTTCAATTAAAGTCGGAAAAACAAGTATTTTATATTAAGGTTTTTATTTAATATAAGGGGAAAGCTTCGAACTCCATTTTTTGGCAATATGTTAATTAGATTTTAAAAGGAAATCTAATCGATTTTGAAATAGAAAAAAATAGTTTTTCATATTAGGGTTTTAAAGTTAGTATAAGGCGGAAGCTTCGCACCCTAATAATAAATAGCTGCTAATAATAAAAACTACCTGATGCGTTTATTATTTGGGGGGTTAGTATTAGGGGGAACGGATTTTATGGTATATGGTAATTTCATGGCATATATTCATGAAGTTTTGTTTGTTGTATGGTTTCTGAATTGATTATATCTATATAATAATCTATATAATAAACTGTTTTTCTGGGGGGGAAACCCACAGATTTCATAATAAAAACGTAATAAACCTCCAATTGTTGGAGGCCCTAGACCATAGCATGTCCCTGGAAAACGGACGCTGGACGCTGGTGACCGCAGGACACGGATTTCATCAACATCCTGCAGAACTTTCCCGAGGAGGTCCGGGCAGAAATGTAGTAAGGTCAGGGGGGATGTCATATGTAGTAACTTAGTAGCCATCAAAAAGATAGAACGTCCTGGCTTCACTATTTTAATGGGATTTTAGTGGGATTTGACTTGTTTGTCTTTGTGTCGGTGTTCTATATCGACTAGTGGAGGTTTCTGAAGTAAAATGCTGCTACCCACAAACATCATCCAGAATTAGACGGTTTATGAATTTTGATCCTTGTTCCATTAGCATGACAATAGGGTTGGGTGTATCTGAAAATTGTGTATATCATTGTATATCCATGTATATCCCATAAAATGTCAACTTTTAAACATGACAACTTTAAAAAAATGGGAAAATGGCGTGACTATCCATTGGATCTGGCTTATGTAAGAAAGTTTCCCGGCATGGCGGTACCCCCAAATCATCCAAGTTAATCCAAATTAGACAATCTTAGTATTGAAACCTATGCTATTGATTGGTTTTGGAGATCCACCATTGTAAGACACCTCCATCTTATGGTAATAACTCATTGATATCCATGTTTTCCGTAACAAAAGGATGAACTAAACATAATTCGACTGTTAGTTTAAATTCAAATGATTCTGTGTGACGCTTTGCCTGTGTATCAAGAATTTTAGATCCTCTCATGTGAGTCTTTGTCTTGAAGGGTGCGTCCATGTGCCCGTGTGCTATGAGGTCCCAACCCTGGTGTCTCGGCTCAGTGGTTTGTGGCCTATGGAGGCATCGACCGCGGGCCATGTTTGAGGATGTTTTAGGCAGCACTGTTTTTCCTTGGTTGAATCATGTAAGCATGATACCATCCAACGTTGTTGCGTCCTCACCATATATATATATTATATAAATAAATATATATATATATAAATAAATATAAATATATATATATATAATGTTCTAACCAGTTACAACTTAGTTACATCCAAACATGTTCCAACGAAAACCCCCCTCGCTCCCCAAATGTTCATCCTGGTAGGTGGATCAAATTTCCTTCTTCAGCGGTATGGCGTCCTCGAACTTTCAGCGTCTCATGAAGGACCAGAAAGTTGGGAAACATTGGGATTGGGAGGTTTCCTAAGTCATGGGGGTACCCCAAATCATCCAAGATATCCAAGATATCCAAGAGTTGGGATTCAGATTGTTCTGGATTTCACGAAATTTCACCAGCCAAAAACAGGTTTTGATGCCACTGCAGCACTGCACCATCAAACATGGACTTTAATCATCGAAGCTGGGGGAATTTCACCTCAAGACTTGGTCTGGATTTCGCAATGCTTTTTGGGTTGAATATGTTCAGTTTAGGCCCTATGGGATTATATTCAAGCCATATCCCGTGACAATTTCTCAACAGAGGATCATGCTAGAGCAAACAGCTAAGGTTAGGGGGCGTTTGTTTGTGCTCAGGTTGGGTATGTCTAGTGCATGTCTAGTGCATGGTAAATGGGTGAATGATGCGAGTTTTCACTGGTGAGAATGCACGATGGCTTTGAGGACGGCTTGAAATCACCGAGTTGCAAAGGCTTCAATCACGTTGATCACGTTTGCTTGTCCCTTCGGTAACTCCTGGATTCAGCAACAACACTTGCAAAAGAGACCCTCAAAATTTTGCATAGTTCAACCCAATCTCGCAATCCCAAGATTCTTTTACCAGCTGAGCAACCAAGTAAATTGGTATACCCAATCTTAAAAACACCCATATTTTTTTGGATAATGGGGATGTTCTCAAGGTTTCTCTATCAATTTGCGTTTCCTCATATCCTCATCCACCAGGAAGGTGAGTGGAACATGCATATGGCGGAGCGAACAGTGGTGAGGCGGGAACGTCCTGTCGTAAAAGCTGGTTGTTGACAATGGTGTCTGTTTTCAGTTGGATCAGCATATCATCGTCATGTTATTGGATGTCTTAGAATTTATCCAATGTTTATCCGTTTTTGATGAAATCCAGAGACAACCGCAGCATTTTCTCCGAAACAAGGCGGGTTTTTCATCACCCATGACGGATCCATGGTGCTGCTATATATGGATATATGTGGTAACATGGATCCCATCAATATACCCCCAATGGGATCGCATATATACCAGCACCATGGATCCGTCATGGGTCAGGGTAAATCCCAAATCGCCAACCGCAGCCGAGGCAAAATCGCGAAGGCACGGCGCTGCATTTGCTCTGCTACGGTCCCTTGGCTTCGTGGGGATATTTGTCTCAGCTAAGGCTAGTCAATATCACTAAGATATATAATATGTTTTTTCTTTTATATTATATATATACATTATAATATATATATATATATATTTATACACAATGTATTTTTTATTTAATATAATATAATATATTATATTATATATATAATAATATTATATGTATAATATTATATATAGATATATTATATATAGATATATTATATATAGATATATTATATATAGATATATTATATATATAGATATTATATATAGATATATTATATATAGATATATTATATATAGATATAGTATATATAGATATATTGTGTAATGTTAGTTGATAGATATCATTTGTTTGGTATGTTGTATCACGTTGCATCAACTAAAACCTACATTTCACAGCCCCTGTGGGCTCATCCTGTCAGGTTTGGCCGTGCGACTGGTTGACGACGTGATCCTGGGAAATCCACTAGCTACGCGTCGAGAATTCAGTTTCTGTTGACCCAAAGATCTGTTTAATGGTGGTTAATAGTGGTTAATAATGGTTAATAATGTTGGGTTACTATTATTGATCATATATAGCTAATTTTTAAAAATGACTGGCTGGTTGGTGGTTTCAAACATGGCGATATTATTTTCCATTTCATATATGGGATGTCATCCTTCCCATTGACGAACTCATATTTTTCAGAGGGGTGGCTCAACCACCAACCAGTTTCTTTGGTTTTTCTATCAATCCTAGTTGGATTCCTAAAGAAACTTATCTGGCTGGAAACTTAGATTGGCTGTATTGGGTGGTATATAATACTATGTAATACTAGCCATCCAAAAAGAAGGTACCCTCCGGTCATAGATATGGAAGATAGCCTCTATTTTTTGGTTTCCGCTTTCCCCAGAGCAGCCATTTTTCTGCAAACGCATCTCAGGATCTTCACCAGTTCATCCCCATTGTCGCTGGGTATATCACCATTAAACCCCATTAGTTTATGATATTCATGATTTTTAGAATCCCATCAAATTTTATTAAACCCCATTAAATCCCATTAGTTTATGACATTCATGATTTTTTAGAATCCCATCAAATTTTATTAAACCCTATTAAATCCCATTAGTTTATGACATTCATGCTTTTTTTGGAATCCCATCAAATTTTATTAAACCCCATTAAATCCCATTAGTTTATGACATTGATCATTTTTTAGAATCCCATCAAATTTTATTAACCCCCATTAAATCCCATTAGTTTATGACAGTCATCATTTTTTAGAATCCCATCAAATTTTATTAAACCCCACTAAATCCCATTAGTTTATGGCATTCATCATTTTTTAGAATCCCATCAAATTTTATTAAACCCTATTAAATCCCATTAGTTTATGACATTCATGCTTTTTTTGGAATCCCATCAAATTTTATTAAACCCCATTAAATCCCATTAGTTTATGACATTGATCATTTTTTAGAATCCCATCAAATTTTATTAAACCCCATTAAATCCCATTAGTTTATGACATTCATGATTTTTTAGAATCCCATCAAATTTTATTAAACCCCATTAAATCCCATTAGTTTATGACATTCATGCTTTTTTTTGGAATCCCATCAAATTTGATTAAACCATTAAATCTCAATAAATCACTGATGTTTTGTGATGTTAACCCGTGCCCTGTTCCCGTGCAGGCTCAGGGTGAGGTCGTTGGCCGCGCGAACTTCTTGGGCTTCACCAAGCGCTATCCTGTCACAGCCACTTGATGACGATGGCAGCCATGGTAAATTCACTATTGGAAGTTCAATGATTCCCCTATTGGACTATTATATATAGATATATATAGAATTATAGACTATTATTATCCTCCCTAACCTATTGGGTAGTATAATCCCCGAACTAATCATCAACCAACAGGGGTTTTGAACACTGCTGAAGTGGTTAATGGTTGTTACCCTCTGATAAATTAACCGTTTGACCCTGAAAATAACAATTTTCTAGTGGAAACTAATCTTCCAACCCCGATGACTGCCAGGGTCTATGTTAATTTACTGGAGGGTAAATGTTGTTAATAACCATCAGATTGGTGGTTAAGGGGAGAAATATGGGAAATGGGAAAATACACCATATTCTATCGACAATAAATGATGAATAATCATGGGTAACATGTTTGACATTGTTTGCTGGGAAAATGGAATGGCATGATGTCAAATCATCAGATTTGGCGTGACAAAGTCATGCCTACTAACAACATCTAACAACAATTAAATAGGTCTTGTGTTTCTGATTGAGGAATCAAAAGAACAGCAAATTTGACAGCAAAATGCCAGGAATTCACCGGTGAATATCATGGGCTCATTTTACCATCCACAAACATTGGAAGAAGTAGGTCCTCAATTCAGCTCCTCAAGCTATGTCGTTGTGATGAGTAGCTGCTGTATATGTCCATTCCAGTGTTGAGTTCTGTTGAATTGATTCATGTTGGTTCTTAATGATCTTAATGTAACCATATGAGGCTTTCCATAAATGAAGTTACCCCCAGTTTTCATTCATTTCAATGGATTTTCCCATCATAAACCATGTTTTTGCTATTGGGCTACCCCCCATTTCTGGAACCCCCCGTGGTGATCGAAACGCTTAAAGGTGCGGACACAGAGTGTGTGTCACTTTCGCCAGGATTCCAAGACCGGTGAGACTTTGGCGACCAGAGTTTGGATGACCATCATAATAATCATGGTCATAATGGATTATAATGTTCCATAATATAATCATTATAATATCATTTGTTCCATCATTTTTCCATTATAATCATTATACAGTATATCATTATAATGATGGAACAAATGATGGATGACCTGTTTCATCACAAGTCACGGGATGAGGGATATTGCAGGATGACCTGATCGACCCTGGGTCGAAAAACTGCCTTTTTTGGGGGGTTCAGTTTTCGTATTGTTGTTGAACAAACCATACTTAGGGTGAGTGGTTGAGTTCAGATGACTCATATTTTTGGGATGGGTTAAAACCGCCAAGCAGTCAATCCTTTCAGCAGGCCTGAAGTCAACCATGTTCATGAAGTCGTTGGAAAGATGTGAAAAATCACAGATCCTCTACGTGTGGGAAAAACGCATAATACTGTAGTGCTGAATAGCTAACCTAGTTTTGCAGGCTAATATATAGGTAAACATATCATAGATTAGATGGATGATAAGGGAAAAAACGCCCCCACAACTTGTGGAGCGGACCTTGCCGTTTAAATAAAAACATTGGAAGAACTGCATCTGGAGTGGGAAAGACATTTTGTGATACAATAGTATACAAGATGTGTCCAGGGATCTATGAGTTTTGAAGAGTTGAATTGAATGGCTGAAAATCCATTATATAATTATATATAATCATTATAATCATTATAATCCATCATTTGTTCCATCCTTTGTCCCATGGTTCTATCATTTTTCTGAGGATGGGAGTCACTTCTTCACCGACTCCCCTAGGCTGACAGCCCTGCGTGCCCTGCGTGCCCTGCGTGCCCTGCTCAGGTACCATGTATCACTCGCAGCTCGTAGAGTGGAGCCAGCCCTGATTGGCGGAGGATTTTTGTGCTCTGTGTGTATATATGATTTTTATATACAACATATATAAAGTGCCATATGTATACAATATTATATATATACATATGTATACAGTTGATTAAGTTGACAAGTGCTGCCACATATATGTATATGTTATTTGTGTAGATGTACACATATATAAATATATACACATGTTATTTGTATATATATACATAAGTATACAGATGATTAAGTTGACAAGTGCTGCCATATATATATAATATTATAACGCATACGTTATTTGTGTATATATATATATATAAATACATTTATAAGTATACAGAGAATAAGTTGATAAGTGCTGCCATTTACACATATATATATATATACTCCGTATAGTATAGTCTGCCATACATTTATAGGTCATGAAGTTTATTATTTGTACAGTATCTTAACTTATACAGGCATCAGAGTACACAGACAGATACAGGTGATGAAGTTGATAAATGATAAATCGTATCTTATTCTACATAACTTATACTCAAAGAGTCTAAGGCTCTGTTATGTATGTATGTATGCATATATATATATATATGTATATATATGTGTAACCCCCTGAGAAGCTTGTTAACCACTATCAACCCCTATTTGGGGGACTTCCCATGAAAAGTCGATGTCAGGATGCTGGAGACCGACTTCCCCCTGCGTGAATGGTTCGAGCTGGCCAAGGTGCAAAAAAAATGTGGACGGAAGGCTTAAAATGTGGATTTGACTAAACATCGTGTCTTTCACGTCAAACAGATTTTACCAGCAACACCATGATTGGTGGCTTCGAACTTGGGTGTCAAAATGTGTCAAAGCAAATGACTTTGCCATGTTGTTTTTTGAAATGAGTTGGGGGATGAGAAGTCATCAATAACAGTTGATCTGGTGTAATGACCTACATGTGGATGACTTGGGGGGATGGACACACCACAAGACTTTGCTGTAGCTCCAGGACGTTTTGGTTCCATAGCACCGCGTTGTCTTAAAGAGAGTACCCATGGGTACCCCAAGATCTCATGAGTGATCACCATGTTTTGTTTCCACTGAGTCATTTTGGGGTATCCTGCATTGTTGCACGAAAGCCACTGTTCCAGATTTGATATCAAGCTGTAAGACACGGCTACCTTCAAAGCAAATTCACGTGAGACCTCCAACACTGGCAAGATCCCGAAATGGTTTGAACATGCTTTTTTCATTTCGCGTATTGGATAGTGGACATGTCCATTTCTTGGGTTTCCATGTAGTCAGTGTGTCCAGGGAAGTCGAGGGTGTGTCCATCGTGCAACAACCAGGTGCAAAACTACGCTGAGTACAACCACGCTCAGCAGAAGGCACGCACTATGGTGGGCTGAATTGGGAAGATTCCTTGCTGGTGTTTATCTTGAGTGGGCATGTTTCAAAAATTGGTAGTGTTGGGTACAATGTTTTTTGGCTGTTTGGTACGTGTATGTCATAGCTCATCTGATTCTGCTTTTGGTAACAGCTTTTCACAAGGATCACATAGGATAACCGTATGGTGGCTGTTGCTGAAGGGTTTGATGCGTCACAAGATGGTGATGAGCTCTATTCGGGAATTAACAGTATATATATATATTTATTTGTTTATTTATTTATATTTATATTCATATGCTTATTTAGATATAATTTAGTGAGAGGTCAGAACCCAACAGTAAACCACCAGATCGTTGGGCTTTGTTTCCGATGTTTTCCGCTGACTGTCAGCATGTAGGAACCACACGCCGACGTAGGAACCAGAAGTACCAGGGCGCACACCTTTGATGCAAGCTACTCTGAGTCTTTTGGCGGAGTTCTTGTGCACTGAATGTAGAGTACAAGGATAGACTCTTCTAGGGATCTCCGAAACAAAAAACAATCTGTTCGATTTGTTATTACTGTTACTACTGGTATAGTGTAGCCGTTACCAAACACCTGTCATCTCCCAATTAGTTAATTAGTTCTTTACCAACAGGATCCAGCAAACCCGGCAGAGGTGGAAATCTTCCGCGCCAAAATGAGGCACGTTCGTCTCGAGATGAGTTGAAGCGCACCCAAAAACCCACAAAACATAAGAAAATCAGAGTGAAAATCATGGGAAATGGCTTGGCTTTGGTACCTGAAAATAGGATAACATAGGCTAAGCAACACAATTCCTCACCGTTGGTCATCGTCATTTTCCCACTTCAAATGACTATTTGCGAGTACACCGGTATACTGCACGTTCCGACACACCGGGTCCTCGTACCAGTTAAGAGTCAGAGCCACCATCAACAGCTGATGTTGGCACTTTTTGGATTGGTGATGCAATGTTTGAATTGGATTAGAAGGACCAACCTGAGCGTTAATGGGCATGAATTGTATGTCGAAACGGGGATATGATAAAAACTGATAAACAATTTTTCATGGGATACTATCAACATCGGAAACCATTGAGTTGGTATCCCATTTAATGGAATATAAACATTGATTTTGTGATGTTCCATTGTTTCATAGGATCTCATGGTATAGAGTTGATTTATTAACTGGTTGGCGGTTTGGAACATGGCTTTTATTTTCCATAATATATGGAATAATCCTTCCCATTGACTTTCATATTTTTCAAGATGGTTAAAAACACCAACCAGATATAGGTTAGCAAACTGTTAGTCATTACCAGAGGGTAAGTGGATTACATAAGTTATAACCACTTAGAACATTTTTCATGTTTCCATATATTGGGAAGAATCATCCCAACTGACTTTCATATTTTTCAGAGGGGTAGGTATACCACCAACCAGTTATATATTGGGTAGATGATGATCCCATGATATCATAGAACTTACCGATGGTTAGCGGGTTGGGTAACTTCAAATGGCATAGAAATGGCTATGAAATGTCACTTTTCCCTCCAGTTTTTGGGGCGAAAACGCTCTGGGAATTATCCATCTCAAGGCGCCGGACGGAACAAGCCTTCGACAAGCATGTGACGCGGGCGACCGGTGATTGTTGAACTGGCTGTGTCTAATGGGGACACTATGGGACACGCAGAAAATGGTAAAAATGTTGGGAACATATGGGAAAATGATGATAAACCATGATAAATCAATGGATTTAGGGATACACGATGTTCAGACAAACCCAAATTTGCCAGATTCAGATTTGGTGAAGACCGGTATATCCCGCAAACGGCAGTCCTAATGTAGAACATCATGAAGTTGTTGGGGCCCGGTGCCCCTTGCAACGCTGTGAGCCTGCTTTGAGTCATTAATCATTAACACCTTAGTGTAACGAATTCCGTCCTGAAAGGCCAGAGGTGAAAGCTAGTGGCAGAAATTCAAGAAAGCCCATTGAGGGCCAACTGAAATTCCAAAACGAAGAAACAAACAATGCAAGACCTATGGGCGGTCATTAGCACGTTGTCAAACACAACACATCCATCAATTGGTGAGATCTCCAATTTATCCGGGCTTTGTATATTGGTGATTTCATGGGGTTTTCGTCCTGCACTGTAGGAGTCCCTTGTGTTTCAAGGATTGTTCACTTCATGCAGAGTTGCTGCAAAGTGTCACGCGAAGGGGTACACCCGGGCAGCAGAGAAACTTACCACTTTCTCGTGAATCATGTCAGATACCCTTTGGTAATTTAACCTAGCTATGGAAAAACACGATCTTAGTCTTAAAGGGTAAATCAATGGAATTCATCAAATAAACTAAATAAACGGCCACTTTCCATAGCTACATATACATCTACATGGATCTATATGGTAATTATATAAATTATATATATATAAATATATAATATATACCAACTGTGAGGAACAGAATATATATATATATATATGGCCCAGCGTTTGGTGATCCCCCCCTCCCCCCGAGATGGTGATGATCCCTATATGTATATGTAAGGTATAGATGTTTTTTATATATGTATATATTATATATGTAAGTTATATATATATATACACATGTGCGTATACGTATGTAGTATGTGTATGTGCAAATGTATACAGTATGTATATGTATGTCTATATCTATATATATATATATGCATATGTCTATGTAGGTGGATCGGGGGGGGGTAACCCCCGATACCATATGGGGCGGCGCGGGGGGGGGGGCGTGAACACGAGACACAGGACCATATATATATATATATATATATACTTTTAGGGGATGGACATTCATTGAATTTGTCAATCTATCAGGTCGGGCACCTGCCCACAAAATATCATTGCAGGACATGTCATTGATGTCAGATGTCATCAGAAATGGTCACTCGACTCACTGCATGTAATATATGACAATTTGTGATCATATGTGATAGCATGATGTGTAATGGATATAGTATACATATTATATATACACTATATATATATACATGAATCCCTACCGATATATGTACCAGTGTATACTCTTGTTCCATCCGCATCTCAGGTACGCTTTACCCGCGCCAACCGCAACAAAAAGCAAGGTCCAAGTGTGGGGCGAGGGTGGGAGGAATGGGATAAAAAGTCTATGGAGTATACCCCTTTATGAGATTTGAAATGACCCCAAATGGTTGGTTAATGGGATGTTTCATTATTGGGTTGACCACATTAACATGTCCATTTTCACTTATTTCAGGTTTTGTCCAAGTTTTTCCTCAGTCTGGGGGATGTGGGATAGCATTTCTTTCAGAATCAGGATCGGAAGTGTTGTTAGCTAAGTCCAGTAAATGTTTATGATTGTCCATGATGGGTTTCCTCGCATTCTACTTGACAGCAAGAGGGACTCCCTACAGCCGATGGGGAAAATGCACGAACATCCGGCACGCATCAGGCCTCATCGACACCAAGGCTCGATACCGAGCCACATGTCCATGTTTTGCTGAAGCCTCAATTCTTACACACACAAAGCATATATATATATACATAATATTATCAAAGGAAGTTGGGAAGCAATTTCCGAGTTACGAATGACTTTTTACTTGGTGCAATTGACTATGATGAAGGGTGGTAGATCCTGTAACAATACATAATGTACCAATACATCACAAACCAATAAGAAGCAATGAAATTGACCTTGAGGAAGGGTGGTAGATCATATAACAATACATAATATAACAATACATAATGTACCAATACATAACAAAAGAATAAGAAGCTATGAAATTGACCTTGAGGAAGTGATGAAGAAGGGAAGTGATGATGAAGGGGAGTGGTGACGATAGGAAGTGGTGAGGAAGGGAAGTGGTGACGAAGGGAAGTGGAGAGGAAGGGAAGTGATGATGAAGGGGAGTGGTGAGGAAGGGAACTGGCAACCATGAAGGGGAGTGGTGCATGAATGTTGCATGGGCTATGTTTTCGGGAGGAAGCTGGAGCACGAAACCTTGTGTTTTTCCGTGTAAAGTGGCTGCAGCCGGCGATGAAAGGTACCTCGTCTGTGCGACGGGTGCGGCTGGGGTCGTTTCTGTCGCGAATTGTTCCTCCTATGTGTTTTGCAACGAGTGGTTGTTCCTGCGTGCGTAGTTCTATGCGTTTCTTGAAGCTGTGGGCTGCGAAACGCATTGTAATGGCTGCATGAATGTTGCATGGGCTATGTTTTGGGGAGGAAGCTGGAGCACGAAACCTTGTGTTTTTCCGTGTAAAGTGGCTGCAGCCGGCGATGAAAGGTAGCTCGTCTGTGCGACGGGTGCGGCTGGGGTCGTTTCTGTCGCGAATTGTTCCTCCTATGTGTTTTGCAAAGAGTGGTTGTTCCTGTGTGCGTAGTTCTATGCGTTTCTTGAAGCTGTGGGCTGCGAAACGCATTGTAATGGCTGCATGAATGTTGCATGGGCTATGTTTTGGGGAGGAAGCTGGAGCACGAAACCTTGTGTTTTTCCGTGTAAAGTGGCTGCAGGCGACGATGAAAGGTAGCTCGTCTGTGCGACGGGTGCGGCTGGGGTCGTTTCTGTCGCGAATTGTTCCTCCTATGTGTTTTGCAACGAGTGGTTGTTCCTGTGTCCGTAGTTCTATGCGTTTCTTGAAGCTGTGGGCTGCGAAACGCATTGTAATGGCTGCATGAATGTTGCATGGGCTATGTTTTGGGGAGGAAGCTGGAGCACGAAACCTTGTGTTTTTCGTGTAAAGTGGCTGCAGCCGGCGATGAAAGGTACCTCGTCTGTGCGACGGGTGCGGCTGGGGTCGTTTCTGTCGCGAATTGTTCCTCCTATGTGTTTTGCAACGAGTGGTTGTTCCTGTGTGCGTAATTCTATGCGTTTCTTGAAGCTGTGGTTGCTGATCGCATTGGAATGGCTGCATGATTGTTGTCATTTGGTGTTGCCACGTCCGTAGATAGGTGCAGGTATGCTACGGGATGCTGCGAAATGCGGTGTAGTGGCTGCATGAATGTTGCATGGGCTATGTTTTCGGGAGGAAGCCGGACCACGAAACCTTGTGTTTTTCATCCCCATTGAAATTTCCAAGCTTGTAAGGGGTCACTCAAGTGACCCCATTTTTTAGACAGAAACTGCTTGAACAGTCATTTTCCCTACATTTCCTGGGGAAACTCGAAAAGGTCCTTCATGATTTTATATGTAAATGTATCTGACCATTTTCTAGAGAGATAAGGATAGATAAGGGCTGAAAAAAAGAAAAATCAATCGAACTCTTGTCCGAATGCTTCCTGGGTCATTCCTGGGGAATGCTTAAAAAACCCCATGCCCAGGGCCAAGTTCATCCTTCCATATCAAGTTATTTTCTAGACAGCTGCTAGATTGATATCAAGAGACAAATTGATTGTGCAATGCATTTTCTAGACGATTTCGGGTATCCAGGAAACAGATATAAATTGACCATAAGTTATCGAAATTTTGTTGAAATGTCATGTGATGATATGTTTTTTTTGTTGAACTTTCTATTCCAAAATTGTGCAGACGGAACTTCAGGGTTCACTCGAAAGTGCCAAAATTTTGAAGTGCTGCTGCCAATGCGCAATATTGTTTGAATGAAGTGTAAACCAAACAGAAACATTAGTATTTTGGGAACCCGTTGGCTCATTCAATTTTTGCCTAGAAAATGCCTGAACATGAAAGGGTCGCTGACATCATTGTTTCGGGGGAATTCCTTGGATCATGGTTTATTGAAGTGGATTTTTAGTTCCTGGGGGACCAATTTGATGTTTTCTGGTGTTTCCTGGGGAATATAGGGTGCCGGTTTGTGAGGCAGTTCATTTTCTAGGGAAAACATGACTTATTTTGGGTCTTGGATTTTGACACATTTTTTTTTAAATGACTGGTGCAGCTTCATGCTATTCCTGATCATTTTCTAGAGAACAAGTCGTGAGTTGATGATGAGTTGCACTTCCATGTGCCAATTTTCTTGAAAATTTGCACGTGTAGAACAGGCATAAACATTTCTAGAAAATGATTAGACCAGGCCCCCAAGAACATCGATCTTTATCGTTTTTTTCTCGTTTTCCAGGCTTGTGACTTGTGACTGTTCCGTTAATTTGTCTCGCACATGACATGAGGATCAGTTGAGCTACCCCCCAAATGGTAAGTTTTTTTTTTTAACCAAGGCATGTTGATTCATTTTGTAGAAAAAATGTTGTTTAACAGCTGCATTTTCTTGAACCGTTTGGCAAGACATGGCAACACACATGTCGAACCGAAAAAAATATAGAGACCTTGGCCAACCTTGTTTCTATCAACCAATCTTCAACAAGTCTTGTGCAGAGGAAGACATCACTTACGATGGCGTTCGATTACAGGTCAGTTTCTGGATTTTTTTGTGGCAGAATTGACTCAATTTGATGTTTTCTGGTGATTCCTGGGGAATGAATATGGATTACCTGCCTTAGCAAGGATTGCACAATTCATTTTCTAAAGAAAACATGATTCATTTCTGGTCCTCCATTTTTGAAACCATTTTTTTTAGGGAACATTTTTTATTGTTCTTATGATGGCATTACAGGTCATTTTCTAGACCCAAAGTGGTGAATTGTACTCTCATGCACCTGTTTGTTTAAAAAAATACATGTCCAAAACATCCACACATCCCTTTAGAAAATGAATTGCCCAATCAAAAAAAACGTCCAATTTTACTTGGTTTTTTCATTTTCTAGGCTTTTGACTGGGTTAGAGATTTTCTGTCTAGAAAATGGGGTCACTTGAGTGACCCCCTACAATGTCAATAGGGATTGTTTTTCCGTGTACAGTGGCTGCAGCCGGCGATGAAAGGTACCTCGTCTGTGCGGCGGTTGCGGCTGGGGTCGTTTCTGTCGCGAATTGTTCCTCCTATGTGTTTTGCAACGAGTGGTTGTTCCATGTTGTTCCTGTGTGCGTAGTTCTATGCGCTTCTTGAAGCTGTGGTGGCAGATCGCATTGGAATGGCTGCATGATTGTTGTCATTTGGTGTTGCCACGTCCGTAGATAGGTGCAGGTTTGCTACGGGATGCTGCGAAACGCATTGTAGTGGCTGCGTCAAGGTTGGTCGGTGCTGCGGCTGCATGCGTAATACTGTTGTCTTTTGCAGCTGAGCATCGTAAATCGTATTGGAATGGCTGCATCAAGGCTGCGAAAGTGAATTGTCCGCAGATTTTCTCAATTTTGGCGCTAATAATTTTCCTTTTAAAATTCCTTTTAAAAAGTGCTTCAAAATCGTCTTTTTGTCGCTTTGGCGTCGAGATCCGGTTTTGGAGCTGCAATTTCCGACGCCATTGCGCGTAGTTCTATTGTGTTTTGCAACTCAGTCTCTGCAGATCGCATTGTAGTGGCTGCGTCAAGGTTGCTTGGTGCAGCGGCTGCATGCGTAATACTATTGTCTTTTGCAGCTGAAGATCGTAAATCGTATTGGAACGGCTGCATCAAGGCTGCGAAAGTGATTTGTCAGCAGATTTTCTCAATTTTGGCGCTAATAATTTTCCTTTCAAAATTCCTTTTAAAAAGTGCTTCAAAATCGTCTTTTTGTCGCTTTGGCGTCGAGATCCGGTTGTGGAGCTGCAATTTCCGACGCCATTGCGCGTAGTTCTATTGTGTTTTTCAACTCAGCCTCTGCAGATCGCATTGTAGTGGCTGCGTCAAGGTTGCTTGGTGCAGCGGCTGCATGCGTAATACTATTGTCTTTTGCAGCTGAAGATGAATGGCTGCATCAAGGCTGCGAAAGTGATTTGTCAGCAGATTTTCTCAATTTTGGTGCAATGTGAAGTGTGAGGAAAGTGTTTGCATTCTACCGGGGTCGCGCGCAGGTCATGTTCTTGGACAGCAACACTGCAACAGCTTCGCACAAAGCACGCACGCACGGGCCTGGCTGGCGCACGGCGCATGCAAGTTCCTTAGTAGTAGTACTGGGAAGTGATTCATGAAAGTTTGTATGACATATGAGAAGAGATGATGAGATGAGAAGAAATGAGCTTGGATAAGGTGAGAAGAGCTCAGATGAGATAAAGTGTGGCGTGTGAAGAGTGCAGTGTGAAGTGTGGGGCGTGAAGAGTGCAGTGTGAAGTGTGGAGTGTGAAGAAAGCAATGAGAAGTGAGAGGTGTGAAGTGTGGACTGTGAAGTGTGAAGTGTGGAGTGTGAAGTGTGAAGTGTGGATTGGGAAGAGTGCAGTGTGAAGTGAGAAGTGTGGAGTGTGAAGTGTGCAGTGTGGAGTGTGAAGAGTGCAGTGAGAAGTGTGAAGGGCGAAGTGGAGATTCAAATGTGACATGTGAAACAGGACACCACTTTCGCAGAGTGCACGCACGCACGGGCTTGGCTGGCGCACGGCGCATGCAAGTTCTATAGATGAGAAAGGTCTTATATATATCTTTAAGGCAACTTCCGCCCCGCCTCGTGCGGGTACTACTGGTACAATCATATACACCGTTCATTCTATATTACATGCAGTTACATGCAGTTACATACATATCATATGTTCTGATAATTCTGCATGGATGTGTATGTTCAACATAGTACATACATACATACATTACAATACATTACAATACATTACAATACGTTACAATACATTACAATACATTACAATACATTACAATACATTACAATACATTACAATACATTACAATACATTACAATACATTACAATACATCACAATACATTACAATACATTACAATACATTACAATACATTACAATACATTACAATACATTACAATACATTACAATACATTACAATACATTACAATACATTACAATACATTACAATACATTACAATACATCACAATACATTACAATACATTACAATACATTACATTACAATACATTACAATACATTACAATACATTACAATACATTACAATACATTACAATACATTACAATACACAACAATACATAACAATACATAACAATACATAACCATACATAACAATACATCACAATACATAACAATACATCACAATACATAACAATACGTAACAATGCGTAACAATACGTAACAATACGTAACAATACATCACAAATACCTAACAATACGTAACAATACGTAACAATACGTAACAATACGTAACAATACGTAACAATACGTAACAATACGTAACAATACGTAACAATACGTAACAATACGTAACAATACCTAACAATACATAACAATACCTAACAATACATAACAATACACAACAATACATAACAATACAAAACAATACAAAACAATACAAAACAATACATCACAATACATCACAATACATCACAATGCATCACAATGCATCACAATACATCACAATACATCACATTACATAACAATACATAACAATACATAACAATACATCACAATACATCACAATACATCACAATACATCACAATACATCACAATACATCACAATACATCACAATACATCACAATACATCACAATACATCACAATACATCACAATACATAACAATACATAACAATACATAACAATACATAACAATACATAACAATACATAAGATTACATAACATTACATAACATTACATAACATTACATAACATTCCATAACATTACATAACATTACATAACATTACATAACATTACATAACACTACATAACATTACATTACATTAGATTACATTACATAACATTACATTACATTACATACAATCAATATACAGTACATAAATAAATAAATATATATATATACATACATTATACATAGTGGTTTTACGAAATTTACGCTCGCAGATGTCACCAGGCCAAAAGACTGGTAGAGCAGTTTCTCCAGAGCACCCAGAAGAGGAGCCCTGAGATGCGATTTCGTGTGGTCGGATTTTGATATGTGATTTAAGCAACTAACAAGGTGACTTAACAGGTGGTGATTTGACCAGCAACAAAAACCTATACCAGCAAACATAAAGCATCAACACATTTTGAAGTTACTGTAAATCACCCGAAATGTGGATTTGATATGACATCAACAAGAATCAGGATCCTTTTCTGGAGGGTATCACCACCAGAAATGCTTTGCCTAAAGACGGGGATGTATACTCCAGGAGAAGTGCTACGTTCACCAGTAGAAATGGTGGCTCTCCGCAAGCAGTTATTTTCAATAGGAAAATCCCCTGGATCTTTTTGTCACTGGGTCAGTGTCCATCAGATTATTCGATTACTGGAGTATCATCCCCAAAGAAAGATCATCTGAAAACATAGATATATTTTACGTTCATGTGCACCGGCTCCATCCTCGGGATTGCATCCGATTCCTATGTTGGCTACCTATGTGGAATGCTTTGTGAATGTGTGAATGTGTGTGTGACAGTCTGGTATACACTTTCAATCACTTTCATATGTTTGCGTGACAGGCTCCCGGAGTCGCCGGAGGAGAGAAGTCCATGTGCCTTGGGATCACTTTGACGTTTGTACGTTTGGGCAGGTGAAAACATGTAGGAAAAGACTGATTCAAGTTTTGCTTGTTTTTTTGGTTGTTCCATATTATTTGTGTGTGTGTGTCATGTTTTGTTTTTTTTTGTTTGTGTTTTTGGTGGGGAGATGTGTACCAAGATAAAATGTTGGTGCTTCAATTTTGTGTGGAGTGTCGTTTTCCCGTGCAAGATTGTTTTTTTTGCGTAAAGAGTATGTCTACTGTATGGTGCGTATGTACATATGGTATGTTTGTTTGCAAACAAACTTGTGAGTTGGCAAGCCGGTTTCACATGTGGAAATAGGCCAAAAGCTACGTCGTAATGGCATGGGATTTGAAAGCCATGGTGTACTTTGGTTTTGATCCATGGCCATATGTACCCTCTGGTAAATTAACAGTTGGACCCTGAAAATAACAATTTTCGAGTGGAAACTAATCTTCCAACCCCTATCTGCCAGGGTTTATGTTAATTTACTGGAGGGTATCATATGTACCTGTTTTGATGGTTACCTGAGGACGTTCTACTGAGAGGAAAGCAGTCATTGCCAGCCGTTGCCATCCCTCTGACTCCTCTTCAACAACTGGATCACCAAATGTCATATTCCATATCCAGATAATCCACAGATTCCATATTTCATATATTCCATATATTGAAGATCGAGTTGGAAATGGTTTCCTAGTTTTTACATCACACATCATAGCTGACATCCAGATCAGACTCCTGGTTCATCCCACCTCTTAGGACAAATCAGTGGGACGTATTGAGAGAATCTTCCTGGACTATCCCATGCTTGAAGTATTGCAATTCCCAATTTTTGGATATTGCAGGGATAAAAATTACTTTACTTCGTGTGATCCCCACCATGACATTTATACATGTTCTTACTGGCACATCTTCTGGCATTCTATCTGGCATATCTTCTGACATTCTATTTGGCATTCTATCTGGCATATCTTCTGGCATTCTATCTGACATATCTTCTGGCATATATTCTGACATATCTTCTGGCATTCTATCTGACATATCTTCTGGCAAATATTCTGACATATCTTCTGGCATATCTTCTGGCATATCTTCTGGCATATCTTCTGACATATCTATCTGGCATATCTTCTGGCATATTTTCTGGCATTCTATCTGGCAAATCTTCTGGCATTCTATCTGGCATTCTATCTGGCATATCTTCTGGCATATCTTCTGGCATTCTATCTGGCAAATCTTCTGTCATTCTATCTGGCATATCTTCTGGCATTCTATCTGACATATCTTCTGGCATTCTATCTGGCATTCTATCTGGCATTCTATCTGGCATATCTTCTGGCATATATTCTGACATATCTTCTGGCATTCTATCTGACATATCTTCTGGCATATATTCTGACATATCTTCTGGCAAATCTTCTGGCATATCTTCTGGCATATCTTCTGGCATATCTATCTGGCATATCTTCTGGCAAATTTTCTGGCATTCTATCTGGCAAATCTTCTGGCATTCTATCTGGCATTCTATCTGGCATATCTTCTGGCATATTATCTGGCATTCTATCTGGCATATCTTCTGGCATATATTCTGACATATCTTCTGGCATTCTATCTGGCATTCTATCTGGCATATATTCTGGCATATCTTCTGGCATATCTATCTGGCATATCTTCTGGCATATTTTCTGGCATTCTACCTGGCAAATCTTCTGGCACTCTATCTGACATTTTATCTTCCTACATGAGGTCCGGCAGGGAACACTTGGCGTGGATACTCGCGGTTGAGGTCCGGCAGGGAACACTGGGCGTGGATGGTCGTGGTTGACGTCCGGCAGGGAACACTGGGCGTGGCTGGTCGTGGTTGAGGTCCGGCAGGGAACACTGGGCGTGGATGGTCGTGGTTGAGGTCCGGCAGAGAACACTGTGGATCGCGGGTCGCAGTTGAGCAAGGATGACGAGGACGACGAGGACGACGAGGAGGACGAGGAGGAGGAGGAGAGGAGGACGAGGCAGGAGGAGGCGGAGGAGGAGGAGCAGGAGGAGGAGGAGGCAACTGACATAAAATCTAACAACCCTCACCTGGCAGGTGGGGAAAAACAGTACTTATTCAAGAACTGACATAGAATTGGCGATGGACGCCTTGGTTGGATGTTGGCCCATTTGGGAGATCTGAATTCCTACCCGATGTTTGACCAGAAATTGTCATTTTTTAGAGAGTCATACCTTTTCAGTACGCTTGTTGGATGTTAGATACATCACCATTCTTCTTAATGCCAATGGATAATAGTCAAGTTCTATAATCCCAATGGAGGATCGTGTTCGTTGGCTGCATCACCATTGTTCTTAGGGTATTCATATGGGTTTGTCTAAGGGGCATATCACCCAGATGGGTCATTGGAAACATGTGGAAAATGCGGTGGAAAATTCAGAATTGGGCTAGTTCGCCTATTTTCAGACACAGTCATAGTCATGTATGATATTGTTGGTGACAGATATACCACTATAATCCAATATAATCCATGATATAATATGATATAATCCATGATATACCCATGATATACCCATGATTGCTTGAATATAATGGGAAAGTCGGATAGAAAAATCATATGATGTAACCGTTACGTAACAAGTCACGGGGATTCCAGGCTCCCCATGACTTCGCAAAAGCTGCTCCAGGCTCGCAGAGACGAGACGTCAGCGAGGCGATCCATAACACGATGTGCATATACTGTACATACCTACATATTATATATACATATAATATATGTATATATATATATCCATTATATGTACATTATAAATATGGTTAATGATGGTTAATGATGGTAATCAATGGTGATTAACTATGGTCATATGGTAAATATATAAATATATATATACCCTCTGGTTATGACTAACATAGCCATGGTATAGATGGCCCATAGAAATAGATGGTTTACCCTTCTTAAAAATGGGTGGATTTTCCATGGCTATGTTAAATAACCAGAGGGTGTATATATATATATACATATATTTATGTGTTTATGTCTATATAAGTGTATATACATACATTATAATTGTACATGCATGCATGCATATCCAAAACATTGCATCACATGTTTTTAAACAAAACATGACAAAACAAAACATTACATAACATAGCATAACATTACATCACATTACACTACATTAAATTACATACATACATGTACATGAATCTACACATACAATGTTTTATGTATATATGTGCATAATTGTGCATATGTATGAAAATTATCCACTGCTCTTGTACTCAGTGCGTGAGACATATTTGTATGTACGTATGAACTATATGGATATGCGTTGAACTAGGGCTGTCACAAACAAACGCAGGGAACACATTGTTTATTCCTGCCTAGTTGCAAACCCGTGGTATCAGGACATCCCCCTCATTCCCAGTATTGATTCAAAGGGAAATCTACAGAACGCCCCTATGGTTGGGAATGGAAACCAGGTTTTTTGCAGACTTTCCCTGAACCCGATCCATTGGCTCATGTTTGATATCAATTATTCCTCAGACACAACTGCGTCACATGTCACATTTTCCTTCCAAAGTTGTTCGAAATTGGTAGGTCTTCACTAACAGTGAACCCCACTGTCTTCGGCTCCAGGACTGGGTTGCACTGCAAGAAGCTTACACCATGCTCAGGCAAGCCGGATATTCAAGGAACGGGGGTAGACCACACGTGGATCAGTGGGTTGAGACGACCAGATTTTGAGGGGATAAACATCCATGATTTTGATGTGACAATCAGGGTGTGTTTTGATGGCCTTTTGTCCGACAGAAATTGCTATGAAAGCCATGGTCCAAGTTGCTGGCCTTTCTCGGACATCAGGACAACATTGTTTGATCACATGACATACTTCATCCTACACCCGCAATAAATCTGCATTCCTTCAAATATGCAATATATGAATAGTATTACTGATACGAATGATGATACAGTAAATGAATATTACCCTCTGGTAATTTAACGTAGCTATTGAAAATGACCATTAATAGTGGATTTTCCCATTAAAGGGTAATATTGACAACCTGTTTTTCTTTGGATGTCGATGGATGTTGCCATTTGAGTTTTGCATGTTTCAGACTGTTTCAGCTCAAAGTGTTTCGGATAAAAGGCTAGCCAAAACGGACACATTGTTGCGACGTGCCTACGACCTCTTGATGATGATTGGTACTGTGACTCATCCAAAGATTTGCCTTATTTTTGGGATGTGTATGGATTTGTGGATTATAAAGATTTATAAACGATACCATCTGGTAAATTAACATAGCCATGGAAAATCCACCCATTTTTAAGAAGGGTAAACCATCTATTTCTATGGGCCATCTATACCATGGCTATGTTAGTCATAACCAGAGGGTATATATATATATTTACCATATGACCATAGTTAATCACCATTAATCACCATCATTAACCATCATTAACCACCATTAACCACCATTAACCACCATTAACCATCATTAACCATCATTAACCATCATTAACCACCATTAACCATCAATAACCACCATTAACCATCATTAACCATCATTAACCATCATTAACCATCATTAACCATCATTAACCATCATTAACCATCATTAACCATCATTAACCACTGTTAACCATCATTAACCATCATTAACCATCATTAACCACCATTAACCATCATTAACCATCATTAACCATCATTAACCACTGTTAACCATCATTAACCATCATTAACCACCATTAACCATCATTAACCATCATTAACCATCATTAACCACTGTTAACCATCATTAACCATCATTAACCATCATTAACCACCATTAACCATCATTAACCATCATTAACCATCATTAACCACTGTTAACCATCATTAACCATCATTAACCACCATTAACCATCATTAACCATCATTAACCATCATTAACCACTGTTAACCATCATTAACCATCATTAACCATCATTAACCACCATTAACCATCATTAACCATCATTAACCATCATTAACCACTGTTAACCATCATTAACCATCATTAACCATCATTAACCATCATTAACCATCATTAACCATCATTAACCATCATTAACCACTGTTAACTGTTTACGTACTTAGGATGACTGGATACGATACGACTTGGTCCCTGATCCTCGATCCTCGACCGTCGGTTTCAAGGCGAACAGCAGCAACTCCAGGTGCTCCGGCAGCGTTTCGAGGTTTCCCATGATCCCCGCTGGATGATGGTAGCGGGGCCATGGGTAGCCCTATTTTCAGGAAACCACCATCTAATCATATGGGTAATATGGGACAATAGATGTAATTTAGTAATTATACTTATAAGAATATATGTAATTATTAATATATATATATACTCGTAAATATATATATATACATATAATCAACACTAATAACATAATTAGGTTTAAAGTCTGAACATGGGGTATATCCCCAGTTATGGATTTAACATGATTTAACCCGCTTCTCAGACAAACTCGAATATCTGAATAAATTATAACGACCTTGAACCTTGAGCTTCCAATTTTTTTCCAGGTAACCTTGTTTTGAATCTGATTACGCCAAGAAACCAGGTACACCCAAAAATACCAGGTATTTTGTTTCATAGCTAGTGGAAACAGGCATGAGTAAGTCCAGAAAGCGGGATAAACATAGCATGGCACATTATTCTTCGCAGCCCTACACATACGCATTTGCAAAATCAAGCAAAGAATGAACAGGGGTTGGTAACTGTCCCATTTTGGGAATATTGAACATCACCTTATAGTAGCCATTATAGACCATATACCTAATGGTTGGGTGATGTTCAATGGGGACATTTAATGACCCATGATGAACCCCCAACCACAAACCATTCAATTCAAATGTGATGGTCACAACAGCCACAACTGCGGATTTGTGTTTCTCCTGCTCCTCGAAACAAAATATTTTCCTGGTGATATGTCGGGAAGCTGCAGGCCCCATAGTTTCAAAACAGCACCATTCAAGGATATTCAAGGTGTATAGTTGGCGAAAAAGCTGGGCAAAAGCCGGTGAAAGTCAGCTCGAACCCAACATACATTGAAGTACTTCGGGACCTGTTTTACCATGTTTTACCTATAACTTTGTTGCGGGTATTTTACGGTTTTTTACTTTTACGAATTTGACGTTGCAGAAATCCCGGGTATTTAATAGGATTCAATTCCCAGGTATTAAGTGCAATTTACGGGTATTTACTGGATTTTTCGGGTATGTGCCTTAATTAAGTTGGACCAGCAGTGCTGCAAATCACAAAAACTTCTTTGCTTGAGCGCCCACTTCAAAAGTCTTCTTGGAAGAAAGGAACGGTTTTGGCAAACCTGTGATCAATAAATCAAAGTTGGGATGAGTCGGCCGCGTTCAATATCTTTGTATCATAATTTTCTGCGTGGCAAATCCATTCCCGGGATTTCCGATGATAGTGCCATTGTGCGTGGGGGTCATGTGGTCCCCCAATGTCTGAATGATCTGATATGATAGGGTAGTGGAACAACTTGCCTCAATTTATCGACACTGTAGCTATAGCCACCAAATTCCACTGGAGGATTACAAATTTAGATGCCAATCACCAGTTTTGCAATTAAAAGCCAGCACAAGCCAGGTAACCAGGTATTTCTTGCATTACCTGGTATTTCCAGTACTGGGCAAGAGATACCTGGTAACTATGTTCAACCCAAAAAAACAGGTAAAAGATTCCCTAGGGACCTCAGTGGAATGATGATTACTAGGGATAAATGGTATCCATCCCAAAAGTTTAAATGTGGATCATATGAAAACTCATGGCATAGTAAGAATATATGTGTATCGATGTTAAATTAGCAACAGATCTGGAAGAATTCAAAGAACGCACTGGAATGATGAGACTGGTGTGGGTAACTATCCCAAGGCAGGCAAACTGTTCAGTAAATCATTATAATCTATCCAGAAATATGCTAGAACATATGGAGGATTGATGCCCCCGACATCTGAGAAAGTTGCAATTGACCATGGTCAGATCCAAATATGTCTGTGAAGACTCCTGCAATGGTCAGAATATATATATATATTATATTATATATATATTATCACAATAATACATAGTATGAATACCATTCGGCAATCAAACATGGCCAAATTGAAATTGTCCCTGCGCACGGGCATTTGAATCGGAAAATCCTCGACCTGAACGGGGGCTGTGTCCCATTCATGGCATCGCCGCCGTTATGGATTATGATAGCCCCAAGACATAAACATTGAATAATTAGGATAATTCACTGTTCGCAATTTAGGGTGTAGATCCGTTAGGTTTAGATCCGCTACCTTTCAAATCTCAAAAAAACCCCAAAAAAACAGAAGTTCATGTCTTATTGTGGTATCACCAAGAGGCAGTAATGAAGCAAAAGAAACTGCGGGCATGAACGTTTATTTCCTATCAAAGCAATGTTTTTTTTTGGATAAGCCGTTGTTTGAAACAATGGCAACCAATCTAATGACAAGTGATCCCTGTCAGCTGAAACTGACGATTGAGGGTTCTGAACGTAGCAGCAGGCATGACTTCGGCTCAATTGACACTGACCTTAAGCCCATGCAACAATAGACGCCGGCAACAGCAATGATAACTTTCGCACCTGTATATGCAAGCACATCACCCCTTTAGACACTTGCTGGCCCATTGTGAGATATTTCGAGCAATTTTGAGCAAGTTTGAGCAACTATGAGCAACTTTGAGCAATTTTGAGCAGCAGTTTTTTCGGGCCAGCTTGGGTCACAATTTTGAGCACTTTTGCCGGGCAAGTTTGGGTCATGTCGAGCAATTCTGAACAATTTTTGGAAGCACGATATGGCATTGTTGAACTTGGATAGTGCTCAAAATGTCTTAATGAGGCTGCTTTGAGACATCTTACTTTGGCTGAAAAAGGTAGCTGATGTAAACCCCACGGATCTAGACCCTAAAACGAGATCAGCGAACAACAATATTAGATAGACTTTTATATCCACCGACCATGTCTCCAACAATCAAGTCTCGAACTAAATGATATCATATATGATATCTATATGATTTTATTCCTTACGTACTATAGCCCCGTGGTACACCCAAGTATCGCCTGAAAGCGACCAAGGCAATGCTTCGCAGAGCCTGGAGGGGACTTCCGCTGAGGTCGGAAAATGGGATGACCACGACGACTGGTATTGAAACCATGGTGACGGCTGGGCACTATGACTTAAGAAACCTACTGACTTTATATGATTTTATGACAGTTGGTTTTATGAAATTTATCATACACTGTCCATAAACTGGAAACTATGGGGCAGCGGGCTTGAGAAGTCTCCAGATGTGGATCACAACATCCCATGGCTGGCAATGGATCAATTACAACGACCTCACTGCGACATCAATGTAATGATGGTCAGCAAGGGGACACCCAAATGCTTTTGATTCGATTAGTGAAGAGGTGTAATCTATCCAAAAATCATATAGTAGTACTATATATCATTAATATTCCCAGTTTTGTAGCTGTTGTTGAAATTCATTGTTTGTGATGTACTTGTAGACATGCCAAGAGTTCCTGTGGCCACTGTCCATGATTTTCGTTGCGGATCATCCGATAATCCTCTGGTCCTTGAAGATGTCTCAGCACCGAAGTGAACTTAATTACCATGCCCAAATGCTCCATGGTGCTGGAATATTTACCAACATTTGCCCTAAAAATCATCAAAATGTAGGTAAATATATGTAAATATATCATACATGGAGCATCTGGGATGACTAAGTCTGTATTTGGCGATACTCTCATTGTTGTTGCTGTGTAAATGTGAACGCACTTTTAAAAATGCTATAGGGAACTGGGCAGGGCTCCCGGCTTGCTCTCCGGCAGGGCCAGTTGGAACAAAGCAGCACCAGGTGGCTCGGTTGATTTGGCGAAGCCCTGCTGGTTAGTTAATTGAACTACTAGGTAAACTAACATAACTATGGAAAATCACCATTTTCAATGGGTAAATCCACTATAAATGGTGATTTTCAATAGCTATGTTAAATTACCAGAGGGTAATTGAACTACTCAATGTATTTGGGGATTACAATAATCCAATAGGGGAATCATGGAATTGTATGGAATTGTTTATTCACCAACCAGTACCAGCATAATGGAATGACAAAGTGATATTGAACAATGAGCAATTGATCATATTTGTTGGGACGGATTGAAATCACCAACCAGCAAATACCAGCAACAACTAATCACTGTTGACCATATCTCCATGTTTTCTTGAGTTTGGATATGAAGGAAGATTGTCCAGCGTATTGTCCGAGTTTGAAGTTTTCGCTATGCCCATTCGCATACATTGGCCATCAAATGGAAAAAAGAACACTTGCATAAAGTCATTGAGTAGCCATTAATATCCATCAATCATCCATTAATATCCATCAATCATCCATTAGTACTCCATTAATATACAGAACAGTTGCAATTTGCTGTAGCAACCATCAGCGGCTGAGACGAGACGCAGAGTCACTAGATTCTTTTCTGGTCACCTGATGGGCTCCCCACTCCAATTTACCCATTTTTCGTTGATTTCATGGGTTTCTTCTATGGTAAGGATTCCATGGAGCGACATTTTCATAGATTTTCCCCATGGATGGAAGTCCATGAGTCGCTCCGGTAGGGTGACTGCTTTGGCAGTTTCGAATATCGACTGTTTTCCTGTGGAATGATTGTCCCAAGTGTTGTGTGATTGGTTTTCATCATATGTTAGAAGGGAGATAGATAGACAGACAGATAGACAGACAGACAGATAGATAGATAGGATAGAATACTATAGATACGATAGATACGATAGAATACGATAGAATACGATAGAATACGGTGTATATAATTGTATATATATACCATAGATACGATGGAGACAGAAGGTACGATACTCTACCATACTCTACGATACTCTAGGTATTGACGTCCAATCGTAGTCTAGTATCATCCTGTATTATCTGGCATGTTTTTCTTCAGTGAACCAATAATATAATCCATTAATATCCATCAAGAATCCATTAATAAACCAATAATAATCCATTAATATCCATCAATAATCCATTAACAAACCAATAATAATCCATTAAAGGTTCATGGCTTGTTTCAATGGATTGAAGGTTCAACCAATAAAAACCAACTCGAAAACTCCAAGCCGGGCTTTTCCCCAAGCCGGGCTCTGAACAAAGGTCAGGCTTTTCGGGCTCTGAACAAAGCTTTCAGGTGGCGTGACCGTGGCGGATCGGTGGGATCCACAGAATTTATCCCATCAAAATGGCGATTGAACTGGCAAGATCATGCGATATCCCATCAGCCTAATATGAAACACCGCCTAAATGCTCCCAATCATGTGGGATTCCCCTACTAAACATTACTAAACCATGGTTTCTGGGGGGTGTAAAAGAATATTAGGGGGCCGGGGGATTATAAATCATGCGAATCATGCGGGAATTGAAGCAACAAGAATCGGGAAACAACCAGCCTGGACGGGGGTAATTTTGGAAATTCTCCCGCCAAGATTGGGGCATACCCAATGTTTATAACCCACAAATTGGCGACAGGGGTAAATTCCCAGTATATTTGGCGATGTCATAGATATACGTCGCTGTAGTGGAAATCCGTTGGCCAAATATATTATCCGTGGACCTATCACATGTTTGCTGTCTTGTGGCTTATGGGCCAAAGTTCCTCAGACCGTGGTAAACCCATGTAAAACCAACGCCATAAGCAATCCATTTACCCAATATATCATTTTGGGTGGTATGATAAATCAGGAACCAAGAAAATGGAAGTCATGTGTGGGCCTGCCCAAAATTGGATTTCATGATGATTTTCTGCTGGCAGCGCTTGTGGTTTCCGAAAGAACAAGTATTTGCTCAAATCTGGGAGAAAATAGTAATAGGCAGCGCTGATGTGACGCCAGAAATGTCGTCAATTCATGGCGTTTTTCAAAAGTCAGCTCTGAGACAAAGATCCCAACTGATCAATGTATTTTCTGGGTGAAACATGTCGAAACCACCATTTCCAGATGGGAGTTTTCCTAAAATGTACCCCAAATGGATTGTTTATTTCATGGAAAATCCTATGGAAAATCCCATCTATAAATGGGACGATTTGGGGGTACCCCCTATGACTTAGGAAACCTCCAGATCTCAGAATGTCCTGAAACGAGCTGCCGCACTGTTTTAAAAACCGTCGAAGACGGCGAGGCCGAAGAAAGAGAAGCCTCCAAGAAGAGGTGGGATTTGGACCGTTGTTCCATCAGCTATTCTGTATATACTTATGTATATATATATAAACAATTATGTACATGGTTACTGTACCAATTTACTGTAACAAAGATGGAAAAGCAATTTATCATTATTTTTCATGGGATTGTTCTTTTCTATCTTCTTGGGTTGCCATATGTTTGTATGGAATCCATTTTGGGTTAGGTGGAGAAATCAATGTACAAATCCCTTGTCCACGCCCTGAGCACCGCCCTCGAGAGTCACCCGGAGGTTACAAAATCCAGTTGTAGCAAGTTGCATCAACAGAAGTTTCATTATGTTTTCAGACCTATCCATACTATGTATATATATATATACTGTATATATATATATAGTATTTTCATAACAACATATCTTAATCAAAATGATCTAAAAGGCATGATGATCCAAATTCACCATCATGCCATCCCAACTAAGAGACTCACCCGTCCTATTTGGGGGAGTGGTGGCCACGACTTTCCTCTACATAAAATGATTGGTTGGGGATTGATTGGTCCAGGAGCACAACAGGAGGACGTAGCTCTCCGGGCCTTGGTGGGCGAGTTCTCCCCATTTTATTTGTACCAATGGTAGCGAGCCGAATTCAACAGCCCAAGGCTTAAGGCCCAAGGATGTGTTAATCCAGGGTTGACTTGGGAAATTAGCAATTTAATCCTAATTGTTAATCCAGGGTTGACAAGATTCTAATTTGAAATTGCCAATTTTGGGATCCCGACTACATCATATTTAGGTGTGCATTGCAAAAATTGGCAGCTTAGTCTCTGGCAAAGTGTGAAAATCAATGATAATAAAAACTGACGGGGATACGGAAAAAAAATGAGCCTTCAATAAACAGATGGTGCCTGCGTTTGCTATACTGCGCCTGGATGCAGTATTTTAGCTGATCTTGGCGCTTGGAAACCACCAACATGAACCTGAGTCCAACTGCTTTCATCATCAACTATCCACCAACTGAAAACAAACCTGCACATACAAAAGATGGGAGGGCTGTGCAAGATGATACTAATCCCATCAAAAGTGCCAATAACATTGGCTCATCTGAACCAGTTACCTCTCAGGCAACCATCCCCAAAATCTTTGGTAAAATTACCGTGGTTACCTATCTCAGTGCTCAGGATCCACCATTTCAATCCATTTCATAATAACCTGGGATAATATAGCATTCTATTCTATACTATTTAATATCTGGCTGGTGGTTTGGAACATGGCTTTTATTTTCCATTTCATATATGGGATGTCATCCTTCCCATTGACGAACTCGTATTTTTCAAGATGGTTAAAACGCACCACCAACCAGATATAGATTAACCATATCATACTTGGTAGATATAACTAACATAGCTGTTGAAAATCACCATTTTTTAGTGGGTAAATCAACTATTTCTATGGCCATTTGCAATAGCAAACTGTTAATCATTACCAGAGACATAGCTATAGAAAATAGCCCATTATACCATTATTAACCATTATTCGCACTGATTAACCACTATTACTGATGATTAACCATTATGAACCAGATATGACCATTTACTATTCGATATGATATCTATACTATTGGATATCATTAACCATTATTAACCATTTACTATCCAATAGATTACCATGATTTAATGGGATCTATTTCCTGCGATCCAATGATCCAAATGGCCAATCATCCCGCGCGTGAGGAGCTGCTTCGAGTGCTTCGAGCTCGCAAGTGGTGCTTCGTAAGTGACATGCCACGTTGAAACGGGCCATGGGGAGACACGTTGAAACGGGCTGGAGAAGTGGTAAAACATGGTAAAACATTGGGGCCAAAAACTGGGACATGTTCAAAAATTCGGAATTCATTGGAATTGACAAAGGTTTTAACATGTTTTAAGAGTTCAACGCTTTAACCAAAGAAGGACTTTGAGTTTGTGACGTTGCCGAGATTTCTGTAACTGTAATTCCCAGGTGAGGGTATCTATCATTATCTATCTAGAGCTTATATCAGCTTGCAGGGCTCCTCTCCCTCTCCTTCTCGTCCTCCTCAGGCCTCACACCATGCCAGATAAACTGTCAGAATATACGTCAGATGGAATGTCAGACAAAGTGTCAGCATATACATCAGAATATGTATATACAAGATAGAATGTCGGTTGGAATGTCGGATCACTCGAAGAAAGTACGAATCACTTTTTTGCATCAAAAAACTACACATCCCAAATCGCCGGCGGAAAGTCGATCTTGCCAGGTCATCCAACATGGAATTCAATTGGATCTAAATCCGATTGGATCTGAATGGATCTGATATATACTGTATATATGTATATATACATACCCTCTGGTAATTCAACATGGCCATTTATAGTGAGTTTTCCCATTAAAAATGGTGATTTTCCATAGTTATGTTAGTTTACCAGAGGGTATATATATATATATATACACAGAATTGTATATATATATATGTTGAATTACAGCCTGGAGTTTTGCTAGCGGTCTTAACAACCATACGCAATCATTACTCCTTCCCATGCTCAAATTCCTGCGCGTGCCCTCTGTTTTTGATCTTGCGAAAGAATTATCCCCAAACACCAAAAACTGAAAGACCTAAGACACTAGACCTCAAACCTGAAATCACTGCATATAATTAGTCAGTATATACGGTCGCAACTTTTCCGAAGCATCTTGACCCTGCGCGAAATCCTCAATGCAACAGGATCCTACACCTTATATGTGCATATATACACAAACTAAGACAATTTTTATATTACACTATATGTATAATTGTATACAACATAAATCATACTATGTATATATATACATATTTGTTATATACATACTGTGTATATTATATATAACATACTGTATATATATATATTATATAAATATATATTTATATAATAACATACTGTATATATATATATATACACGCTAGGGGCGCTAACTTCTCCGATACGTCATTTCTTTTTGTGATTGGTAATGTTCAAAATTGTTATTTCGCTTTGGTAATTTTGCACATTTTTGAGCATCGTGATTTGTCTTGGCAACTTGATGTTTGACGGACGATGTTTTTTTTTCCCCTCCGTTTAAATTGAAGTACAAAATGTACTGTTCATTGGTTCCTTTATCCTGGAATTGTTGTTTTTCACTGTTTTTTTGTTATATATTTTATTTATGTTATAATATGAAAAAACACACAATTCATTGGGAAACGCTAGTCAAAATGAGAGAGGGCCTTGTCGTATGGGTATTTGCAGTATTTTGTAACGTTGTGAACCGAGCCGCATCTTGATAGTCAGAGGTTTTTGTGTCTTCTACTACTCATATTTATTTGTTATTATTGTCTGATTTTCCTGTTTTTTTTTTTGGCGCTTTTTTGTTTTAACATATTCATTTTGAAATGAAAAAAGTGCAAAATTCATTCGGAAACGCCAGTGAACATGAAGGATGTCATTTTGTATTGGTATTTGCAGTGCTTTGTAACGCCGTGAACCCAGCCGCATCTTGATAGTCACGGTTTTTTGTGTCTTCTAGTTACATTTCTTTGTTATCATGTTCTGTCGGCAAGTTGTTTTTAACCTTCCCACGGTGCGCCTGTAAAGACCTGACTGACAGGTTTGTAGCAACCAAGTCTCGAAACAACTTAGAGTGTAGCGTGTTGTGTAGCATCATAAGTCTGCCGACGTGCCAATGAACATACCACCGCGTAGCATCACACATGTATGCAAGTGTACTTGAACGTTAACAGCCCCACCCCACCCCACCGCATCCCCACTCCACCCTACCCCATCGGAGAAGTTGGGGCCCCTCGGGTAATCTCGAGTATATGTTTATATAATATAATACGTATATATAGTATATATATATAATATATACAGTATATATCATGTATATAATATATATAGATGTATATGTATATATTACAGTAATAATAATAATTAATGATATATATATACACTATAACTATTCCACAGCGTTTCTCCAACCCACTATAGGTAAATGATAGCCACCAAGGCGGCTCCCCGGCACAGGCCTGGGAAACGATTTCTGGCAGTCATTTGTTGAACGCTTTGCGATTGGAATGGGGCACCCTCCATTGGAAAAACAGCGGGAAAAACGGTGATTTATTGGATTGATCTATGGGAAATGGCGATTCGTTGCCATTTATAATGGGGATAAAGGGTGTTCCATTTCAAGAGGGAGATTTTGATTTATACCACTAGTGATGAAGCAATGTTGATTAACCAATGGTGATGAAGCAATGGATTTTGATCTTGGGAATGAAACATGACCGGCTGGGAAATCCCCCGGACCCGAGTTTTCAATGGGGAATTGTCCAGCAAAACCTGGTTTCCATTACCGGAGAGGTTTGATTATTGATTAGCAATTATTAACCATTAGATATATAACCATTATTAACCATGATTAATCATCATTTTCAGCATATTTGTACACTTCCCAAAGCAGCTCTTGTAGATGAAGAAACTGACATTCGGAATGGTTGGTCGTGAGTCCATGTGGGGGCACTGTATTAACTTGGGGTATGTGGAATCTCCCATTTACCCGACGAGTTCCCGTTTGGGGGCGTTGCTAAAAACCACACCCAAGAATTTGTTGTTTTTCGTCTTAACCACATTGCATATAGAAACAATCACTTGAGTTTCTACTTCTGTTTGGTCTTCATCGGCAATGAACATCACAGACATTTTCACTGAAACACCGATCCAGAGAACATCATTCAACATGACTTACCTCTGTTGATTCTTGATGCTCTGTGTGTCAACAAAATTGGAGCAGATGGTGATCCCCATTGACTCCTGGCTTTGGCCTTAGGCCATTTTGGTGGTAGATTTTTTTGTCACACACACCTCATATTGGCATTTCTTGTTCTATAAATCTATGTCCTACGAAATATCTCCTCATGAAATACCCTCTGGTAATTTAACATAGCTATTGAAAATGGCCATTTATAGTGGATTTTCCCATTAAAATGGTGATTTTCCATAGTGCTGTTAAATTACCAGAGGGTATCCCATGTACCATGGGGATTTGACCGTTCACTTTAAAAATGGGTGCTTTTTTCATCCCATTGTCTCCGATATCCGACCACAACTGGAGGCAGTTGGAGCGTCAGTGGCCCGGGTGATCTTCGACACATCAAGGCGAGTGCGTGGCCCGGCACTGGGATGACAACCTGCGACATCGGATGGTGAATGTCAGGCGGTGTCCCCAAATGAGCAACTTTTCAGGTGAAAAGAAATGGTACGCAATTGATGCAGATCCAAGCCATGGGTATCTCTTAGGTAAAGTCAACCATTCGTTGCGGAGTTTGTTTGTTTTGGGCGATGTTTTGAATACCTGGCTGATCCGGCAGACCACTCAAACGCTGCTGTTTTTCTTATCGCAAGGCACCATTCGCTCTCTTCTTTGGGCAGAAATCAAGGGGCATGAAAGGTATGAGGGCGAAGACATACGAAGACCATATCCCAATGATTCTTGGCATTTCCAAAAATGTTTATTCAGACTTACCAGTTGCTGTATACTTCTTGTATTAACCCAGGGAATACGTCGGCTACGTCGGCTACCTCCAACATCTCAACGGCTCACTGGTTCGTTGAAACTGAGCCGTTGCAGGTGGCCATTCATAGCTTCTGCCAAGCGAAAGAGAAGGCGAGCACTGCCAGATTTGGGGCCATGGGGTCAAAACCCTGGCTCGGAAATAATACATTGATATATATATATACATTGATTATATATATATATACATTGATATATATATATATATACATTGATATATATATACATTGATATATATATATATATACATATTATATATATATTATACATATATATATTGATCTATATATTGATACAGTGTATATATATATATGTATTGATATGTTTGTTGTTTTTTCCTAACAAGAATCTAAAAAGCGGGTACCCAAATCCACATGGTGTTCATCATATACCCTAGTTTTTAAGTGGTATTCTACGGTCTATGTCATGTCCGACCCAATTCAGGGTACCCAGCTTTCGCCTACACATTATGAGCTGACAAGAAATTGTTTAGCCGACTAGCTCAATGGACATCCATGATAGTTGTTACTGCTGGGATTGCAGGAATCAACAACGAATCTGCAGACGGGAGCATTTCAAGTAGCCAGTTGTGACTTCCAGCAGCTCAAAGCGTCAAAATTCATCACCCTTGGACCCACAGATTGACATTTCTATGAGTTCATGGGATTTTGCCGTACCCCAATTTTTACCAAAACTCACATGTCTACGACCGGGTCGTGGTCTCGATACAACTATTACTATTACTCGATACAACTATTACTTTCGTGGGTTCAATATGGCTAAATTCCTCGTAGTCCTTCTTCTTTGGGATTTCTCACCCCTTGGTCTCTGTGGTTGGCTGACCGGTCATATCCATGTCGACTAAGGTTTGCATGATTCAACCCTCGTTTCACTAAGGAACAAGGTTTCACTTAGGTCTCTTTGTCCAACGGTGTTTCTCATCTGGCTTAGCTACGATGGGGGCATTCTTGCGTCATCGACTTCACGGTAATATTTGTTGGCATGTTTGTTTGCAATGTCGAATGTAATCTGTCAAATGGGCTGCCCCACATAGGTTTGAACATATCAACCAGATGATAGTTTGTGAATTCCCAAGGACTTCATAGCATCAAACGATACATGCGTGACTTCACACCTATAGTAATGCACCTTGGCACAACCTGCCCAACAGGGCCTTGATTTAGCGGACTTTGGGCGCTGTCTTTTGCTTCCAGGACCATTTAAAGAGTCGGCTCTTGCGAATCATGCGGAACAACTACGAGACAGGCAACGTTGGAAACGTAAAGTGTCCAGGCTGCGTAGTGGTGAATCCTACCTAATCCGTCCTAACAAGAACTGGCAACAGGTTACTTCAACCTTCACCACAGGTGTATAGCCAATGTCCGAAGCTTCGTTAGATCCACATTGTGGATCACTTTGGGTTGATTAATCCCATGTTTAGTCTGAATTCAACCTGTGTTTCGGAGAATGTTTGCCCTATGTTTCGCACATTGTGTGACACCTCGGCCCAGTAGGCACAGCCACGCTGGAAGATGATGATGAGAGTGTGTCAGAGGAGGAGCATGATCGAAGACTTTCGACCCCCCGGATTTTTGCATTGATCCATGGGAATTCTTATTGGAAAAGATTGGAAAACCCAAATGAACATTAATTTACGTTCTGAACATGAATCGCAAGGTGCTACTTCTTGATGATCCATCTCCGGAGGTCATTTTTTGCTGCAAAAAAACTCATCCGAGATCGCCCACGTCCCATGGTTGGTTTAGGTTGTCAGAAATCACCCATGGTTGGTGGGTAGCTACTTCTAATATCTTCGGTTGTACAAGACTTGTTGGTAGTTTAAATATGTTTCAAGTAGTGTGTTCTTAAATGTTTAACATTGTTCAACTATATGTGAGATGATGGTCCCCAATGACAAGCATTTTTTTCAGGTGGACTCAACTACCAGAAGAGTGATCCTTGTGCCTCCGTTTACAGCACCACCCATGAAAGTCACCAAGATCTTGGTATCTCTTTGATTACATCAAAAATAAAAAAGAAGCCGACTCGTAAATATATCCGTTGATGAATGATTATGTATATCATCAATTATCATCATATATATATAAACATGTATTATATTTTAATATGTGTACAATTATGTACTGGTTGGTGGTTTGGAACATTTTTTTTCCATTTCATATATGGGATGTCATCCTTCCCATTGACTTTCATATTTTTCAAGATGGTTATTGCACCACCAACCAGTGCCTGCCTTGGCGCCTTGGCGCAGGAGCCGCGGCGAACGCAGGAAGCATCGTTGGGCGTTCGACCACCTCCCAGGCGTTCGGTGGATGGGTTTTGGGTGGAAAAACACCATTGAAATGAAGGATTTTTGGTGATGTGGCACAAAACCCCTTCAAAAAGCCATTCAAATGGCAATGCCTCTAATTTTTTAAAAACAGCATTGAACACGAATTTTCGATACATGAAGGAAGTATGCGAAAGGATTCTGTCAGGTTTTTTGAAGTATTGCCACTACCCCCATGTCTCCAGCAAACATTCTCAAAGTCCATTTTCTGCCATTGCCCTAAAAAAAACAGAAAAGCATTGATAGCAAGGAAAAGGATGCAAACAATCCCAAACAAAATCCCAAACATATAACATATCCCAATAATGTTGTTTATAGCCAGCTGATTGGTGCTTGATTTGTAAGAGGATCTGGGCATCCCTGGATCGTAGGGCCGAAAGATGGTCGTACCACCTGAATAACAATCTAAAGATCAATGTCAACCCTCGCCCCAGTACTTGTTGATGTCCAAAATAATCATTGGATACAATGCACAACATCCCAGTGGAATGCAGATAACTTATCTAGAACTATATTGTATAATATATATTTATATAAATTGAAATGAACTGGTGTATATATATATATATATGAGACCTCCGAATACACAAGGGTCTAGGATGGTCTGCTTAGGGCTCCAAAAAATAATGGTCTGAAATGGTACTTTGTTCATGTTATATCATGTTATTAGACCTTGGCAACCTGATCACTTAAGACCCTTGAACTACATGACATATAAGTAAGGACTGGTAACACGATCCTAGACCTTTTGCATACTGGGATCATGTTAGACCTCCGCATGTTCATATCATATTTGAACTTCACTTTCATTTGGCCTCTCATTTTTGGTTGTGGGCGACTGCACTTTACAACTTTACATGGTCTGAAATGGATTTCACTGGCTCTTATTGTACCCTTTCCAATGAAAAACATCTACGCAGTATCAACTAGACTCGTCAGATTTAAAGGAAAAACATATCTGGAGTAAGCTCTTTTACTGCTTTAACATGAAATCCCATAGAAGGATAGATATATAAGATATCCAAAAATATCTTCAAATGTTTTCATCAACCTTATTGACTTGAATGAGTCTGTTGGACTCTGGAAAAGAAAAAGGACAACATATTTCCCTGATGGAATTCGGTGGGTCTGAAATGGATTTCCCTGGCTTTTATCCAATCAGAAACATCTACGCAACATTAACATAGACCTGTCAGATTTGAAGGAAGAACATATCTGGAGTAAGTTTTTCTTCATTGCTTGAACATGAAATTCCATGTTAGATCCAGAGGTCGAATCGGGTCGAAGGACCCTGTGATTTTCGCAAGCTTTTGGGGTGCCAAGTTTTTGTAGCAATGGAGATCCAGAGGTCGAATGGGGCCGAAGGAACTTGCAGAACACTTTCTTTTCCAAGGTTGGAAACCCCAGAGGTCTCAAGTGTTTCCAGGAGTTGAGGTCTAAAGTGTTCCCTGCCATCTAACATGATACAAGTACCACCATGGTAGACCTTGGAAACGGAAACCTAGGGTAGGGTCTGACAGTTTCGACATAAGGTCCTTCATTCCAGACCAACCAAAAAAGGTCTAAACTGAAAACCTACAGTCCCTGGCATGTAGTGGACGGTATTGTATGTGTATAATATATATACATATAATAATATATAATTTATATAATAATATATATATATAATAATAATATATATAATATATATATAATAATATATATATATATAATACAAATATATATTATATTCTATATATATATTAATATAATATATTATATATATAATAAATCATATATATATAGAATATATAATATATATAATATTAACATATATATATAATATTAATATATATATATGTAATAATAATATAATATATATATATATAATATTAGTATATATATAATAATATAAATATATATATATTATTATATATATATTATTATTATATGTAATATATATATATATATGTATACTATATACTCATATATAGTTTTATTTATGTGTATTCATGTGTAAACTGATACCTGATATGTATATATATATATATGTATGTTTTATCTATATACATATATGGTACAGGTACCACCCCCCAGACTTACTGTTTTATGGGAAATGCAACTTACCCAATGTGACAACTGTCATCTGAAGACAGGGTGCCTTTTCCTCTTGGATCACCACAACCACCCCCCAGCTAGATGGTTCCCCCCTCCCCCTGTCCCAACAACTGTCCTACATGGGCAATGTTTGTGCAGCTGTAAGTGCTTGATGTCCAGTTTATGGGGAGTATATGGAGAGTACTTAGGGAGTTTTCAGGGAGTATATACGGATAAAGTACATAGTATATGGGCACGACATGCAAAGAGTCGTATATAGGCACGCTATGAAACATGTGTAGGTAGTATATGTAGGTTGTAAGGAGTATATAAGTAGTGACGAGGCATTGTATATTCTACACATAGGTATGTATTGTTAGTTGGTGATTTGTGTATATATCTATATACATATACACATATCTTCTTATTCGTAGGTACATATTCCATCCAAGCATAGTATATGGGATTAGATAGGTATGAATATTTGAATATGCACTCTTTGAGTATATATATACATATATATATATATATACATATACATATATATATATATATATGTGTAGCACAAAGGCATGCAATGAGTGGAAAACCATATTTGTGAGGCACGCTACAACGCTACAGGCAGTACATAAGCAGGTTTTGGTTAGTATGTGCTAGATTCTGCTAGACTTAGATTGATATGATCAAAATATACAGCTAGACAGGGTCCAGTGACGAGGCTGTGCCTCCCAAATGCTGCAAATACTGTGGTTTGGGGGATGGAGGCGGGGGCACCATACCATTGAGGTTCCTGGGACCTGGCCCAGATGTTTGCATATATATATATATACATTCATACATACATACACATGTATGTATATAGGTATATTCATATATGTATACATGTATGTATGTATATATGTAGATGTATACATATACATGGAGAGATACTGTACATGGATCTAGATACGACATAAATAGTCATGTCCAGCAAAATACCAACATACATTCTAGCCCTATGGATCCAAGTACTTCCTGAGAAAGTTCTTGATTCCCAAGTCATACCCTAAATACTTCCTCAGAAGGTACTTGGATCCATAAGGATTTATATACCTATAACTGTACCCATACCTAAAACTATAACTATAGACTATAGCTAGCAGCTATGACCATAACTAAAACTATAGAATATATAGGAGTTCATATATGTATAGACATAAACATATAAATGTACACAGCTATTACTATAGCTGTTACATTTCAACCTCTCAACCGCCCTCGTCCCAGTGGTTGTCTCGTCGGCAGGCTAAATGCCGAGGAGTTACAACGCTTAGATGACCTGCTGCCGGCGTTGCCGGGGAAGGTGCCGAATATGGGGGAAAATATCTGCAGCTTTCCTGCAATGGGATAATTACTCTCAAATCATCCAGAATTGACTTGAAATCCATGGTTTTAGGGATTCCCCATTCTAAGAAACCCCCATATCTGGGTATAAACTCAACCTCAATGAGCACATAATCTGGGTGAATTATTCAGCGACCTCATTACAACATCGCCATAAGTCATTGTTAGCAAGAGCAACCACCTCAAAATAATCCTTTCCAGGTCAGTGAATTATCATAATTGAGCTAGACGAGTGATGTAGCCATTGGATTTGAACAACAACTGGTTGGAGTTGCAAGCCCGTTTAAAAAATGCGGGTCTGACCAGCAAGAATGGGTGATACAACCGGCAATTTGGTTGCTCATCAGACGTAAAATCACCTGAATTACTTAGAGATGGTGAAGTACCAAAAAGATCCAAAAAGACTAAACTAGATAAGTACATAGTTGAGCTGAAATATGCCTTGAACAGGTTGGTGGCTTTAGCCACAAAATGTTGGGAATATTTTACCAAGAGTCATGTGGATAGACTGGAATATGTTTTCCACAATTGTCCAAACCATTTTCCCACATGAACTGAGTGATACTTAGTTCCAACAGTCATGGGGATAGAATTATGGGATTCAATGGGGTAAGACCACCTGTTCAATATATATTTTTTTTACACAAGCACACTGATCCTTTCCGGTGCGGCTCGCCTCAGCTGAATTCAAGATTGGCCAGCGAAGTCCATGCCAATCTTTGTGCCAAAGGACTTTGTGTCCATGGCAGCACATTTCTTTACAAAGGCCTCATCCAGCTGCACAGTTTCCTCAAACTGGCACGCTGAGAGGGTCCTGACAAAACTGGACGCAAGAGCTCGGCTCATTGCAGGTGGATATTCCTTGAGCTTGGACGTTTGCCATGCTCCGTCCTCATCACGCCCAATTGCCGCGCGCGCAGGGAGATCTCGGCAAAGGTGATGTCGGCGCAGCTCACCCATCAAGTCGCACATGTTCAAAACCAGGAGTCTCGTCGGCTTGGGTGTTGGTGCTCCAAGAAGTCCCTGGCTGAAAGAGAATGTGCTCATGCCTGGCATCTGCAATAACCACAGCATGATGGGCAAGCGCCAGATCGAAGGCATTGATTCGTCTGGAGGCGTTTCAGGATGCTCCAACACACCGCTGGCGCCTACCAGTGCCAGTCTGAAAAGCATCTCCAATGCAAAGCAGAGCAAAAGATTTCCCACGCCAACCTGTCTGGCTTCCCTAAGACTAAGAGAGCAAAGTCCCCACAAGTCTTCACCTGAACGAACTGGCCGTGGGCTCCTGCGCTGCGAGGTGGTCTTGAGCATTGCAACAAAACGAGCGCGGCTCCAGGTCTCACATGGAGGGCCACAGAGGAAGCCCGCCACAGCACCACATGAAGCGTAATGAAACCAAAAGTCCTGCGTCTCTTGGACAGTGACGTCGCCCAAAACGGGGTCAGTAACAATGTCAAGAGAAACCACCGTCAAGTGAATGCCTTCTGCAGCCCGATCATACATCTGCTCCATGTAGAATTGCAGGTCTCCCGGGCGGCGTCGGCCGCTGAAAGCATGTAAAACGATCTGATGCCGACCACACATGCGTGGAACTGAAGGGGTCCATGCTGGCGGACAACTCAACGTCTCTTCACGACAATCTTTCTCCATGTTCTCCAAAGTGTCCATGTAGGTCTCATCTGGCACCTGCTCATCAACAAGGAAGGGCCACGATGAGGTCGTAGACAAACGATGGATAAGAGCAAGGACGTCATCGCGTGACAAGGCCTCCCAACCCAATTGCTCATTGAAAACAGTGTCTGCGAGCTCGCCAAGAGTAGCTCTGCATCGTGTCCAAGACGTAGGCCAGCGAAGGATCTCCGCACGAAGACAAACTTCCAGGCCCGCAATAGCCGGGTTGGTTTGCGCATCCACAATGATTAACGCCAATGCATCGTGCAAGTCAAAGTCAATCAGGGAGAAATCAAGTCCTCCTCTCCATGGCTTCGTGGGACCGCTAGCTTGTAAAGGTGGCAAGCGTCCATCATGTTCCTGCCGACGAAGTGCATCTTCACGAGAGCCAATACCAGGAAGAACGTCTCCTTGAAGGCGATGGTGTAGCAGGTAAGTGCGACAGTCGGCGCTGCGCAAAAGGTGCTGCTGTATCTGTCCCGCCGTGTGGTACTCCTTCAAGCATGCCACACACTGGGTACCAGCGATGTAGTGTCGGATTGGTTGAATCTGTCCATGTTTGCGGCACATATGCGCACCTTCACCACCTCTTGATCGGCATCGTCGCTGACAAAGCATGCATCCAAATGAAGGTGCATCTGCAGCAAAATGGACAAATCTGTCTGGCGCATTCCAAAAGCCATATTCAGCTAGCAGACCTCGCACTGTCTGGTGAAATTTGCCACATTGGAATCGCATTGCTTGTTGAAGAATAGCATGTTTCTCAGCTCGTTTGAGAAGGCCCTGCCAAAATCCACGATGGAAACGAATGACCTCAAACCAGCGCTGCATATGATGAGTAGGATCACCAAGGTCACAAGTGTTGGCTAAATTGCGCCACACCCATTTCATGTCATCTTCCACCAAAACTCGCCAAAGTCGATCCTTGTTGAGCAGCCCCCAGCATGCTGTATGGCCTATGGCACAAAGAGAGCCAATGTACCGCAACCTGCAGAGGCGCAATAGATCCGTAGGTGAAGAGAGCCCCACACGACATAGAATCTCATCGTCTTGCATGTGAGCATTGTGGGCACTACCCAGCAAGCGGCGATAGAGCTTCATGATGGCGGAGTGGAGCTTCATCTTTGAATGGGAGTCCCATAATGCCCAAGAGTCAGCACCATACAGCAAACGGCTCAAAATCAAACTGCGGAAGATTTCAGCTCACTTGTGCAGCGAAAAAGCCCGGCATTGATACACCAGCTTCCTGTGTTTGCTGAACGCTTGATGAGCAATGGCAACTCTCCTCCTCACCTCAGCCCGTACTTCTCCTGTGTAGTGGATCACTCCTCCTAAGTGCGTGTAGGAGGTCACCAAATGAACATGGTAAAGGCCATGTTCTCCAATCGCAGGAAAGTGCTTCGTGGAGAGCGGTCCAAACATCTCTTTCTTCCATGCTCGAGTGCCTGGCCCCCTCGGGCTGATCATAAGTTCCGTCTTGCCAGGACGCAGATTAGGTGTCATTGCATGTTCTCTGAAAATGTCCAGTAAGATGCTCGTGGCGACCCCGATCTTCGCTTTGAGACCAGCGTTCGTCTCGCTCCAAAGGCATAGCGCCATGTCGTCCATCCAGACTGGGCCGAGAAACCGGCACATCTCTGCGTTCTGCTGAACCTCCACATTGAAGAGCTCCATCCCTTCTTGGCTGGGGACACTGGATAGAACTTGAACTTGCGCAAGCTGCTCTTCATAGGAGTGTAGGACACGCGCTAGCAAGAACCCAAAGACAATGTCTGCATATGCATCACCTGGTCGAGTGCCAAGCTTCGTCTGAACATGATCATCTTGTTGCGGGAGCTGAAAGTGCGTGTTGGAGTGAAGCGCTCTAACAACTCGTTGAGCACAAGCAGGCATACCTGCTCTGTCAAGAGCACAGGGTTCCTGCAGGTGCTTCCAGAGCTCGTGTAGGATATCTGGTCCTAAGCCTAGCCTCTGTGCCAATTTGGCAAGTGCTTCATCTTCAAAGGAGCCAGGCAAGGCGAGCTGCCTAAGCACTCGATAGAATGCTTCCTGTAAATCAACAAACAGCACTGCGGTTGGATGCCCACAATCACGATGCCATCGGACAAAAGCTCGCGTCTGATGAGCGCCCAAAGTGACAGGGACATGGCATCGTCCTCCCAGTTGTTGTGAATGCAGGTAAGCTTCGTAGATGTCCTTTTGGTGGATTCTCAACGTCCGATGAACAACTTTGCCCAAAGTCGAGGACAGCAGGATGGAACGGTACGCCTCACACGTGTCTTTGGCGAGCTTTCCCTTCCAAATAGGGATGACAGTGCCACCCTTGTGGAGGAGAGGCTCATGACCATGTGTAACAAGCTTCATCATGAGGGCATACATCATGCGAGCCGTCTCAACAGGATAGAACTTGCAAAGTTCTGTCGGAATGGCATCGGGTCCATCAGCTTTGCCTGCTTTGACTCGTCGACAAGATGCTTCCAAAGCACTCAAGCTTGGAAGGTCAGAGATCGAAAGCACCTGTGCCGTTTCACTGAAGTCTTGCAGTTGCCGAACCCATTCCGCATGCAATTGCGAGAAAGGCACACGTTCACCTCCCTCCATGTCCGCAAAGAACTGAATCCAGCGAAACAATGTTTCAGACGTTGAGCTACAGGGAAGGTTGTGTGTGTTGCGCAAAGCTGGTAAAGGTGCAAGGCCTTGACGTAGCTTGTTGGAAGATCCCATGAATCCTTTCAACTTGTGTTGGATCTCAGAAGCAGCTGTTCCCTCATCAATCGTGGCCAGAGTTTCATGTAGATGACGGGACTTCGCATCTGCCAAATCTCGCTGCAATGCTGCAGCAGAGCGTCGGAAACCAATGTAGTGCTTAAGGAGGCCACATCGAAGTGAAGAACCAAACACAAATGATAGCTCCAGAAGTTGCTCAGAGGGTGCTCGCCAGGCTGCAAAGATGCGTGCTAGAGTTTCTCTGCGCAAAAGTGCCCTTGCGGTCTTCATGGCCTTCCGATGGTGCAGCTTCTGCTTTCTCAAGGCCCATGCATCATCAGACACATAAGATCGCTTCGGGGTCCCTTTCGGAAAAGGACAGGACCGATGCAATAGATGATGTAGTTGATTGTTCATGTGGCTCGTATGCGTCTCAACATCACACGTCCACGCTGATGTGGACAGAGACATCAAACCCGATCTCAAATTGGCCTGTTTGATGCATGCTCGGGCAAAGGTCGGCTTCTTGGAGAAAGGGGTCGCTTTGAGCGGTCTGGAGAGTAGCTGCGACCAATGAAGTTC